ATATGTGAGTTGCAGACGTTGTATTTTCAAAGTGGAAATCCCTGACAGCGTGCAGACGCACGCCCCTTAATTACATCTCGTCCAATTGTGACGGCGGAGGAGTCTTTTCTGCACACGGAGAACGACAAAAAATACAAAACACGAAGTCAGAGAAAATAAAGATCAAAAGCAGTCGACCATGAGCTGAAATTATCTCAACTCCAATATTATTTAGAGGAGGAATTTTATGCAATTATTCTTACGCAGTAATTAGAAGCTTCAATTAACTACAATATTTGATTTCGAATAATCAAACATGATTTCTAAATATTGGAAAAAATAACAATACAATTTAACGGAAGCAAATTAAGAAAATAATACGATATAAATTTTAAAATTATATTATTATGCTCCTAAAAAATTTAAATTTGCAATTTTTGAACTGTGAAATGCTTTTAAAATTAGTTTCGGCCCCGTGAATAGCTGTTTTTTTGACAATAAAAGCACATTAAAGCGTGAATTTCTCTCACCAGATTGGCTCCAACAGAGCGTTTTATCTGCGTCTACATATAAAATTACAAAATGCCCTAAATTTGTACTCAAATTTACTGCGAAAAATGTGATAATTATTTAGTCAAATGAGTCAAAAAATTATAAACTTTTTAATTTTCAAAAATAGGACATAGTGACTTGTTTTTACACTGACTTAGCAAAAATTTGCTAAACCATTATCGCGAGGATGAAGACGTGCAACATTTTTCTAATGAAAACAGCACACGTCATTGGCGATTATTTGCAAAAGGTATTTTTTTTCTTGCTCGTTATTGCATTTTGCAGACGTCACAGGTGGAAAATCTCTTGACGTCAGTTGTTGGACTTTTTGCCTAGGTTTATCCGTAAAAAAAAAACTCACGGTCATCCAACGCCGCTGGTTCTGATTCACCGCCTCTTGAAATTAGTCAACTTATATGTCTCTCTTATTTTCCGTTGTGGTCTTGGGCATAAATTTTATTTATAGGAATTTTATCTTCCCCGCTTGACAACACGCTCGACGACCTATTCCACTTTTTGTGAGCAAAAAAGCATTATTTATGCAGATTTTATTATGAATGATACTTTATCCGCAAACATAATTCGCGACGACCTGTCGTCTGCTGCTCTTCGGGTCGTTGCTTGACCCCGCGGCCATCGAAACTCATTCACAGCACGTGCAGACCGATTGGCACCGTGGAAAGTATAAATGTCGTTAATATCGCATACACAAGAGTCCTGATTGTGAGCATAATCTTACTTCTTGCGGTCGTTTAAATCTCCGATTTATAAAATTTTAAGGAAATTAAAAAAGAAAAAAAAGAAATTTGTACTGTAAAATACAAAAGTATCATAAATTAATTTTCTTCTTAAATTAAATTAAATTAATTTAAATTTATTTTAAAAACATTAAATAAACAATATTCATATTTTGTTTTTTACAACAATTTATTTATTTTATTATTATTACTTATATATATCATTTTAATAGATTTATTAATTATTTTTTTTATTTTAAGTTAAAGCTATAGAAATATAAATTTTTAATTAAAAATAATAATAAAATAACAATATAAATATAAGTAAAAATATATTTCTTTCGATAAAATTTGGTTGCATACTCAAAATCTCAAAAAGATCACAGCATTCTATGGACTTTATCATTGTTTATTTGGCATTTATACATATTATACTTAATGTAAAAGTGAAAATGATTTATGCTACAAAAAAATTTAAAAGACGAGAAGCTTTAGTTTTACTTCACAATAGTCTCCTCAATATAGTTAAATTTTTTACTTCAGGAATTCACAAATTTATAAATGGTTTTTGATTGATTTATTGCACAATTTTTGCTCATCATTCAAATTTCTATATTATTGTGTATTAAAAATGAATGGTTTTTATGCAAATTACTGTAAGAATTGTTCTGAAACACTCAAATCCAAAGCGAAATCTTGAGCATAAATTTAGTATAAAAAAGAAAGCAAATATTCTATTTTGTAATTAAAAAACCATCGTTTTTAAGAACTCTAGAAGATAATAGTTGTTTTTCCTTACTCTTTTAATTTTAAAGCCTCTCTAAGATGGAAAACAAATAAATTTAGAAAATATCCTGTTCGGAACAAAAAGATAGCACATCCTCTGCGGAGTAATATATCGTGGGTCGCGTTTTATTTGCCTTCGCGAGGCGGTGCGAAAAGACGCAAATGACGGACGAGGGCAAATGCGGAATGACGCCATTGGGTGACTCTGCATCATCTTTTCTTTAAAATTTTTTAGTCTGCCGACATGCGAAATTATTCTCCGCGGCAGAGAAATAATAATGGTCGCCGGAATGACTGTGCTGATCAAATTAGAGAGTTTTTCTGCGCCACTCTGACGCGAAGAGTGCAGCCGCAAAGTCATAATATAATAATATATAATGCATCAGCAGTTGCGGATTTTGAACCAAGGCGACGAGTGCGGTGGAAATTCGGCCTTAACGAATTGAGGACTCTTGCCGAGACAAATAAAATCATGCTTCGCAACGCAAGTCATGCATTGAGACTTGAAGTGTCAGTTTGGCAATTTTGTAGACAAAAAAAGAATGATTATTAAAAAAAAAATTTAAAAAAAGCCCTGCTGTTGGCCAAAAATAAACCACTTTTGGCATAAAGTGAAATGTTACACAGAAAATGTATTTTTATAAATGACAATTTGAATCAGAAATAAATTTAAAATCTGAACACAAATTATAATTTTTGGACGATACACAATTTAAGATTTAATATGGGTCACTGGCGCTACTGCGAAGTTATTGATTTTGATTATAGTAATTATTATTAAAGTCAATAATTTTTAGTATTTTATATTCTAATTAAGTTAATAAGAACTGATTCAAGCTGAGATTTTCAGAACAGTAAGTTAAAAAATTTAGGTGCAACCTGGATCATTATTAAGCATAACACAAAAATTAGTCCAATTCAAGAAAAATTAATGCACACAGTTCAAAACAATTCAATCTTGATTTTCCAAAAATGTTGACATTTAATTTAACAAATTGTTGGAATTTTTTGTTTGTTAAGTTTTGACAATTCATTTTGAGGCGTCTGCGATGTAAATTTTGTAATTTCTAACCCTGATTTTTCAGGAATAAGAAGGAATTGAAATAAGTCTGCTAATTATAAATGATAAGGCAAATCAACTATTTTATAAAACTGATCAGCAAATTTAATGAAAAGGGCCTTGTTCACAGTCTGCAAAAAATTTTCAATTGTTTTAAAATAATGTTATTTAATATTTATACTTATATATAGGAATTGTATTTTAAATTGATCTGTATATCATTTTCTTGTGTCATTTCCTGACCTTTGTATTCTTCTAGATTTTCCCTCTTTTCTATAACTCTATCAAGCGCACTAATGGAAATCCCCAGTCATCAATATGAATTTATTATCTTTCTCACAAACCACATTTATGTGGAGGTGCATCTGATCTATCCTCACTTGGAGGACTCTGCGGTGCATCAACCTTTGCTTCTCATTAGCTTAACCGCAATTAATCTACACAATTATAAGTTGCATCACCTTCGAAACTTGTATATTATATTAATTGGCAAACTTTTAAAATACATTTCTATTGACTTTTGTTGTTGGCACGCAGATGAAGAAGTGCAAGATAAATATAGCAGCTGAGAGAAAATTGACTCGCATTGAGGCTAAGTGTGTTGTTCTAAGGTGAACCAGGTGCATTAATATAAAACGATAGGGTCAAGAAACTGACGGCCGAGTTGCCATTTCTCCTCTGCCGCCACACACTGTACTTTTGATTAAAAGAAATTTTCAAAATTCATTGTTTGACAAATAATTTGAGCAGCTCTTCTAGGTCGCCGTTTTGTTCTTTGTCTTGGGGCAGAGACGCGTGTAATTCGAGAATAATAATAAAAAAACAAGCGAATTAGAAATCTGCAGTGTGCATGACTGTCAAGATCACATACGAAATAAGTAAGAAGAAGGGCATTTATACGTCGGCGAAAAGTTCATTTTTAATTTGAAAGCGGTTAGCCCGTGGGAGAAAAGTCAATAGGATTTTCCTTGGTAAAAAAAAAAGAATTGATTTCACTCTGGAAATTCTGAGCACGACCAAAAGAAAGAAAGTTTTCTATAATTTCATTTTCTCATCAATTTATTTTATATTCCCATAGAGTAAAAGATAAAAAAATCTTATCTTTTTATTTCTATATAAATTTAGTCACTCGCCAATTTGGCTTTTGTTTATGTTTTTATATATGATTCACAGGTAGACGCCACTTCCTGGCAGCCGAAGGTCAATTTTGATTTTTATATTGTTCGGTATAAACAAAAAAAGGAGCTTCTCAAATAAAAAGCAATATACTCATTAATACGTGACCTCTAATTGCATCAAACCTTTGTCCATTCAAATAATCATAAATAAACGCGGAAGTCCAAAAATTTCGAAATTTCAAAATTTCCATTAGAAAGAAATATGCCGTCTTCGTGTTCATTCACAAAGGCGGCGAATATTTGGAGAACTTTCACCTCTCCGGCAAACACACATAGATAGTTTGATAATTGCTCCGGACGAAAATCTATATAAAAAAAAAATTATTGTTTACCTAAACGAATAATAGCCTCGATTTTAATTAAAAATATGATTAAAATTATTTGCATTTTCCTTTTGAAATTATAAAAGTCCGAATTTTAAATGGTGTGTTTATGCAGTTGAGTAATTTTTCCCAAGGGCTTTTCGGTTCCTTTGCGCTTTCATAATGGTGGCAATTAGGTAAATCTTAATTAAAACTTCACATTGTTGTTGCTGTGCTCGTTGAAAGGTAGTTTCACCTGCTTAGAAATTCGGGTTGGAAATAAACTGCGACGGATATTGATTTCGAAGTCGTAAAAAGAAATGAAACGTTTCCTTTTGACGAAATTTCTAATAAAACCTAGCAAAAATTGTTGCACATATTTTAAAGGTCTCGTGATTGGTCCTACCTGTCACCGCCAATGGTCCAGCTGAACATTTCGTGATGCCTGGGCATCATCTTGGTGGGCCGACGATTTGCGAAAAAGTAAATCCCAAAAGAAGAATACTCGGCTAGCAAACCATGGATCCGCGAAAAGAGGTTGCTCTCGGTGTACAAAGCAAGGCTATCTTTTTCTTTCACCACTTGGAATAAAGTGAAAACACGGCGCGGAGACGGGCGGCGAACGACTGACTGCCTCCTCTCCTCGGCTCCTTGTGCCGCTCGCGAGCGTGCAGGCCAGCCAGGCCGAAGGAAGGAAAGTAAAATCGGACCCGAGAGGAACACTCGTCACGCCAAGTCAGCCAAAAACACCCAAATTGTCTCACTGAATTCGTGTTCATAAGATTTAGAAAGAAATCCAAGATGAAAAATGGGAACGATTACCGTTTAATTATATTTTTCAAAAATTTAGCTTGTTATTCAATAATTTTAATTCATGGAAATATAAAAAAAAATGCTTAATTGGCTTATTTTATTGTCAAGAACAGTCAAGAAGTATTTATTTTTTTCTTGAAAGACATTATTTTGGTCTTCAATTTTAATTTAAAAAGTCTATATCAACGTATTTTTAAACTAACCTTCAATTTCTTTTAAAAATTCAATTCAATTCATTTTATTTTTCTCCAAACAAGTCAAACAATCAATTGTGAAATATTGGTTGGGAGAAAAATAGGAACACAAATCACTGAAACTCATAGCCGAGTATTTAACAAGAGGCGATAAATACCCAACTAGTCGCCGCACTGCAGCCTAAACTTTCAAAAGAAAATAAAAGTATGTATATTTTTATAGAATTTGGGGTCAAAGATTGATGACACCACCAATCTACAGTCTACAACTAATTGTAAGATAAGAAATTTCTATCATGTACTCAATAGTAATGAAATTTGAGTCATGTTTAAATAACATCATAATGAAATTTGAAGATTTCTCGGTTTTAAATTTCATTGGTATAAATTTAAAATGGAATATTCTGGAACTTTGAGAGAGAATCTAGTGTTTTGAAAACAATTAAAATATCAAAATTTTAACTAGCTTTTATAAATCTCACTTCTCCCAAAACATTATTAATTTTTGTTCTCAAAATATAATTAAAACTTGAACAATCAAGGCAACGGCTACCCCTGAATAGAATAATTTCTCAAGAAATTTATTACTGAAATTTTTTATACATTTAGAGTAAATGAATCTCTTTACATTGATTTTTTAACAATTAAATTAATATTCTATGTTCGTCCAATTTTTTAATATTTAATTTTTAACTTTTTATTTAATTCGGCCAGTGAGATTCGCGACTGTTCCTAGCGGTGCGTTTGTTTCGTTCATCCAAAACGAGACAACACTGTATTCCCACCAAGGTTGATGTTGCCCAGATACTGCCAGGTGATTCGAGTGAGGCGTTTTTTTCATACCTGAGCAGGATCCGGCCCATCCTCCGTCGCGTCTCCTTGCAGGGAATGCACAAAAAAGAGGTGAGAGAGAGAAATACATTCGGGAGATTCCTTATTATTTTCATAATCCCGTCGTCAGCTGCTCTTGAAAAGTACGTACGTGGTGTTCAAAACGTATTCGAGAGAAAGAGTGTTGTGTGCGTCATTATAAAATAAAAGTTCCCATAACTGTTGTTTGGGTCTCGTCCAACAAAGGAAAGGATTACTGCGCTTGCAGTAGAATGCATTCCAGTTTTGATTCAATTTACACATGATGAATTAAATAATTAGAATTTGGTAATTTTGTGTAAAAACAATAACTACTGGTAAAATCCAGCATTTACAACGTCTATTCAAGAGGAATTTGCTTACATAATTTACAAAAATATTAATAATTTATTATTACAAATTTCTGTTCTAATCAATACAACTTTAAATTCCAACAATTGAAAAAAAAATTATTTTAAATTATAGATTAAAAAAATTTAATAACTTTAAATTATTATGTACAAATTGAACATTTTTAGTTGTTAAAATTTAATATTTAATACGTAATATTTAATATTATAATTTATATTTAATATTATTAATATAATTTATTTCGTTATATTGACGAAATTGGAAGTAACAATTTTTTATTCCACTACATAATTTAATTTTGTAGCAAATTAAATTGAAACGCAATCAATATATTATACATGATAGATTGGCAAGTTAAAGGCGAATTTTACAAATTTAAATATTATCCTCAATTTCATTTTTAAGATCTGAAACAAAAAAATGAAAAAATCACCAAAACCGACTTGCTTATTCGAGGATAATCGTAAACCACAAAAATTAGGAAAAAAATGTCGGGTTTTAAATTCTTTTTTAAAATTTCCATAAAGAACAAATATTAAATTTTTTTGGTGGACTGCGGTGATAAATAGGAAGCATCTCGCGAGACGCAGGTCGACTTGGCCTTGGACACTGCGCCGCACCACCACCAAAAAAGAAGTTAATTCTTTATTCCTTTCAACGCTGCGTTGCGTATACATTTTTGTTCATTCGTGACGAGGTGCTTTTTGCACGGCCATTGCCTTCTTCCACCAACACGACGATCAGATTCGCAAAATGTGAGGCTTTTGTGTGATTCGCAAAGAAAAAAAGTCACTGAAAGGGATGAGGCAACATGATAATTATTTCCGTCAACCGCATTGAAAAAAAAATGGTAATATATTTATTATAATTAATTTTTTTTATTTGTCCAAATTATTGCTACAAAGCATATCTTTACGTCTTGAAAATAATCAATTCTTGGACAAAACGGCACCAATATTAGCCATGAATTTTGCTAAAAAACTTCCAAGATCAAAAAAACTCTATCCATAATTACGAATTTTTTTATATGGTAAATTTATTTTTCTTAATAATTGCAATTTTTTTTATTTAAGAATTTCTCAAATTATGAAATGTTTTATTGAATTATCGTTCCAATTTTATTTTCCAGTAAAATTTAATTATTTCCCCCCCCCCCCCCATTATTTAAAATTTGGAGGTCACAATATTTTTTTATTAAAAAATTAACAAAGCTCGCGAGTCTTATTTAATGCATAATAAATTACGATAAATTTATATGTTTTCTTTTACTTTTATTCAATCGTTTACTATGAATAAATGAAATCTTTCCCTTCTTTTTTTTTTAAATTTCGCAGATTTTTTTTCTGCGTGAATCTGGAGGGATTTAATAGACGAACGTGCGTATAAAACTGGGCGGAGAGTGGATTTAGTAGTGCGGATAGTTAATGAAAGTGTGTGTGATGCGATGATCGCGAATTTCACTCTCCATTCGCGCACCGCCGGCATCTCTTGAACCCTTCCCATAGCTTTCGTCTCATCATTGGAATTCAGCACACGCACGTCTCTTTAAATCATAAAAATTCAATCGGACTTGAATTTAAAAAAAATTACCATTCTTTAGGCTTTGGTACCTTTAAAAGATCGAAAATTTCATTGATCGAAATGAAAATATTGAAAAGTAGGTTACTTTGGTGCTCAACGATATTTTCTCAACGAAAGTGAGATTTTCGATTCCTGGCCGAGGTCCATAGATTATCTTGAAAAATTAATAGCATATTTTTCTCACAGACTTTCAACAAAATTTGCCAGTTGTTATTATACTGCCGGCGCACGAAGTTTGCAACTATGATTTCTACTTATTATATTTTATTGTAATTTATAATAATCAAGCAAAAATGAATCACGCCGACATTATAAAGACTTCTTCGGCAGCTGAGGTGAAACTCTCTCATTCCATTTTTATTTCTAAGGTCACGCATATTGTGGAAGAAGCAGGGAGATGCAACCAAGGTCGGTGCGCGCTTGTTGAGCACCACACGCCAGCTCAACCTCAATTATTTTGGTTCTCGGCACACGCGGCGTGCAACCAGCGGGAAACAATTATTATTTTTGAACACTCGAGAAGACTCGTATTTTTTAATGTGATTCATAACAGGAAATCTGCATTTCAGATAAGACAAAATTATTTTAAAATTTCCGTAGGAAGCCAATTTTATACCAAACAACGGACCAAGACAGTTTTCTAAAAACGAAAAAGAATGAAATAAAAATATTTTTGCTCACAATTTTGCAGTATTTAAAGAAAACAATATTGAAAAATGAAAGTTTTTAAAAATTTTACAAGATAACCATTTTTCCATCGATTTTATTTTTATTAAATAAATAAAATTATTATAAAAAAGCTATAACATTAAAAAAATGCAAGAAAAATGCATTAAGAAAAAATACTTTAAAATACTTTAATAAATTAATTATTTAAAAATTTAAAATGAACCAAACATTCTAACAAAAATTTAAAAATTTCCTGAAAATATCAATTGTTTATCTCTTACTAGGTTCACCATACCTAGATAGTTATTAAAGTTATTAACAATTTACAAAGAGATTGTTCTAAATTTAATATAAAAATATTAACGTGTTAATGACGGCGGAGGCTGGGATATTTTATTTTGAGAGTTTTAGCAAAATATTTGCTAACGTTGGTGCCGTTTGTCCCGAAATTTAAACTGTTTTCCTGCCAGAACCACTCCTAAAAATCAATAAATATTACATTGTTAAATTTTAAAATTCTAAAAAATAAAAAATAAAACAATGATTAGTAAAATTATTTAGGGACAAATTTCTTCCTTTTGAATACTTAGTTTTTTTTTAATTTAATAGAGAAATCAGTGAATATAATGTTGAATATCAAAGGCCTGATACTTCCGCTTTGTGTAGGTTAATGATAAAGATAGAAATGTGACCTAAACACCCACTCATTCGTTGTATTTAATGTAGCGGTATTTTAATTTCCACAATTAAAGAGAAATACGACTTTTCTCACTTCATTCACTGGAAATGCAATAAAATAATTCATTAATATAAACTCCAAACTAAAACACCTGTTTATCCTTCAAAATTTACGATTTAAATAAATAAATTTAACAAAAAACAAATGAAACTTTTTGTTCACTCACCGATTGTACTCCCCTAATGTGAAGTGGACCATCTCGGGTTAATTAATTAATTCACAACACAAACATAATCAGAAAACAATCCAATAATTCAAACTTCTTAATTTTAGAATTGATTGAATGTTTGTATCAGGCACGAAAGTGAATGTCTTTTCTTCGGAGACGATTGCAAATCGAACCTATTCTTTGCACCGATCAAAGGAGTGGACTGAATAAATAAATTCTGCTGTGATATTGTCTTTCGTTTGGGCCCCCACCCCACGCGCAGCTCCAACTTGAGGAAGAGATAGTACGGAGCTCGTGGTATGCCCCGAGAAGTAATTACTGCGGCAGTTTGTTATAATAATACCCCATTAATAACAGTACCGCACTCGATTAGGCATTGTCACATCGGTAAACAAGAAGAGAGAGAGAGTGGGAGTGAACATGGCTGCACGCGCGCTGCAGTGGCTGCTGCTTTTAATCAGCTTTACAGCCGTTTTGCGACCAATTTTGACGGGACAAATTGACAGTGGTGACTATGAAGGTCCAGGCTGCGGATTCTGGCAACCGGACGGCGCGGACGGCGCCTCTTCTGTCCGGGGGCCCGATTTCCCAGTTTGGCGTCTACTGGTGCACTTTGGGTGCATTGAGAAGCGAACGAGCCGAGCGGCGAAAAGAAGAATTCGGCGTGTAGGGCCACACCAACCTGCTCAGTACCTGCTATTCTCGCATGGAATGTCCAGCACCTACACACCGCTCGAGTTGATAACAGGCAAGCTATGCAATTTCGAACAATGTAATCCGAGGTCATTCGTCACTACATTTTTGGGAGTCGGCTCATACTTTATGATTCTGCTTATTGCGTGTGCTGATATTGAAAGCAATCCTGGCCCAGAAACCTTTGATGACCAGTTTGAAAAATTAACGACTGATGCTGAAAGGATTGACGCTCTTTGGGCTGAGAATAAGAAACTGGCCACTTGTATTTCCCAGCTATTTGAGAGAGTGACCGCGTTGGAAGAAAAAAAGCGAAGCAAAAATGCAATTATTTTTCGGAATTCCATCCGAAGTAAATTTGAATGAGGCCGTTGATAATGTGCTGTTCGACCAATTGAGACTAACCAAAAAGTGTCCTCAAAACGAGATAATTAAGCATGCAACTCGTTTCGGCCGCGACGGCCCCAGTCGCCCAATTTTGGTTCGATTTAAGGATGAGGTAGATAAAGAGCAAGCAGTGCGCTTGGCACCTCGTCTTAAAGGCTCAGGTATATTTGTTTCGGAAGATCTGTCCCCAGCAAAGAGGCGCGAGAGACGCAAAATAGTCAAGGCATGCAAAGAGGCTGCGGAGAAGGGCATCGCAACGAAAGTGCAGCGGCAGGGTTTGAGTGTCAATGGACAAGTTGTGCCTCTTGAGGCACTGGACAGTGATGAGTGGATGGAAAAATTCCTGCCTCCAGAAGAGAGTAAGAGCAGCGTCCCGCAAAATTTGCCCATTTCGCCTCGTGCGGAGCTTATGATTAAGGTATCCACACCAATGGCCCCAGTTAAATCAAGGTCAATGTCAAACACAGAATTAACAGCTCGTAAATGGGGTAAAAGCATACAAGAAGTCAGAGAATGGAAAAGGGACCCTAGTATAAAACGTGTACTTGCTTTATCAACAGATGACTATAGCAGCAGTGGCAGCAGCGAAAGTGTTGGCAGCAACAGTGACTGATTGAGTGAGAATCATGCGAAGATAGTCTTTGATACGAACTTTCATGATAATGTTGAAACCGATTAAGTGACAGCCGAAGTGTTGAATTCAAGTTAAATTTTGTTTTTCTGCCCAATCAATGTGTTTTTTCTGGTTTTTCAAGTGTTCAGCTAATTTTTTGTAATCAATTGATAACGTAAGTTTCTCTCTCCAAGCTAATGGTTATTGTAAAACTTTCTTGATATGTCGAAGAATGGGGTATAGTTACCCTACTGAGACATCAATAAACACCTTTTTGCAACTAAACAAAAGCGGCCGAAATCACTTGACACGTCCGTATGATAAAACTTCTACTCCCGTCAAATCGGTGTAATTTGAATGAACTACGACTTCCTTTGATTATAATTAAAATTTAAAATCAGTATCATATGAATTGCAATGCAAAATTTGAATTTTAGATTAATATTTTTTTTTAATTATTTCTTTAATTGTGTAAAAATTTAAAATTCCATGAATACTGATAATTTTTAAACATTTTTAATTTTAATTAATTAAATTTTAATTTTCTTTACGTAATTAATTATGTTTGTATCAACAGACTTTAATAAGAAAACGGTTTTTTTTTAATTTTCTGTATTTAATTTTTAATTATTGACAATTTAGAAAATTAAAATACTTTAAAACCTGAGAATTTGAGGTGAAAAGTTCAATTTGGTATTTATTGTGGAAGATAAAAATTAAAACATTCTTTAATAATCTGATTGTTGCAGAGCGCATCTTCTATTAAAAAAATTTGGCTTCTTGATAAATTGTTATTTAAAATTAATAAAACGAATTTCGATAAAAAGTGCTTATAGTATGAATTTCAGCGCTTCCCCAAGGATGGGAAGTATGTATAAAAAAGTGGTGCTGTTTCAGAAGCTCTGATAAATTTGCCTATCAAGACCTTAAAATGACTCTTTGGATTTAAAGACATCATTAATTTTATTTATGTTTAAATGTCAATTTTGGTAAAAAGCGTAAAAAGTAGTTTTAATGTACTTTTTTCATGAGAACATCCGATATTTCTCTATTTTAACAAAATATGGCGAGCAGCAAAAGAACTATTCGTGAATTTAATTTTAAGAAGCTTAAGAATCATTACAGGAAATACTGTCTCTTGTTTTCTTTCAAATCTGTGTCAAATTCAAGGTGCCTCGCGTTGACAAAATTTCTGCTGCTGCTGCAATCTGCAATCTGCGAGTTTTTTTGAACGCAATTTATAAATAAATAAAACCGGCAGCAGAGAAGGAAAGAGGTTCTTGTTTCAATTCCGCCGCATTTTTGTTTTGTACACAATCGAATAAAGTTTCCCTCGACGTTTAGTCTGGGCGTCGAGTGACGAAACGAACGTAATTTTAAATTAATTTGTTGACGCTCGCACACCTTCGAATCAAAGCGAGAGAGACAAATTACAAATTATATTGCTGACGACGACACACAAAAGAAGAATATAAAGCGTCACGAAGGTCTTCCATTGAGCGAAAAGCAGATAAAAGCGCTTAGCCATGCAAACTGCGGCTTTTAATTGGAGATCGTCGAAGACAGTCATCGGAATCCTTCCTCTAAGCCTTGAATTAAGCTTTTGCCCCCGCGATGCACGCGAGATTTTGCATGACCTGCGTCGCGCATCGCGAATTTTTTTAATGAAAGAGATGCAAAATTAAATTAAGGAAGGAAGCGAATGTTTAATTTTAATGATCCTCTAAACGAGCGAAAGGATGAGTGAAATTAACACAACGGAAAGAAAGAAAGCCCTGGACAAAGTAAGTGCCAAGTGAGTTGGCCTTCACCTTCCCGGCGGCAAAAGAAATTAGATTAAAACGGGAGGATATGCAACCTGCTCGACTTTCGCGAACAGACTGCTGCATCATTAAAGTGCAATTATTTCGCACAGGCAATTTGGAAAAACCTTCAAATAGGTGAGAATATCAAGATTTTAGAATGCAGTCTGGATAAAAAAAAAACATGAAGTTGCGGCAATTTTCAGGTCATTGAACTTGAAGTCGTTTTATAATTATAATTTTAGTGTAAAATAATAAAATTTGAATATGAAATTGACAATACTGAATGTTCTATCTCGAATTTTATGCCTGGAAAGTATATTCAAGTTGGGATTTCTACAGAATTTTTGGACACACATTATATACGGGAAAAATATTTGTTATTCACAAACCTAATTATAACTAGGGCTGAGCGTTTTAGTCTATTTTTAAGGTCATAATAGTCGACTTTAATCAGTATTTCGGCGTAAATTCAGTCGAATTTTCGGTTGGGAGGTATCCGGTTGAGAGGTGTGGGGCAAAAAATTGTTTCAAATAAATTATCTAGAAACTATTAAATGGTCTATACAAGATTTTTAGATGCGGTTGCTAAAAAACATTTTTTTTCTATCAACCGGCCAAACAAAAGTGTGCCAGGGGTGAGGGGTGAAATTTTTTTTTAAAGTTTGCTAGAAATGATTTAAATGGTCTGTACAAGATTTTTAGGTGGTTGCCAAAAACAACTTTTTTTGGGTCTCGAATTTTTGAAAAAATCCAGACTTTTCAGCTATTTTAGTCTGTTCAATTGAACTTAAGTATGTTTTTAGTTGTTATTGTTGATTTTTGTCAATTTAGTTGATATTGACTCTAGATTAATCGACTCGAAATTGCATGAATTGTGCTCATTTCATAACCCTAACCCCTAACATCCTGCGAAGATCAGAAAAAAATAGTTGATCGACTAAAACGCTCAGCCCTATTTATATTAACTATCATCATAAATTGACAATATCATCCAGTTTTCTTCCTGGCCTTTGATGAACTAGTGTAAATTTTATGTTCATGATTTATCTATTCATTCTCCATTCATAATAACAATGATGTTGCAAATTTTAAGCATTCCTGGACTTCAATTAACTCTAACTCAATTTGCAAAGGAGCAAACAAACTTTTATAAAAGAATTTCAATTTAGGAATAATTTTTCTGTTTTCAGATTGTCAGGGACCTTTAAAAAAAAAAATCGGCAAATTTTTCATTAAAATATCCTTTTAATCTCAACAGTTCCGAATTCAAAAGTACATTTCGGCTATACAAGAATGGCCTAAATCTTCAGCATAAAAACTGCAGATTCCTTTTCAGTCTCTGAAAGTTTTGATTCATTTCTCTAACCTATTTTAATACATAATATCAAGAAGAGGGTAAGAAAATATTTATCGTGTCTATTTTTTTAACAGGAAACTTGAGCAAGGGTTTTAAGAATCAGATCTTTTTCAGAGAATTTTTGTTAGTCACGGGCCCTACACCAAGAACGAATCAAACGTAAGTTCTTTCAGATTAAAATAACAACCTTCAGTCCGTTGTGTAAAATAAAGTTTTTTTTCTTAAATCCTGTCATAACTTGGCGAGCCTCTGCATCCTGATATGGCGAATAGGAAACCATCCTAAAAAAATTTAAAATTTAATACCTGAGTAATAATTTCGTTTGGATAAAAAAATCACCTTGACCAAGGATGGCAGTCCAGTCCAGAACTCGTAATTGGGAATAACTTCGACACCTTGGGCACCTTTGATGAACTTCATGATGGCCATGCCGCCGATAAAGTAGGCGGCAAAGAGGCTGAAGAAGATTATTAGGAAGGTGGCGCCAGCAGAAAGGCCCACTTCGTCCGCTGGAAGTTCTACTTTAGTGAAGCATCCTCCTTTTGAACTCAATATAAATCTCTGGAAAGAGAAATTGTGATCAATTATTACACAAAATGGGAATTTTTTTTAGTTTAATTAAAATAACTGAAAATGTTTATATTAATTCCAATACAATTTTACAATTACCAAAGCTGACATTGATGTTAAATTTTGGTGTTTTAGTTAAATTTAATATTAGTTTGGATTAACATAATAATTAGAAAAAAAAAAATAATGTTACTATAGAAATTCAATTCATAGTTGAAAACAAAGATAATAGATTGAGAAATTGCACCAGTTTGATGGGAAAGAGATTCCTTCTTTAAAATTAGATTGATTAATGCGAGAAAAAAAAGCACATTACAAAGGCCGAATTATCAGAAGCCAAAAAAGGCTCATTGGAAAACACCAGTTCCAAGGAATTCCAAGCGAGGGTAGTTTATCATTATTTTAGTTTTATAAACAATCCTTCAATTAATTTTTAATTAAATCTGAAGCAAAGCAAAAATTTTTCAAAGTATACAAATTACAATTTTCATAATAACTTTGGAAATTATTATGATTAATTGGAATTTTGTTACAGCAAATTATATTAAAGTTCTCTAAACACATTTTTTTTTCAAGTAATTTTTAAATTGCAAAATATTATTATTTACCCCCGGTTCGGTGGGGTCCTCTTGGAGGGTTGGCGTCGGGGCGGCGTAAGCACATGTCATGATCACAGTTGTGGTTATGGTGTTGTTACTGCAATAAGATATTTTTTGCATGTTACGTAATTATTTTTTTTTAGGAAGGCGCTAAAAAGTTTATTACTCGTCGTCCGTGTACAAGTATTGGACATAATTCATGCCGCCCGGCTTCTTTTTGCCGGTGAAATTGGCTGGAACAGGTGGCGGACTCGTTTTGCCAAAAGTCACGTTTGCGTGTAGGCCGAGAATCTCAAACTTGCCGTCCGACAATGAACAAATCTGCAAAAATCAATCAAAATTGGTATAGCTGATGAAAATAATTCAAATCTGAAAAAAATCTCACGGCAGCATTTTGTGGGCAGGTATTGTTTGTGCCTGGGGGTGGAGGACAAGGGTTGAAGAAAATTGTCTTGGTTCCATTTGAACTGAAATTAAAATAAAATATAGGATTTTGTAAAATTATATTTATGTAATATAATATAGAATTTTCAATATTTTAATATAATTTAATTTGCTACAAGATTAAAAAATGTTACGTAATTTTATTTTTTTTTCAATATTAAATATTTTTAATTTTTAATACAAAACCAATATAAATGAAATACGTTAAAATAAAATTTAAGTGTAACATAACTTTAAATTTAATGTAATTAACATATCTAAAACTCTTTAAATTAAGATATTTTACAAAAAATTTTAAGCACAAACTATATAGTAAAATATTTATTTTTAAATAAAATAAAATTATTTTTTAAATATAAACTATATTATAATAAAATTAGTTTAATTATATTCTAAATTTACATTTAACTTTATTAAGTTTATTAAGTTTTAAATAGTATTTCTAACTTACATAATTATACAAACAGTTTATGTACTATGAAAATAAAAAACAAAATAATTGTGTAAAATTATTAAAATATTAAATAATTATATTAAATTTATAAGTATGATGACTTCAAATAGATTGAAATGTAAAAAATATGAAATTATATTAAGTGCAGCAGACTTGGATGAAATTTAAATATCGAAAATGTACACAAATAAAACTAAACACTGAATTAAAATACTATTAAAAATTATTCAGGCACTCGACATTCCATGAATAAACTATCGCGTCATACATTTACGTCCAAAATAATTTGGCACCCATGCCATAAAAAAATTGCACACCACCCATGCAAAAAGCTTGGAAGCGAATTCCATCTCTTTTTTTTAATACCTGGGCAAGGTGAAGTTCTGCACGGTCGAGTTGGACAGGTCGAAGCCGCTGCCCCACGGGAAGCGGCACTTGCAGGAGGCGATGACCTCGCAGACCGGCGGCACGTACCCTTGACCGGCGACCCACACCCCTAGGAGGACCACGAGCAACCCCCTGACCACCCAGTCCGACAGCATTGCGCCGAAAACTTGGCAAATTCGCACCAACCGCTCCAGCAGCAACCCGATGTTGATGTTCGGAAATTTTTTATTCTAGTCATGTGACCGCGAGTTGAGCGGCGGAGGGGAAAATGCGCCGCGACGCCCCACTCGCGGACCGCGATTTCCAAAGCATTCAGGCGGACGCGATCAGAGATTAAAATATCTAAAATGTAAATTTCGTCAATTTAACACTGACTGGTTTTTGAAACCGGTCGAACAGAGTCTGGAGACTCGGCAGTTTAGCTTGTTATATAATCAGAACCACACGTGCAAATGAGGTTGACCGCAACTCCAAAAAGTTACAATATTTAAAACTAATAAAAAAAGGCCAAAAAACTGAAAAAATTAAAAAATTATATATTTTAATGGGCTGGAAAATAGCATTTTCTTTCTATTTAAAGTACTTTGGAAAAATCTAAGTAACAAAATTATATGATTAAACTAACAAACTGCAAATTCTATATATAACAAAATTAAAAATTGTGGCAATCATTATTTATTTTGAAATAGAATAATTGCAAACTGAAGTGCTAAGAACAAAGTAATAATTTTTAATTATACTGTAAATAATGTAAATATTAATTTTTTACAATAAATACTTTCCTTTTTAATTTATATATTTAAAATTTACAAATTATAATATAAATTTCAATTTAATTTTTATAAATTGATTATTATCCTTTTAATAAAGATTGAATTATTATACTCTTTAAATTACAAATTTACAGAGAGTATATTTATATAAAAATTTAAAGATTACTTTTTAAGTTTATAAAAATTAGACATCAGGAAGAAAGAGAATATATATGAGAAATTAAATTAATACGGTTGAATAGGTCTTTCCTGTCATTAATTATGAAATTTTTACATACTAAATTTTTAAAACCTTTAACAATGGATAATTTATTTAATTATAAATCAGAGCACCTGTTTATTTTTTTTTTAATTAATTATTTCATTTTATTGAATTACCAACGTTACAACTTCTGATCGGATAATTTAACAGCAAAAGGCACATTCCAATAAGGATAACCACGAAATATCATTGTATTTAAAGCCGTCAATTCATCTTTTCCATTCTACGATTTTACTTTTTAAGTAGCATACTCGCAAATCGAGACAAGTAGTGTGTGTGTGCAACATTATAATAATTTTACACCGTTTCTTAATTCATACAGTAATCGATTTCCGCATTTTTATTTTAATTATTACTTTCCTACGAGGGTGCAAGCGTACGTCGTTCTCAAAATTTTCTTCTAAATTCAAATATCTCAACAAAAACGAAAAGTTCTTCCTTTTTTTTAAGGTACATAAAATATTTTATATACATTCGTGTGCGCAACAAATTAATTCCTCCATATAATGATTAGACATGCTTAAGTAGAACAAATAGTTGCCGTTAGGGCGGGTTCTTTTGATATACCGGACTAACTAAGTAAGTGGTAAGGAAAAGTAGTTGATTCTTTATATAATCATGACTTCTACTCGCTTAGTGTAATATCTCTGTAGTTCAGTCGCTTCGTCGGTGTAAAGTGTTCTTACATTTTACAATATATTATATATTCATGATTTTTATTGTCAGTGAGGTGGTAACTAAATATGGATCGATGGACGAATGCTTAATTCTTCTCCATTGATTAATAATTTCATTCCTTTGGCCACGATTCAGGGTTAATTCTAACTAATTTTTTTTTTTAATTAATTGTTCAAAGTCGGAAACTTTTCTCAAGCTCACCTTTGGGATATAAATATTTTATACACAAAATTTTGATTTGAACTTTAGGCGTAATCCAACTAAATTAAGTATTGACTGAGGTGTGTGTTCAGAATAATTTCCAAAAGTGGCAAGAAAATTGGATTCTTTTTTTTTGGTGTGACAAATATACATATAAATTAATTAAATAGGAGAGTTTAAGAATTATTTATAGCATGCAGAGTGACTATTAATTCGGTTTGATTGGTGAAATGCATCTCAATGATCTTCTTCTTCTTCTTCGTCCCTCCTTTCCGCTGATATTTCAAATGCGCTCGACGTAGTTTCCGGGGAAGGTTCCGAAGTGGCCGGTGCGGTTGCTGGTGCCCACGTACCAACCGTCATCGCATTTTTCCATCACAAACACCGTGTCGCCCTCTCGAAGCTCGAGTTCGTCTTCGTTTTGAGGCTTGTAATTGTACAAGGCTCGGTACCTTAAACGAGAACCAAATATTCATAAAAATATCATCTATTGCATTAAATTTTAAATAAATTATTAATTTTTGGCTTCTTTGGAAAGAAGACCACAGCGATTAAGGCATTAAAGCAAATTTAATAATGAAAATCTTTCAATTTTGTTAAAAATAAAAAACTCACGGCATCGGATCGGACCGAGTATCGATGTGAAGGGTTTGGTTCATGTACGGCAAGTATCTGCTGCTCGGAACCTGATTTCAAATTGGTTAGTGAAATCTTTAATTTTTCTTGCGTGGACTTACAGAGTGTGGCGCAGAACTGCCATTCATGTAGGTTCCACTTAACTTTGGCATTGGTTTTTGTGCATCTGAAATTGTGAGGAGAAATCTTAAAAATTTCAAACTACTTTTATAGCATAATATTACAGAATTAATAAATCCAAATTAATTATTCCATTTTGAAACTAATATAAAAATAATGAATTTGAAGATCGAAAAACACGTGTTATCAATTTTCATTTCTTTAAAGCAATTCAAAATTATTAGCTGGTGCACTTTATTTATATAATGATTAATTCCAATTAAAAAATATTAATTTTTAATCAAAAATTTGATTATTTAATGAATAAAAAAAAAATTAAACAAAAATATTAAATAAGTTGAAAGGTTATTAAAAATTAACAAGTTAATCATTATTTTAAAATGTATCAACCTAATTTATTTAAGTTTATCTTTTTCAATTTATTTTCCTACTTAATTTTAAGTTTATTATTTTCATTTTTATTTTTTATTACCTAATCTCTCTCCAGGTTCATTGATCACCTCAACATAAGTACAAGGGAAGATTCCTCGTCTCAACCCGATTCTGCCCTCGTACCAATTGTCGTCCACTCTCCTCGTGAGAACAACCATCTCACCTAAATCATAATAAATCAATTTTTTAATTACAAAGACATAATAAAATAAATAAATTTGTTGCTACGATTTTTATTAATTTTTTTTTTTTTTACAAAATTCACTATTATTCGCTATTAAAATGAATTATAATTATACCTTTGACTAGGGACAATTCTAACGAACTCTGGGCAACAAAGTTGAACTTTGCTCGCGCCTTGCCCTCGGAAGGACCTTTCGGCGTGGTGCGCACACCGTCGTAGGGTATTATCTGCAAATGAGGTTGTTGCCTCGTTAATTAAGTCTCTTGATAAATTTAAATGCGGGCTCTCACCTCGACGTAGTTGAAGGGGAAGAGACCTATCGAGGCGTTGTGCTCGCCCTCGTACCAGTTTCTGTCGATTTGCCTCCTGACCAAGATAATATCACCTCGCCTGAATGTGAGCTCCCTAAAAGCAAAAAAGGGAATAAAAGGATTTCATTTAATATTTTGGAAATTTAAAAATAGATTATTGTTGTTATCAAAGGGATTCCTTCAAGAATTTTTTTCCACATTTGATGAAAAATATTTAAAAATGACAAATCGCTTAGGTTGAAAAGTGCAAGTAACTAAATTTTTACCTGGGTGTCTGCCCAACAAAGTTGTACAGGGCCCTTGCGACCGTCTTTGGTTCTGGAGTTCTATCCCTTCTGCTAGGAATGTCGTCAAAGAAGTTGTCGTAGCGGTTCAAAGGGATCGGAGATTTCTGTGACGGACTAAAAGTGATAAAATGAATTTTCAAATATTAATTATCTTGAAATATTGCAATCAATTTTATTTATTTTATATTTATTATTAATAAAACGTAGTTCAAAAGGTACTAAAAGAGCTTTTTTAAATCCTTTCCTAGGAAATATATATTCAAAAGTTAAATTCAAAGATTGCTTTTGTTGATGAATAAATTTAAACAAAATTATATTGATTAAAATTTCATCCTAAATTTGGTATTAACTTTTTAATGTTTTTTCCTGGAATTATAATAATGATTTTTAATTTTCTTTATTGGATTTTATCATTATTTGGTGATAATTACGTGAAATTGTCGGTGTGTCTTCTGCTCTCGATGTCTTGCAGCTCCTGAAGGTACTTCCTTCGGCGCTCTTCCTGGTAGATGCGCCTCATCGCCTCCTCCTGTCTGCGCGCCAACTCCTCCTCGGACAACGGCGCGTCCCGCGCCAGGCCTCGCACGGGACTGCGGTAGTGAATGGTCACGTCACCGCAATCGACGAATTTGTGAGGCGACTCTAAAATTTCACCCGAAAAATTGAGCACGAAAACGGAATAATAAGAATTTCAAACGTTATTGAAAAAAAGCACCAACGAAAAACGATAATAAAAAAATAATAATGAGAGTGAAAGCCTGAAATTTGAAAATCCTAAAATTCTGGTTAGTTACAGACTCGTTAAATGAAATAAAAATCAATAAATTACTAACAAAAATGAATAATCTTCATGCACACGGATGATCGTTTATATTTAAAATACAATTTTAAGCATATTTGTTGCTAACAAGTTCCAATGTCACGAATAAAAAAAATGACATTTAATTATTCAACCTCATCTCTTTTCAATATATTTAAAATATTTGTCCACAAAATTAGTCTTTGTGGACAATGTTTTTGCGTAAATTGCTCTGCAGAATAATTTTCACAAGGAAAAAATACTAATTTTTTAGTCCCTCCAATTTATACGTCTAAAAGTAACGTTTTTGGAGAACATTAATTAACAAACAATAATTATGATTAATGAAGTAAACGACTCACTCGGTTGGACAAAAAATGTGTCTGGGAAAGGAGACGCACCTGTGTCACACACGCACACACTGGCCAAAGCCGACTGCGAGTCGCGCCGCGAACTCGAACTGAAGTTTAAGGCTGCGAAGCCCGTGCAGTGTGCGCCACTTTCGGAACGGATCAAATAAAAGTCGCAAAGACAATAATATACGCACGGCAAGGACGGAAACGGGAGCACCGTGTGTACGCGCGAGACACGGGAAGAAAGTGTAAATATATAAATAAGAAAGAAATGAAGACGCGGCGGAGATCACACGCGGATGACTTTCATCCTCCGTCGGCGTGATGCAAATAAAGTAAAAACGTGCGATTGGGTTTCGTTTCGGTAATAATATATGTGTATATATAATTAAAATGCATCAGGGACGTGCAGATCCACCAATTATATCCGCCCCCCACCGCAACACACATATGTACATTTTTTGTCATTTCGTGAGGTTTTGGAAGGTTTCTCTCCGCATAATTAACGCCAGCCGAAAAGTGGGTCGTTCATGGAATTGATTTTTTTACAGACGTTAATTGAGAATTGAGAAGAGGAATTCTTTCAGTTATTAAAAGTTGAGAAGAAGACAAATAATAATGACGCAATAGTGGCGAGAAAAACAATGGGATTTTAACTCGGTTGAGTGAACTAGGAAGTTGAGCGGGTTACGCAATTGGTGGTAAGTAAATAGAGTGACATTCCACGGAAGGATTATTTGTGATGCATTCCTAAACCACGTGATATATTTGTAAGAACAAAAAAATATTAATAAAAACATGAAAAAAATTATTAGGTAATTTATCAATAAAAACGGCAAAATCAATAATTAAAAAAGAAAATTGATTTAATAAATATAATAATTAATAATAAATATTTAAACAAAATATATATTTTTCATTAGAGGATTATCCAGATTTTTAATATAAAATAATCCTTTTGTGATTGTGAGTTTTTTTTAATTGAGAATTAAAAAAAAAACTATTGCCAAAGTTGTGCGAGAGCTTTTTTTGTAATTAAAGTGCATTTGGAAGAACAAAATCCGCTTCTGAACTTTTTGTATTTCTGAAAAATAAAAAGTGAAAGAGATCAGATTTCCTTCTTCTATTATTCTATTTTTCACGCAACCTTCATCGTCGACGAGAGTTCATCTGCACTTTTTTTTTTACAAATAAAACTGAATGGCAGGGGGAGTTTGGCAGCAGATGCGGTTGACCAATTCCATTCACGCGCGGCCTGTTTTTCAAGCAATGAATTATTCACGCTGCTATTTAGAACGTTTTTAAACCAACCAGCTAATTAGAAAAATTATCGAGGTTCATTTTATCGGCACATCTCATGCAAAGGTCGACTGATTTCCACTTGGATCAATTCCAAAACAAACAAACAAAACATGGGATGAGAAAACGAACACATGTTAGTATAATGGACGGATCAATCGATCCCCCTCCCTATTTTATATTATGAATTTATATAAGAATGAGCGCTGATTATAAAAGTATTGCATGATAATGAAAACATTGGATTATTTAGTTAGATTAAAAAAAACGGGACGAAACACGAAAAAATGCTCGGACGACAAAACAGAGAATTAGTTTTTTGATCGGCGGTCTCTGTTACCTTTGTCCCTCTCGAACTCCTCAAAGAACGACTGTAGCACATCTGGCTCTATAATTAGAAATGAAAGATGCGTTGAAGCAATAGTAGTTGGGCAAGTGATTAATTGAGTAGGCGGCTGTGAGGACAATTAAAGTTAAAGCGACGGTCATGAAATAATATACTGAGCAGGCGACATTGAAATGCACCAGACTTTCAGGCTGCAGCACTAATTGATTAATTGGACCATTTGAGGGAGCAACATTAAAAAAGGCGATTAATTCTTCTCGATGGGGCACAAAAAAAACACAATTCTTATTTTGAAAAGTTTCATTTCATTGAAAGAATTAAAATTCAAAAAAAGATATGCATAGAAAAAGGTTAAATTAAAAATAATTTAAATTTGTTCAAAACTTAACCGATCATTACTGATAATACTAATTGTTAGTGGGAATCCCTAGAAATTATTTTATGCTTGAAATTTAAATAACCCAAATTACATGACTGTAATCAAAATTGCGATTTAAAAATTCGCACAAACAAAGTGTTAATCGTTAATCAAAGGTTATATTTCCTACCAAAAGTATTTTGAACTTGAGGAAATTGTTGATCTCAAGTTAGAAAAATGAACTTTTACTCATTGGGTTGAATTTATTGATTGAGTTAATCAAAATTCTGAAATAACTCCATGTTCGAAATCATGAAAGGGCGAACTTTCAATGAACCTGTTTCGACCCTTAGCATTTTTTTTATCGCAATTCTGATTCAAGTCATGGAATTAGTGCTTCTGTTTATTATTTGTTTCAAGGAAAAAACATTATTCAAGAGGGCATTTAACAGTTTTGCAGTTAAAAATCATAAAAAATATTCATCTTCGATTATTTAATTTAGTTTTGAACATAATTAATCAAATAAGTTTTATTTTAAAAATAGTTTCAACGCAGCAATTAGTTTTAAAAGCATAAATTTTGATTTGAAAAAAAAAATCGACGACCGATTATCTGAAATTGGTCCTTAATCGGAACTAATAAAAACGAGTAATAAAAAATATCCACTCATTGGTTTCCAATGGCAGTTAATTGAACGCAGAGCAATAAAATGATAGCGAGCGCGACAAAGAAGCGCCTATGCACAATATCAAGTCGGCACAAAAGCGCACGCAGACAAAAAGTGCGAGCACATTTTTATTGTTTACCAGCGCGGGCGGAGGCGACGCGGCCGTCGACAAACAGAACAATAAATGCAAAGCACTAACAGGCACTGGAGCGAACGATTTTCATTCTCGGGGGTCGCATGACCGGCGCCTATAAAACTCAAAAACTGACACGGCCCCCGCGAGCGCGTGAAAGAAAGTACGTATAGAAAATCGCTGCGAAAAACGCATCTCTCTATTTCGGTCGGGCCCAAAAATAGCAACAAAGAGAGAAGAGAGAAAATTCCGGCGGGCCAGGAGATGAGACTGGAAATTGAGTGCGATAAGCTCGGCTGCTCGTCACCCTTCTGTTTTCGCTCCGAGTGCATGACGAGACAAGGGAGATGGGACAAAAAGAAAAATTTTAAAAAAATATTCCAAAATTTGATTGGAAATTAAAAAATTGTTTAAATTTGAAAATCTAAGGCGAGTCTGTAAACTTCGGATGAAACCATACAAAAATTTTCAATAAATTCTTTAATCCTGATTTTTTTTTCATTATTATTTTAAACCTTTGAAAGTGACACTCCTGGACGAGGCCCTCGACGATGTCCGGTCCTGGGGCTGGGCGTCTTCGATCGGTCTGTAGGTGAACTTGGGCTTGTGCACCTCAGGGTCGTACTTGGGCGGCTGGTTCTTGGCCTTGAGGATGGGCTTGCTGAAGTAAAGAGGCGCCACCGAGTGCAGCTCGCGCACGTCCGGGGTCGACGTGAACATCTGTCCGAGCAGAGATGTGCTCTCGAACTGCTTGCACAGCTTGTAGACGTCGCCGCTGCGGGAGCGCCGCTGCTGCAGCGAACCGCCGCCTCCGGAGGCGGAAGCCACCTTTTTCTGCACACCACGATCACAATTATAACAAAAAATAAACGTTTCCGACCTTTCCAAGATAAAATTGCGTTGGTTTCAGAAAACTTTAATTAAAAATTAAAAAAAAAAGTAAAACTTAATCTTTTAAAAAGTTCTTTTTTTACTTTTATAAAAGCAAAATATAATTAATTTAAGTCTTGTTTAAACTATTATTACCTTTAATAACTTTTTGACCAAATTTATAGAGTTGCAATGTAGTTTTTCTTTACTTTTCACTTTTTTTCTTTCCAAGTTCAGTGAACTTGAATAATCTTCTCCTTTATCCTCTATTTTATTTAGTTTTATTTTCCCTAAATACTAAAAAGCCGAATAGCCTTTTTGCCTTTCCGTCAAAGAGTTAAGCAAGTCTCGCTAATTTTTTCGCCTTCCTTCAGTCGGACGTGAATGAGAGACAAAGCGTCTCTTTGTGCCGTTGCGAGTGAAACCAGTTTTTCTGCCGCAAATAGGGTTCACTGAGCGCCTCTGTGCGCGCTATGGGGTTTCTGTGCGATCTAAACGTTTTTTTTTATTTACAAAAAAATTCTAATCCGTCACATCTCGTTAACCAATTTAGTATAAAAAAGTACCTTACAATTAATCAAAACAGAGATTTTAGCTTGAATCAAGGATTTTTATTATGAAATGTTGAGAAATTTGAACTGATTGCAGTGAATGCTTTTAAGAAACCTTTGAAATTTATAGTTCTGTGACGTCACAAAAACTTGTTTGTAGGACAAACACGTGTGTTTGTCTCTCTTTTGTGAGCTCGGCGTGCACAAAAGAATTCGTGAGCCCTACCTTTATGAAATTTGAATAAAAAAATCTCGACGTGGTGTGAACGCACGATCTCACGAAAATATATAATTTGTGAAAAATTAATAAATAATGAGACCTTTAAAGAAACGTGTAAAGCACAGAATTCAATTCATAATTGACATTCCGCAGAAAGTATCTGAAAAGTTTGTCCTCTTTGATTTTAATGGTTCTCCTCTAATTATATCTGGTATTAATTTAAAATTATGTTGCATAATCATTGACTGCAATTTGTATTGAATGACAAATGAATTTAAATTGTTTATTTTTTGCTATAATAACTACTCTAAAATAATTAGAGACAAGTTTTCAGTCCCACTTTGACAAAGGTTGCTTCATTTTAACTTAATTTCAAACATTTCAACGCATTCTAATTTTATTGAGGACAAGTTTGCTGCTCATTTCTACCCTTTTTGCAGAAGAGAAACTGGTTTTTCGCAGTTAAAAAAGTAAATTTTCAAATCTAAAAACAAGAAAAAGGAATTTGCATGTAAATGTTTTTCTAAAACCAACGCAATTTTTCGCCGATGTCTTTCGAGTACCTGCAAAGTGGCAGTTTTGCTGATGACATTCACCCTGGACACGTATCGGTCCTTCAGCTTTCGGGGCGGAATGGGCGACGGCGTTCGGTGGCGCTGCTCGAACTTCTCGGCCAGGGAGCGCACGACGGGCGAGGTGCTGCGCGCCCTCAGCATGGACGTCGGCGTCGAGGCGCGTTCGCCGAAGAAGTCCTTGAGGTCGGTGCAGGAGCGCGACGAGGGCAGCGGCCGCTGCACCACCGTCCTGTTGGACGCCTCCGAGGACGTCGTTTCGCTGCCCCGCCCGCCCGCCCACTCCTCCACCGCTTTGGCGGCGTCGGCCGGCGCGAGCACCAGAACGAACTCCTCCTCCCCCTTCTTGCCGTCGTTGTTGTCCAGCGAGTAGCACGTCCGAGGCGACAGTGACGGCGACTGCGGCTGCCGCGCCGGTTGCGGCATCGCAGGCGCCGCGGGAGGCTCTTTCGGCTTCGGATCCTGGCGAGCACGCAAACGCACCGTGTCACCCGCGAATTTGCAACAACAGGGGTGCAAGCAATTTGTGCCGGCACCACAAGTAATGAGTCGCTCAATATTCTTCTTCAAAATTTCGAGTATTTAGATTACAAATATTAATATGTAATAAAACCACATTAATTTACTGGATTTTTAATAAATCCAAATTTGTAATAATTTAATTTTTAGAATATTTACCAAACATTGAAAAGGAAAAGTAATTTTGATGAAATTTTATTCATGATATTAAACAATACAATATTAAAATAATTTTATATTATTTTTTATTAGTGTCATAATTTTAATCTTTTATATTTAAATTTGTATTTTAGTAAGCGGTTTTCTTTAAGATAACACAATTTAACGTTTTATAGAGCATAAAAATATATATTTTTAATAATTTTTTCTAATAATTATTTACTTATATTAAACCTTATCATCTGGACACTTTAATGAATAGTTGGTAAATTTAATTAACAACACCTCTTTAAAGATTTTGTCTTGTTTTTTTTTTTATATTATCAATCCAAAAGTTGTACAAGAAAGTATTATTTTAATTTGTAAAATGCATTTACAAACGCAAAGTACTTAATTCCATAAAGATTTTCCATCTTAAGAAGATTACTAAAATAACAAAATCAAATTTCTCTAAGGAAATCCAAGGGATGCAATTGCAATAAATTTAACTTTTTCACAGCTTCTTTTATTTTAAAGTTGCCAATTGAAGGCTAGTTCTAAAAAGAATCAATTTATAAAAGTAACATTTATTTTGGCAGATATTTTAAATCTTATGCTAGATAAAAATTTTGATATGTTTATTTGGTTCCAACTTGTATATTGAGGACCAAAAATTTACAGCCTAGGTGCATAAATTAGTGTTTAAAATTTTATTTTAACACATCTGTTAAATCTTAATCAACTTTATATTAAACCTTGATTCTATTTCTATTTTCTGAAGTTTTGATAAATCCTCAACAAATAATTTAATTCCTTTGAGCGACTCAGCGACTTAAGCAGTGCGGCGTGCGCAAGAAAGTTTGGCGTATTGATAACGTTACTCACGGCATGGCTCTTGCTGGTCGTCTTATCTTCGAGCTTATTCTTTCCGACTGGCACCGCCGGCGTTTTGCCGCTGGCACCGCTCTTCCCTGCCGCCCTCCTCTCCTCCCCCTTCACTTGGTGCTGCTTTTTCTTTTTGCCGACGCGGGCCAAAATCTCCTGGCTCAGTGTCATGGAGATGCGACGCTTTTCGCTCTCGGAGAGGCTGCTGGCCTGTTTGCAGGCCGTCGGCAGGGCGGCCACCGAGTCGGCCTTCATGCTGGCCGAGCGTCTCGCCTCCTTCCGGCGCACCACTGGCGAGTACAGTTGGTCTCGCGTGAGCAGCGAGTTGCGCCGCACGTGGAGGGTGCCACCCTGCTTTTCGCCACCCACGCGCACCTCGAACGGCGACGGGGGCGGCGTTTTCAGAATCGCACTCAGCCGGCTCTTCAGCGCCTCCACCTCCTGTCCGGTCAGACTGGACGACCTGCACGGTCCAGCACTCCTCGATCTCCTTTTCTCCACCGCGAACTGCTCGGCCAGGTTCTGCACCGAACTGCCCCTCCACAGGGGTTTGTAGGTGTCCTTTTGGGCCTGCATCTCCTCCAGTTTGGCAATCTGCATTTCCGTGGTGCCTTCTGCAGAGGCGATGGACAGGTATTTGGCTCGAAGATCCTCGACGGACAGTTGCTTGCACCTGAGGCCGCTGTCCGGTTTCCAAAGGTGGTTCAGCTGCGTCCTGGAACCGAAAATCCGATCCCTCTGCGAAACTTGCAAATCGTTGTAGAGCTGCTTCATCTCCCTTTCGGCCTTCTCCAGGGTCCGTTCGCACCACCACCTTTCGAAGTTGGCCAGTTTGGGTTGCTTGATGACCGCTTTTCGCACGTCACTGCAGGAGGCGGTCAATTTCTGCAGGTTGGCGATTCGCTCGAGACTGCTGAAGAGGCGCGACAGCTCTTTGAACTTCTGTCCGGGGGGCAGTTTGTGTTTCAGTTCGAGCAGGTATTCGATGTAGTCGGCCCTGGATTGGGGCGAGCGCGGCCTCAGGTTGCCCGAGTCGTACATGGGAGGGGCGCTGGAGGACCTTTCCTTGGGCTCGATGGCCAGACAGGGCGCCGACGAGTGGAAGAGCGAGTCGTACACGCGGAAGGGCGACTGCGAAACGGCGCGTCGCTGCGTCAGGAAGATCTGCGTGCTCGTGTCCGTGCTCGGCCGGACGGTGCGGACGGTGTGCGAGAACTTTCGCGCCTTTTCCAACACCGTCGATGACCTGCTGAGTCTCTTCTGCGGCTCTTTCGAAACAACGACGTTCTGCTTCGGAATTTCTGATTTCTTCACCACAACCTTGGTGACCCTTTTTCCATTTCCATTCTGTTTCTTTTTCTCCTCCTGCTTTTTCTTGGTGGCCTTTTTCTTCGGCTCCTCCTTGGTTTTAGGTTTGGCCAAACTGCTGGGGGCCGGCGCCGTTTTGGGTACGATTTTCTTCTTCCCCACGCAATCCGCGTGGCGAACGGCGGAGGCGGAAACTCTTCGCACCGGCGCAGTCAAGTTGGTGTTCAAAATCTGCCGGCCCTTGGGAGAAACGGAGACGGAGAGTCGAACAGGTTGCGGGTCTTTTTCCAAAAGAACCGTCGTGCAACGCGTCGTGGTTCCAATGGGGATGCGACTCGGCTTGCCTGAGAGGCGGCTGGTGATTTTATCCCTCAAAAGGGTGACCCTGTTCGGCGTTGGAAAAGTTGACCACAAACGCAAGGTTGGGTTGTGTCGCGAGGACCTTCGTAAGGGCGGCAACGGAGCTGCAAATCGTGCTGTCCGTTTGAAGGTGGAGAAGACCGGCGGGACTGTCCGGACAGGGTAGAGGAGGTAGGACGGCACGTGGTAGCGCGGCTTGTGGACGCGGATGCGCGTCAGGGTGGACGAAATCGGGAAATACTCGATGCCGTCTGCAAGATTCAGGTTCGATCAGTCCTTTTTTTAGTTTTTTTGCATTTTTTTCCCGTGAGTGATTCTCCTCATGCTCGTGACGTTTGTGCGCTGGAAGTTAGTGTTTTCAGTTCTGAAGAAGAATTTATTTTGTGCGATTTAATTTTCGGACGGGACATATTATATAGAATATGAAGAGTTCCGTGTGGTTTCATCCAAAGTGCTCACCTTTTGATTTTTTTATACATTCTTAAAAATAAACACAGATCTAACAACTCCACCACCAAAATATATAGTAAATTTGCATGCCCAAAGGCGTTCCTAAAGAGAGCTAATTTTAATAAAAGCAAAGTTTTGTCCATATCATTTGAGAGAGAGAGAGAGAAAAAAAAATAAATAAATAAATTCAGGTCTTACCTCGGGGTTTTTCAGGTGCCAGTTTTCGCAAACCGTGCAGAGGAACTTCACCACCGGACTGAATGGACTTGTACGCTTGTTTCTGCTCGACGGGGCTGAGGGCGCTCGACAACTCGCCATCGTCGCGTTTCTTGAAAATCAACTGCGAGTCGCTGTCGTAACCGTCTTTCAAGGCGCTAGAATCGTAAAATTAAATTGGCTGCCTGCTTTTTAAAAATATTATGCTCACTGCGCCATGAACTGCTTCTTGACTGTTGATTGACTCTCAGCAGCATGCTGAAAACAAACGGAGCAGTTTCGCTGTTAGAGATTTATTGGTTTTGAGAAATTAGAATTTTTTTTAAACATCCAACCTTTGTCGTTATTAATTCCAGCTCTTGCAAATCCTTTTGCAGCAATAAAAATATCAAAATAGATATAAATTATTTTGTTTCCTATAATTCTTAAAATAAAAAGAATTTTATCAACAAAATAAAAATAAATATAACTTTGTTGCCTATTTTATACAACAATGAAAGCAGTTAAATTTAAAAAAAACCGATGCTCATCAGAAAACATAAGTCCATGTGATTTTGATGGCAAATTATTTCTTTTTTTAAATTTTAATTTAATTTCAGTTAAGAACTGAATATTTAGAAATTTGATAAATAAAATAACTTTAGATAATAAATCGCCCAATTAAATTTTGTCAAAGTCTGTCTAGCTTTGAAAATAATAAATGTTCTAGAAATTTATCAAATCTTTACTTTCAAATTCATATTGAACAAAAATAAACATTTGGGTAGAAAAAAATTAAGCCTGATGAGACACCGAAAATAAAAAAGATCTAGATTTAATTTTAAATCTTTACAATTTTTTTTCTTCTGGCCTAAATAATTAAGCTTTTGAATTTCAAAAGTTGTGCTTTTTACAAAATATGAAAATATACAAAACAAGGACAAAAGGTGACACCTACACTTAAGGAAGAGACGTGCAACTTTTTACTCTGTGCCGACGCTTGCATGCCAGTTTGCTGAAATACAAAATGTACACATTGGAGTGAAAACAGACGAACATACACTGCCGGGTGAGAAAGTGTACAAGGGAGTAAAGACTACTGTGTGTGCGGATTGTACGTGTTAATATTTATACAAGAACAAAAAAAAAGAATACCAAGTGGAGAAAAACGCTGCTCACAACAGGTGGGAGCAATGAAAGAAAATAATGATGTGTATAGTATATAGTGGTGAGTCATTAATGAATGAACAGGCACTTTTTTTTCATTTCTCTTACGCGGAAAAAGATTCTCCATCGTGACTGGTAGGGAGCGTTAATGTCAATCCACTAAAATAGGGAGGTACAAAGAGTGAGAATTTTCGAGACATGCCTGAATTAAATGGGATTTTAGCGGGAAATTATGTGAACGAAAGAAGCCTACCCCGTCAAAGATGTCCATAACCTCATCCCACCACTAAAACAAACATTATAGAAGCATTAGTTTACACGAAGATAAAAACAACCAGCGCTCCATTAGCCTCTAGCTAAATATATAAACGTAATTTCGAGATTATAAAAATGCGAGGCGTTAATAAAGATAAGCTCGAGACACGTTAAATTTTTGCTGAAAGCGGCTGACTCACCAGCTTGGCTTCTTTTTCTGAGATGCTCGACCTGCCGGGCTCGTAGTCCTCAATTCTGCCCGGCTGGTTCTTGTACACCTCACAAGCGTGTTTTATCGAAGGGGAAATGTACCTGAATAAAAAATTTAATCAGATTTTATAATTTACAATTACTAAATACTCAGACCTAAAATATATATTTTGTAAATAAAGACTTTGAACTTTTTAGATATATAATTTCGATAAAAGAAATTAATTTACAATTAGAGATTAAAAGAGTTGACAAATTCCAAAATAATAGTTTTTTTCGTATTGAAAACAAAAATAAATCCTTATTTAAACCAATTTTATTGAAAAAAATTCTGTTTTATTTTTCAAATGAACTGCTTTTAAAATTTATAAACTTTTCATAACCAGCAATAAATTAATTAAAACCGATTGAAAAAAAAATTGAAAATCTCTAATGCAGCATAAATTTTTTTACTCTTTTTGTGTTATTTTGACTTGACCGGACTTGACTTTACCTTGCTCTGGGCATGGTAGACGTGAAGTCCGGCTCCTTGTTCTTGATGCGTCGTCTATCTAATGTGGCATACTTTGAGGAATACCCTGTCGTCGCATCAGAGTCGTATTCTCCCGTCGGCTCCGGCTCAGAAACGTATCCCCCAGCCGAACTGTACGGATATCCTGAAATATAAATTATTTAAGAATATTTCCTCTTTTTATTTTTTTTATTTTTGCAACACGTAATAAACAACACAGTGATTGCTTTGAAGTGATCTGAAGCAATGACTAAATAAGGTGCGCCAATGCTGAAAAGGTGTTAAAGCGGAAAGCATTTGTAGAGATAGAAATTAAGCGTGATTAATTAAAGAAATAAGTAGTTGAGTGCAAAATGATCGAAGATAATTATGGATAAATTGCTACAAACGTGCATATAACACGCAGTATTTGATAGCAATTAATGTATATACGACTGAATTTGGTAATTGTTTTATACAAATATTATATATAATAAAAAAGCTATCAAACAGCTAGAGATTTTGAAAGATTCACACCTCGACGGCTATTGCTACTAGGCCTGTACCGAATAGTTATACTGTCATCTGTAATAAGAACAAGAGAGGAGCCCATTCAGTATCTGCCTGAGAATTTTATTTCTGATTTTTAAATATTATTTTATTCTTAAATGATACAGAGAAAATCAAAATCATCTCACCATCTTTTCCTGCTTTGTGCAATGAGTCGTACATCCTTTTGTACCACTTGCCGTAATTTTCTTCTTTGATATTCTATGAAAATTAAAAATATATTAATGACAATAAATATTTTTAATTATTAAAAATTTGAAATTGTTAAATATAAAAAATATTAAATTTATTTAGCATATTAAATAAAAAAAAATACTAAAAATTAGTTTGAAAATAATCTCGATACAACAAATACTTCGCCAAAAAAATTTAATAAATTTAAAATTGTTAAATTATTATAAAATATTACTTTTATTTTAAAAAATGGTTAAGATACTCACTGATCTCATGACAAGAGGGATGCCCTCTTTGGTGGTTGGACCAATTCCGTCATATTTCTTCGGAGACAGTTGGACAATTTTCTTATTGTCCTCGACCTCCTCTTTTTGGACAGTGTAAACTGAAAATCAAAATATTATCAAAAATTCTAATTTTTCACTTAAACGTTATTTTTATTACGAATATCATTTGGGTTGACGGTTTCGGCGTCTTGGTGCTGCTGCTGTTGCGTTTCTTGTCTCTGCTGCTGCTGGTGGTGGGTCTCGTTGGCGCTCATCTTGTGGTCCAAGTAAATCGCGCCTCTCGGGATTTGGCCCTCTGCCACGGAGAATGAGTTACGGCGACTAAAGGAAACAATATAAAAACGCACCTCGGGCTTTCTGTAGCAGAGTGACGGTCGGGTTTTGCGCTCTGGGCAGCTTTGGCAGGTTCAGCGTCAATTTCCTATCCAACGAGCTGCTGATGTTGTGCGTCGCCTGCTCCCTGCTCTGTGCGGGAACCAAATCGAATGGCGGGGTCACCTGCGGAAATAAATCGGCCCATTAGTCTTCGGGTGCGGGTGGAAGGAAAAATGACGTAGGAAAATTACTCGGTTCATCGATCTGACCCACATTATTTGCAAAGAGAAAGAGCGAAATTTTAGCTCAATTTATTTTTAGCAAAGAAAGAGTCAGATTATTTGTTAGTTTGAAAATTTTTTAGACTCAAACAATAAAAGAAAAGATTTAAATTTAAAAAAAGTGAAAACCAATTATTCTACACCAATTTGTCACGTTGAAATTTATATTTGCACTGGAAATGAAATTTTATCATCTTTTTATGTGACGGATTTCCAATTTTACGAAATTTTGTTGATTTAATTTTTTTATTTCATCACATTTAGAACCAGTTTTCTTCAGAAAACCTTTTCCAGAAAGAACCTTTTAATTCTTCCTATAATTTTATTTAATTTTTTTCCATCATGTTTATTATATTTCTGAATTTTCTCACCGGTTCTTGGTATGCAGGCGGTCGAGGGGGTGGATTGTTGGTCTCGAACCTGACGGGACGAAACTCCTTCCTCTCTAGGGTCGGAGACGCCTTCGGGGTCCACACTGGAGGCGGTGGGGGCTCGTCATTGTTTGAGGAGGTCGGCGACGGCAGGGAGTTGTTATTTGGCAGCACAGGATTGGAACTCGCCGCCCTTCCAGGCTTCGGTGACCAGACACCTGCAGGGAACCAAGTAAGAAACTTCGACTCTTTGCTGACAAAATTTTAAATAGGAAAATAACGTACAAACGTAAATTTTGGTAATTTTCTTTAAAGCAGGCAAAATTTCATACCAAATATATATATGTACATTGATATTCATTAAATTAAAACAAAGCTTAAGGTTAAAAAACTGTTCTATGTACAAAACCAAATCTAGATATTTCTAGGAAACGTTTCTTTGAGGTCCTCGTCAGTATTTATTTTTATTATAAAATTTGTAAGATTACAAAAATGTATGACTGAAAGTAATTCTTACTCCTGAGAATTAAAACAATGTTCAACTACTTTCACCACGAAAGAAATTTGAAAAAATTAAATTAAATATTAATATCAATGTATAAAACATGTTCATTTTTAGTAAATTGAAGCGCTTTAATATGTTTAATTAGTTCAAATCAGTTCAAATATGTTTTTGGTGGGAAAGGTGAGCCCCAGTTTCATGCCTTGTTCATATTGAGAATCCAGAATTTTTCAATCAAATTACGATTTCAGTCAGCAAATGCTTTTCTCTCTCTTTCAAATTCAACAATAAAAATATTTACTGAAGAGGACCTTTAAAAGAATCATGCTGTAAAATAATAGAAACATATCAAGAGTATTTTATATGTCTTGGGGTGAGTATCGATGGAAAGGTAAATGTGTGAGTGCGTTTTAGGCTCGCTCTGGCCTCCTCCACGGAGAAGAGCGGGTCTCTGTTACTTTTTAGCCGGCTCCGTCCGAATCTTGGCACGCGCACGCCGTCCCAAGGGCTGCGTGTGTTTTTACTCACTCTGTCGTGTACTCTGTCCTAATAAATTACCATATTTACACTCTTTGACGCCCCGCCATTATCGGGGCTCCAGAGTGGAAAAAAATTTTAATTTCGAACTGCGGATGCATTTTTAATCTTTTTAATAGTTTTTAGTGTGTCAAATTTCATCAAAATGGGGTTAAACATTTTTGTTTGTTTAATAATTGCGTTTTTTTTTAGGTGTCGTCTTTGGGCCTTACCTGGGGACGGCGCCTTGGCTTTAAAAGTGGGAGAAGGCACTACTGTGGTGGTTGAAGTTTTAGTCGTTGTTGATGTTGCGTTATTATTGCCTGCAATAATAACAACAATCAGAAATGGGAGCGCATCGGGATGGCGCAACACGTGAGTGAATCACACACTTTGTTTCTTTCTTTCAGCGCAGCTCCGTTTGATTTGCCAAATTGGTGTTGAGTAATGTTTGCGAAAACGCTAATTGCCGCTAATTGTGGTCTGTGATTCAGTGTTCTTTATTCAAATCTTGTTATGAACGCAGGAATAACTGCCTAAAAATATATAATATTTTTTGCTTAAACAGTTCATTACTCAGAAAAGTGTAAATTCATTTCAGTCAAATAGTTCCTATGTATTTTTTTTATAAATAGAGAAATAAATTTTTTAATTATTTTACAATTATTTTAGTTTCCGCTTCAATAAATACGCCAATGACACAATTGGTTTAAAGCTGATTTATTTCAAATTTTAAACTGCCTCTTGGAACAAGAATATCCTTTTTGGGCAAAATATTAGTTTTAAAAAGTTATGATTGTTTTTTTTCTTTAGCAAAAATATATTTCCGCAAGCTATTTTTCAAATTCAACAAAATTATAAGCTTTCACAGTAATTACGTGTTTCTGATTGATTTTAGCTAAAATTCCTCCTATCCGATTTAGAAATTGAAATAATTTACAATTTATTGGGCTAAAAAAAGTGTTTGAATTCAAAAATAGCTCTCGGGAACGGACGAAAATCGATTTATGAGCAAAATATTTTGCTAACTGTTTGTTCCAAATCACCGTTCTCTCGCCCACGGCAGGACGAAAGTTGCCATCTTTCTCTCAGAATTCTAAAAATGAACGAGCAGCTCACGTTGGAGGCGGTTGAGATCTCAAGGTTGCTGCAACACTTTTAGCTGGACCGATTGCATAACTCAACAGGCAATTTTTCGATACTGAACAGACCCCCGAGGAATCCGACAGACTTTTCATTCATGAAAAAAAAATCGAAAAAATGTACCCGGATTCAATTTCGCTAGTGCTAATAAATTGAAGAGGCGACCGCGAATAAAAAATAGAAAGCCCCTCCCTCGTAAATCAATTTTACGCGCCGATAAAACTGACCTGTGAATTTCATCTCGGCGGTGGAAGGAAAACGAATCTCCGGATGGACCGACTGACTAGAGCGTGCTAGCAGCTCGGCGCCCGCAACCACACTGACAATGACAACAAGTTTGGCTCCGCCGGCTGGAAGTGCTGCCAGAAACGAGACCGACCAATTTCTCTCTCTCAAATTCGAAAAAAAAAATCGATTTAATCAAACTTTCAACTTTTGTTTGAAAACAGAAAAAAAATGGATTTTTGCATAGCTATTTTTATTTGCGTCCGGTTAATAAAAATTAAATATGGACGTCTGGACAAATTAGGACAAGAAGCGCGACCCTTTCCTACCGGTTCGTTTGTGGTGTTTATTTTAAACACAGAAACTCCCACGGCCGAGCATTTCGTCAACTCTCTCGGCTGTCCTGTTATGCTCCTCCACGACTGTCTATAAGGCTAATAACCACGGCGGCTGACACACGATTTGGACACTGGCCAGCAGCGAGCGCCGTCGCCGATCTGCGCCCGATGATACGCATTATTAGCTTAATTGAATTATAATTATTTGGACAAAGAATTCCCGGGGCGCGAACACGCATCGTTTGTCAGTCAGCCGACCCCTCGGAATTTTTAATGAGTTCTTTAAATGGGACGTTCACACCAATTTTCACTTCGTTCCAGCCGCTCCATTAAGTTCCGAGTTCCGAGAAATGACGAAAGGGTCGATATGAATTTGGAGGAAAAAATGTGTCTTAAATAAATTGTTGTTGAATCTAAAACTGTTGTAAAAATAAATATTTGAAAAAATTGAATCCAACCTAAAGCGTATGAGATGAATTAATATTTTAATTAAAATCATGAATTTATTTTTTATCACCGTTTCAATGAAGATCCAAAGGTTGAGAATTGGTAAAAATCTGTTTTTTCAAATTTGATTTAATGCATTAAAAAAATATTAATTTATATTATAAATCTTATGAATATAATAAATTATATTATAATTATAATAAAAATTATAATATAAATTGAAAGTTTTCAATTGTTTTTATTACAATGAAAAATAAGAATACGCTCTTCAGTCAATTCGTGTCAGGTAAAATAGCAATTAAAAGTTTAAAATTATTAATGGAATGAATCAAATAACTGATTGATGAAAGTGTATATGATGGTCGGAGTATGCAACCTGGAAAGGCTGCGAGACATGCGTGTTGCATACATCCAAAAAGCGAAGGAACTTGTCAGCCTAAGCGAGTGTGGTGTGCGTGCATTCATTAGAGGAGGCAGAAATAGCTGGAGAGCCTGCTTTGCGATTGCGACTTTTTACTTTACTTACTACGCAATAAAACAATGCCGTGTTTGCGTCTCAGCTCGTCATCAATTTCCCTAAGCAAATCACAGCTCACCATGCTAACCTCCACCATCGCTACAAAATTGGGCAGCAAAACAAAATAACCGAAAATCATGTGGGCACAATATAAAAATTGATAAATTAAATTTCATGACAAACGTTTAAACATAAGATGTGCAAATTTCATAGCCAGACAAACTTGTAAAATTTCCAGTAAATAATTAAATATTTGTTACCTGAAATAATCAAAGTTTCAGGTAAAATGTATTTGAATTAAACTTTCTCAAACAATTCGTGGTTTCAATCGATTTGGGTGTAAAAATTAATTCCTCCAGGCTTAACCTTGTCAATAGCTTTCAGTATTTATTAATAAAGTTTATAGCCCTGGATCGATATTTGACAATCTGAAAAATTGTTTAAAAAGCTCAGTTTTAAAGTCAGTTTATGTTAACTATAAAAAAATCTCACAGAGTTTATTTTTATGTCATTTTATCAAATTCTAAGTATTTTAAATAAAATTAAGGATACTAAAATTCCACATTTTTGTTCTTAAATTTCTGACGATATGAAAACACAGAAAAATTCCAATGAAATTTTCAACATACAGCAAAATTTAGGTAAAAATTTAAATTAATTAATATAGAAATGATTCGATTAAAAATCTTAAAAAAAATTCACAAAAAGGTCTCAAAAATTTTGAATTTTGAACCAGAATGACACAATTAGCGTAAATGCATCGTCAAATTGAATTTTATTAATTCTATTGGATATTTTTCAACACCTAATACAAATTTAAGAAAATAAAACGTTCAACTTTTTTGTGCATATTTTAACAGCGCCTTTTCTCTTTACATTAAAAAAATCTTCCCATTTATTCATTAATATTTGAAAAAATAAATTGCAAAACGATCTTTAGCAGGTTTTATTGTTATTGAAACAAAATTTAGTCCGCGATCAAATTTTTGACAAATCCAAAATCTATCTCGGATGTCGCTTTTCGCCCACAGCCTCTTTTTCGACCGAGCGGCAGTCGGTCGGTCGGTCGGTCGGTCGGTGTTCATTCGGTCAGAGAGGTGCTAAGGGAAGTGTGTCGGTGTGGATATCCCAAAATAACGCGGCGTGTGACGTAACGCAAAAGGGAGGGAAAACTACTGCTCCCTAGTTTGAACCAACGAGTCCATCAACCGGCGCCGGGTTTTCTCTCTCTTTTCTGCCGAGAGAGAGAGAGATATAAACTCGCAACACCCACACCGAGCGTGACCCAGAAAATTGAGTCATGCGTAAACATAATTATGGGCTCGCGAGCTTCACCCCTCGATCCGCCCATTACGCGTGATTTAATTTAAAACCTCGACGCTTTACGCCCCCATTATTCTGCGTCCATTCATTCGCCTCCAGAGGCAGCCGCTGATTGATTGATTGGAACCGTTTCGGACGCGTTATGTTAAACGGTTTTGTCGTGGAGCCACCTGAGAAAAGTCGCGCAGAAAGATTTGTTACCGAGGAGACTCGTCAATAACTTTTTAAAAGCTGTAAATCACTCTGTCTCCGGAGAGACGTTTTACTCGCCTTGCGCAATTCGGCGATGGAAACATCTCTCGCGGATCATTAAAAATTGGAAACGAGATGAGACAGTTAAAAAAAATATATAAATAGATAAAAATAGATATTTACGATTTCCTAGCGATTTTATTTATATTCCTTATAAATTTCTTATGAGGAATTTTAATTATTTATATTAATAGAATTTGATATTTCATTTTTGTTGAAAACCAATAAATTAAATTTAACTATACAAAATTTGTACCACAAATTCCTAAATTAATTTCTGAGAAAATATACAATATTGAGGCCATTTTCATCTGTTAAATCTGATATAAAAATTTGCAATTGTTGACTCAACAATCACAATAAAATGTCTAAAATTTAAAACAAAAATCTCTCCTATAAATGAAGCCAAAGTAAAAAAAAAATTGAATCATTTCATTATAAAATTAAATTATTTCCTCAATTTTAATATTTAATGAAACAATTTATATAAAATTAGAACCGTTTTCAAGTATCGTGTCGAGTGTGGTATAAATTTATTCATTTTGGCTCCTGATTGTTGATTGTGTCCCAATAATTTTTGAGAAATTTCGCCCCCTTTTTTAACACGTGGAAAACTCACCCTGCTCGAGAGGAATCATCGTGTCGGGGAAGTCGGTGTGGCCGTCGGCCGCCTCGGATCTTGCGGCCACCAATCTGGCTGTGGCGATCGAGGCGAACTCCTCCAAGAGGGCGAGTTGCTGGAGCGTGCCGTCGTCCACTTGGTCTGGAGAGGCGGCGGCGCCGAGCGGAGCCATCTGTTGCTCGTCCGGCTCGTCAAGACGCTCCTCTTGGAATTGCTGCTCCTGCTCGTCCCTGCGCCGCTCCTCCTCCAGCATCTGCTGCTCCATCTGCTCCCGAAGCATGCGAAATTGTCGCTGACCCTGGATCTCCACGGCGATGTCCCGCTGCTTCGAGATGTGGTACCTGAACCCAACCACAAGTCTCCGTTTTGAGTTTGTCCCGTTCGGGTTCCGTGAGTTTTTGGTCCAGAATAAATTTTTACCTCTGTGATGTTTTATATTTTTTTCTTTCCAAATTCTCTAAAAATTGAGTAAAATCTTGGTAATCCAGATAATTTCAGTAATTCCTAGATTTGCAAAAAAATCTTCCATTGATTTAGGGGGAAATCGTCATTCGAATCTATTGCCAACTGTCTTTATTGCCCAAATATCTGTTTTTATTAATCTTTAATTATTGCTTTCAATGTTTCCAACATTAGGGTAATAAATTTACAGTTAATTAATACTGAAAATATTAATTTAAATATTTTCTTTAATGTATAACAATATTTTTTTATTTTTTATTATTAATTATATTTTATTACATTTATAATAATAATAATTAGACATTTTATTTTTTGTGGCTATGATTAACTTTATTTAATTAAGAGATTGAACATTTGAACAAAATAAGCGGAGTTGCTTTTTTCATTTGAAATATTAGCATAAAAGGACATCCCAGTGTTATTCAATATAGATTAAGTGAGTGAAATCTCTCTAAGTGATTGTCTCGAGGGTTTTATTCTTGATGATTTATGCAAATTAACATTGTAAATTAAATAACCAAACCATGACCAATGGTGAATTTAATCAATTAAAAAATTTAAATTAAAAAAATTGTTCATACCAAACAGATATCAAATTTAAACTTGAATTCATTTGCGCCACATGAAACTCCATTAAAATAAGAAGTAAACAAGATTGTTGAGGATTTTGGATGGGACATGGTGAAAATGTGGGTTGCTTTTGGCTGGTTTAACGTAAACACCCAACTCCATTGCTGTTAGAAGTGCCAAATTCTCGAAGGAATAAGACAAATGAGTGAGCCGTTGTTGAAAAATAAAATAACAAAGCTTGGAAATTTTAGAAATTTACCTAGGAATTCTATATAATTTTAGATTAAACCTACTTTTGTGTCAATTTCGATCTTAATAATATTTTTATAATAACACATGAAAAACCAATTAATGTATATTTAAATTGAAATATAAAATACAAAATCTGACAATTTTTTTTAAAAAAATGTAGCTTTTCACTCTTGGGTGCGTCCAGGATAGATTTGAGGGTAAATGTTAAAAATTTTTCTTGAAAACATGCCAATCCAATTTTCAAGTATGTTGTTGGGGTGGTCAAGAGGCCTCGCTCACCAAATTTTCAAGTCAAAATAAGGGGTGCTTTTCCGGGAAATCAGATTTTTCCAAAAACAAAAAATATGGAATATCTTTGCTCCTATTGAGAAATTGTTAATGATCTTTTCACTTCCAGACGTAACTTTTTACGCCCGACAACTTTTCTGTTGCCAACTTTTGCGTAGGTCAAAGGTCAAGGTCACTAAATTGCAAATTTCACTTTCTAACGCAATTTTCGCAAAGAAGCACCCCTCAGAAATTTTTCGCAGTATAGAAAAAAATGTAGCCCCAAGTGTGTAGAACAACATCCTTGATTTCCAGAATGGCATTATTTTTAGTTTTTTAATTAATTTTAAATGAATATTAAAAAACAGTGAAAAATCGCTTTTCCGCAATAGAAAGTAATTTTCAAACAGCGATAACTCATTTTCTGTTAGAGATACGCAAAAATGTTATAGAACAAAAAGGATTTGTTTTGACTTTTTGCATCTAGTCATGTATTGTTTATACAGGTCAGGTCACTTGGGGTCATTGACCTCGGTGACCTGTGACCTCAAAAAATAATTTGTGGAAAATGAGCTTATTAAAACCATTCCATAAAATAGTTCTTCCTAACTATGTGCCAAATATTCAGTAAACTGCTCTTAAAGGTCACAGGTCACTGAGGTCAATGACCCCAAGTGACCTGACCTGTATAAACAATACATGACTAGATGCAAAAAGTCAAAACAAATCCTTTTTGTTCTATAACATTTTTGCGTATCTCTAACAGAAAATGAGTTATCGCTGTTTGAAAATTACTTTCTATTGCGGAAAAGCGATTTTTCACTGTTTTTTAATATTCATTTAAAATTAATTAAAAAACTAAAAATAATGCCATTCTGGAAATCAAGGATGTTGTTCTACACATTTGGGGCTACATTTTTTCTATACTGCGAAAAATTTCTGAGGGGTGCTTCTTTGCGAAAATTGCGTTAGAAAGTGAAATTTGCAATTTAGTGACCTTGACCTTTGACCTACGCAAAAGTTGGCAACAGAAAAGTTGTCGGGCGTAAAAAGTTACGTCTGGAAGTGAAAAGATCATTAACAATTTCTCAATAGGAGCAAAGATATTCCATATTTTTTGTTTTTGGAAAAATCTGATTTCCCGGAAAAGCACCCCTTATTTTGACTTGAAAATTTGGTGAGCGAGGCCTCTTGACCACCCCAACAACATACTTGAAAATTGGATTGGCATGTTTTCAAGAAAAATTTTTAACATTTACCCTCAAATCTTTCCTGGACGCACCCTCTTATGATACAAAATGATTTTATTTTAACAAAAATTGAATCTGGTCTGAATTAATTAAAATTTTCAATTTTTTAGATTATTTTTGGAAAAGCACATGGTTCAGTGAACAGCTGGCAACACCGATGTACGTGTTTACAAAACAAAACACTGAGGAATTTTTTCTATTCTGGACCAAAATCGAAACCCGTCTGGATGATTAAAGTGTGTTTTTTTTTACCCTTGTTTGTACCTTTCGACTTCGAACTTGCGGGCCGTGGTCAGGACGGACTGCGTGTGGCTCTCGTCGATTTTGACCTCGTCGTCGAGCCACTCGGACAGCATTTTGGCCTTGAGGGCCTCCTCGGACTGCTCGTCCGAGTGCTGGTCGACGCCCATGCGTTTGTGGGGTTCGTGGTAGGCGCGGCGTTGCGCGAACTTGCAGTGCAGGTCGAGCAACAGGGCGGCGCGTTCGCGCGTCAACTGCGGCTCGGCGCGCTGCTGCGCCGGCGACAGGCCCACGGCGAACGGCCCGACCCCGGTGGGGTACCACCTCGACGGTGGCGGCGGTGGCGTCCGGGCTAAATTCGGCGCCGGCCTTATTTTTAATTCGGCCGCGCTGGCCAGGCCCCAAGCCAGCATCAACTCGCGCCCGCGCGCCAACTTAGACACGGCGGCCACGCACAGCGTTCGCAGACGCGGCACCGCGGCCTGCACGTTCCAACCACTGCTGCACACCGACGAGCACGTGGACGCAACGTAAATTGTCGTTCCCTTCAAAATTTTAATCAAATATTAGGGAAAAAATCATGAAAGTCCCAAGTTTGCAGAGAAAAAACTTTTTAATGGGGATTTAAATATGAATAACTGAATTGACAACATCAAGAAATTCCAAATTATGAACCAAAAGATTAAATTTCCCAGCCTTATAAGCAATGAAATTTTTTGTTTTCTAAAATTTCTCGAAATTTGAAAAAAATAACTGGGTTTTAAGTTGCAAAACTTTCGTTTACAAATAAAAATTTTAATTTTTAATTATGTCAAAATTCCACTGTCCTGAAATTTACGGTTCAAAATATTTTAAAAATTTATTTTTTTTAGAACGAAATAAATCAGATTTCTAAAAATTTATAGTCTCCAACAGAAACTAACGATTTAATAAAAGCTCAGACGTTTGACGATTATCTTTAAAGTTGGCAAAATTTAACAAACAAACAAAAATCACATTTTCCTCTATAAAATTTTGATTTTTTAGCCAAAACAAAGTCTTGAAAACCATGGAAGCTATCTTTGATAAATAGAATAGTAAGCGGAATTTTTAAATCTTCAAAATTGCAGCAAAAAAAATCAATAAAAATTCCTTTTTGAATTACTTATCAATATTTTTAACTTTTTGTAATACGTGGTTTTAGCAAATAAAAAAACTGGGCAGACTTAACTTTTAATTTGAAGATTAAAAATATCTTTTCTCCTCAAATATTTGAACATATTTAGTTAAATTATTTAATTTACATTAAAAATAAATATTTTATCTTTTTTAGCTATAAAACAATTTTGTCTTAAATAATTTGAATATTATTATTATTTAAATCTGCCTAATTGAATAATATAAAAATATCCTTATTTAAAGAAAAATTATTAAATTAATTATTTCAGGGCTAACAAATAATTTTAAAAATTTGTAATAAATTCTTTTTAAATGATTTTAAAATGATAAAATTTCTAGTGAGCAACATTTTGATCCAGCAAGAGCACTCACCTGCGACGCATTGGAGTCGATTGATGCGGACCGCGATCTCGCCGGTGATATCGGAGTTGATAAGGCGGCTGACGATAAACTGCTGATTGGCCCAGCACTTTTATTTTCGCTATCGGAACAGTCGAAATCTGCTTCCTGCTCGGCTGGCGATTTTCGCAGCGAGTTTTGCAGCACCTCCGCCAATCGCTGGGTCACTTGTTCCAACGAGGTCAGCGTCTTTTCCTCTTCGAACATTAAATCCTCCTCCTCGGGTCGTTCGTCTTTTTCCAGCAATTTGAGCAAATCCGGCACGTCTTGCACCGACGAGCGAGAATCGCCCATGCCGTTCTTGATGAAACTCACCAACTTATCTTTGTTGGTCTCGAAAAGCGATTTGTCGTCTGCGATCAGTTGCTCGGCAAACAGGTTAATCTGCTCCATTATCACAGGACCGCTTGTTTCATTCATCAACTCATTCATTTCGTCGAGTTTCGCAGAGAATTTGTCAATGATTTCGGCCGATCGCACTGCCATGTTTTCAAGCTGCTCACTTTCCTTGCAGATTTCCCGTTCAAGCTGGTCAAAGTTTTCGTTGATTGTATCCATGGTTTTGTCCGAACATTCGACGACAACGACTGAGTTCCGCTCCTCCAAAGGAGTTTTAAGAAAGTCGAATTTGGCGATTTCAAGTTTGGTTTTCCGGTCTGGAGGCTCGGTTTTTATCGGCAAAGGTTTGGACTTGCTGAAATCTTCCAGAACTTGGCTAAACCTCGGGTTCACCTCAATATCACAGTTTTGCTCAGCTTCTTGAATCACAGCCTCAACAATTTCCTTCTCATCCTTGCAAGCGGAATTTTCTTCCTCGTTTGAATTAATTGAGCTTTCGATTTTCAGCACTTTCAGCTCGTGGCTGTTTGAAAGACCGATTTCCACTTTGGATTCTACCACCGAGTTGACTCTTTCGTCGTTCTGCTTGCAGATTTCCTCGAACTCGGCGTCCACATTTCCCTCCAGGTCTTCCCTGCTGCAAATCGCTTCAAACTCCTCCCCTTCGACCTTGACCTCTCGGACCACCAGGTCGGTCGAACTGGTGACCAACACCGTTTCGTAGTCGTCGTTGTTTTTCAATTTTGCGGCTTCAATGATTTCTCTGCTGCGGCGCCGAACGATGGCCGACGCGAGTTCGTCGCACGCGGCGAAATCAGCGTCCACGTCGGAACTGCTGCTGTGGTACGGCTCGTAATTCTGCTCCTCTAGATTCATGATTTTGTCAAACTCGAGGGTTGCTTCGTCCAAGTCGGAACGGCCAGCGTCCGACTCGCCGTCGCTCGAGAGGAGGCTCTCTTGAGTGCTACAGAAGCAAAATTAAAATTGAAAGTAAATCGCATAAAAAAAATTTTGAAAATGAAAAATGAAAAAAAGTTTGCCCTTGTTGACTTTTTTATTGGAATTAAAAGTAGCAAAAGAAAGGTGGGGGGAAATAGAAAAAATCAGCAAATGTATAAATCCCTTTTTAAATTTTTTTTTTACTTCAGTTTCCTTAAATAAAACATTGAAATGAAAAATTTTCAAATTGCAATTCAACTGGGATAATCCAGCTTCCATATTTTTACTAGTAACTTGTTATTTGGAAAATATGATTGTCAATTCCCTTGCACCCTTGGGACAATTTATGTTAGAAGCAGTATTAAATTTGTAATGATTAATCTTCAAATTTGACTCTTCCCTGTACACATAATTTCCCAAGTTCAAATTTAATTAAATTTTATTAAGATAAAATGATAATGGCCAAAAAAACTATTATTTATTTATGAAAATAAAATTATTTATAAATATCATAAATATAAACCGTGTTTTCCATTAAATATATTTTAAATATTTTAAAATAATCATAACTTTACATAATATTTTACTTTATTTAATAAAATTAAAAGTTCGTTAAAAATAACATAAAATATTTAATTGCGGCCTTATGTTAGTTACAAATTTTGTTTCTGTTGAAGAAAATCATATTATTGAAGAATTTTGTAGAATGATCAAGGAAAACTTCATTATTAAATACAATTCATCCCTCGAATTGAAAAGAAAAAATTTTAAAATAAAATATTCATTAATATTCATTTCTTTGATATACGCCACAAAAAATAGAAACAAAAATCAGTTCAAAGGTGCAAGTTTGAGAAAAACAAGTTTTTACGAGACGTCAGAAAAAAAGTTTCCCTGCTTGAAACCCCGCACATTAAAAACCAAACCACGCATTGCCAATTGTGATATCTTTTTGAAAAAAGGGGGAGATGAAGGGAGATAGGTGATGAACCAACCCTCTGAGATCGACGTCCTCATAAATATTCTGCTCGGCGTTTCCCGACTCCTCGTCCTCCCTGATAACATCGAGTCTGCGGAGACTCGGCGGGAACGTCTCAGCCTTTCGCTTCAGCATTTTCATCTTGCTGGCCACGTGGATCTCAAAGAGCCGCTTGATCTCCTCGTCCAGCTGGTCTTGGCTCCTCTCCTCGGACACGACAATGGCCTCAGCGTAGACCAGGGGATACGCGTGCACCGCCGCCGGCAGCGGTGCAATTTCCTCCTCGTCCACGCACTCCCACCGCGGCTCGGACAGCAGCCCCGTGTCCGAAGACAGCACCTGCGTGCCCACCAACTGGGCTAGTTTCCGAGCCCGAAGTCTTCGCGTCCGCTTCTGTCTGCCGCCGACGCGGTGCGAAGAGCCTTCGGGACATCACCAAAGTCAAAAAGCCACTCGCATATTGTCATGCGCTTGGTCAGTCTCATTCCACGCCACAAAACTCACTTTTGCTTGGTTAGATTTAAATTTTTTATACCATAAATTCGAGAATTAACTGAGCTACTCACACTGACACGACACTCGACGACGGACAAAGCTCGCGGGTTAGCGGAACCAATTTTATTTATTATTTGCATCCGGTTTGATTGGTTTAGCATTCGTAAATGTTTTCCAAGTAAAATTAAATCAATTTTATTTTTTATCCCGTCAATAGCGGGAAAAGATTAAGTTTATTGAATTAATTCATCTTGATTTAAATGTAAAAAAAATCCAATTATTTAGGAAAAATTCAATTATAATTATTTCCTAAAAAAACGGAAAATTTTGTTGGATTATTAATTCTTTTGATTAATTACAATTTAAAAACTAAAATTAATTGATATGAAATAAAAATAAATTTTATTTGACTCAGTAATTTCTGTTCATTATTTTTTCCTTTAATCAATAAACGTCTTTTATAATTTTTTGTTACGATATTTCAAATGCTAATATTTTACTTCATTTTAACTATAATTTTATATTTTTTTTATTTATATAATAAAGGTGTAATTTTTATAATTATTAATATAAATTTTTAATTATCGTCTGAAATGTTTTATGTACCTACATTTAATTTGTTTTAATGCCCTCAAACACCCCCAATGATAATATTGAAAATAATACGTTCTTTGAAACATTGCGACCCAAAAGGATATTTTCAATTATTTTCTGGAAAATAGTTTGTCTAGCTGTTGAAATTTACACATTTTGTTGGTGAGTGTTTTTGAAGAAGCATTCAGGATAACTATCAACTACAAAGCACACACCATTCCTTCAAAACTCCAAAACCAAAAATGTGCAACTATAATAACGACGAATATTCGTCACTCTTTCTTTACTCACTTTTGGACGATTCGTGGCTCGCGGCCGGTTGATTTTTGCTCTTGCTGGCACTCGCTTGTTGCTGTTGAACGGCTGAAACATATAGATTGGAAATTCCAGTCATTCGAGAGCAATTAAAAAGTAGCGCGGTCTCTTACATGACACATCAAAGAAAAAACTAAAAGCGCTATGAGATTGTTTGCTTGGCTCAAATATTTGTTTGTGATAAGATGATAAAAAGCGGAAGTATAATAGTCACTTTTTTAAAGGAGTGACCCAGTTTTTTAAAGCATTTGAAACGTTTTAAGAAAGCCTTTCGAGATGCTTGTTTTAAAATTACCTTGGTTGCAATTTAATACAGCGTAAATTAGCGAAAATCTGATATTTGGGTGCATTCACATAGGCAACCTGTCATACAATGGTGTTGGGCAGGTTGCGTTTGTTAGTTCTCACTTTACTATTATATACTGAAATTTCAGTGAAGACAAAATAAAAGTTGAGCAATCAAAATTTAAATATTAATATAATTATCTAATAAAAAAATGTTAACATGTAAGCGTTAAAAATTTTGAATTTCCATTTGTGAGATTTTTCGACTTGAAATCAAAACAAAAATAAATAATCAAACTAAAAAAACGAGAATTAGCTCGGTTTTCACTTCATGAACGTCTACTCGAGGGGCCACTTTTCCTTTCAATTCAAACTAATCAAACTTGCACAGATCAACAAAGACAAGAAAATATTTAAAGGAAGATCTGGAACTTTTAAATATAATAATTGAAGTTTTAAATATCTTTCACGTCAATGTAACAGAAGTGATTGTTGTTTGGGCTCAAAAACTTATTTATCCAATCGAAACGCTTGGCAATAGTCCAAATCTGCTCTGATTGTTGTGATGCGCAAACCTTGAGTCATTGAACGTAAAAACAGCCCTCTTTCTACTATGTATTAAAATGTGTGTAAATTCAGATATACAGAAATCAAAATTCCCTTTCATCAATTAAATTCAGGGTTTCAATATATTTTGAGTAACTGAAAAAAAAAACACGCCCATGATTGTTTCACTATTTTGAACAAATATTAACAAAATATTTTAATTCATTTTGAATTATTCAATAATAATTTTAAGTTCCATTGTTACCATCTAATGATGCAAATATACAAATTAATGACAAACTCCAATTAAATAATTATATAAAAACTGTGAAAATGCAACAAAATTTATACCATTTGACCAAAGTAAACACTGGAATGTCATAAAAAGAGTCAAAGAAAATTATCGTCAGCTATTAAATTTCAGAACTCTGAACATCCGAGAAATTTGATTGAATCAAATAACTAAGGATGAAATCAGCTGTAAAATTAATATCGAAAGAGCTTTACCTGGCGAACAATCACGGCCGGCGCAAAAAGCAGCTGAAACGGACTGTCAGCGAAATGCCAGCGCGCAGTCACAAACACGCGAGCCAGGCCAGTTTCCCAATTGACTTGCTATCTGGCGCACGGACAACGAAATCCTTCCTCTACAAAACACACACAGCAGCGCACACCGAATGCAAAGTCGCACTGACGGGAGATGCGCGCGAGCGGAAGCTGCGAACCCCTCCATGCACCCACCGCGAGTAGTGCCGCCTAATGAAATAATAGGGTCATAACAAATACATACACGAATGCGATCACCGCTCGAATAACACGCTCGCAATCAATGAGCTCATTCCTTTCTTGCAGAAATTATAATATATAAATTTATTATTTGATGACGTGTGTGATCAGTTTCGAATGGGAACGAACGGTGACGGTGAAATCGCGAATGCCATTGAATGCGCGGCGGTTATTAAGTCGTTATCGCAATTATTTTCAAATTGTCGACGCACGATTCAGCCGCGGAGAAATCTGTCCACGTGTGAATTTAGCCGACGGAATTGTTTCGCCAGGTGGAATTTTGCAGTGCTTCTTATTTACTGTTGCGGTATTTTTCATAATTTTCAATTTATTTGGAATGATGGAATTGGAAAAATATAATAATTTTGAGTTTCATTTGAATGGAAAAAGTTATTGCCGGTGTCTATTGAAATATACAAATTAATGTTAATTTTTTATAATTTTTTTGCTAACTTTTGTAGCAAAATTTGAATTCCATTCCATTACTAGAAAGCAATATTGCTAAAAAGCGTATAAAAATTCATATTTGCAGCTAAAACATCTCTATTTATCTGATTCCCGCAAATGTAATTAGGGCACGATTACAAAATAAGTGATTTTACAATTAAAATCATATCTAAATACCCTTGGAGTATCGATCTATTGTCAAAACCACCTATAAAAAGCCGCAAATAAAAGATAGCGGAAGGCGTGCGTCTGAAATCGGAACCGGCTCGAGTAAATCCTGACAAAACTTTTCTATTGACCAACTTTGACAGCCACATGGGCGAAGAAAGAATATAGAAAAAGAACGGCGTTATGGGCGTAATCCCTCAGCGCGTCGTGCAAAGAATCAGCTGACCTCTGCGGGTCATGTGGCCAAAATTATCTCGATAGCAACTTAAAAGTCATCGCGACTGTAAAATGTATCATAAGCGAGTGCAATTTTTTTTATGCTGGTGATAAACAAACGGTGAACTTTGAAACTCCAAAATTTGCAACAACAAAAAGTACAATGAAAGGTTAAAAATAGATCAATTAAAATTTCTTTAAGAACAATTTGCAAAAATATAAAAAATTAAATAATGAAAAACGATTATAATATAAATTTAATTTTTATTTTAAATTTGTATTTAAAATAAAACTAGATTATTAAAGGAAAAATTTTCAATCAATAATGATAATTTTTAAATTTTTGTGTTTTGAATTCTTAAAATAAATTTGTTTGTACTTTTATCTCAAAAATTTAATAATTAATTAAAGAGTAGGTATTTTTTATTTATTCTTAACAATTAGGACTAGAAGCATTGTTTTAAAGCGCGTAATTTCTGTAATAATAGTTAATAATGGAAGTTTTCCAGCTTCAAATTGGGATAAAAAGAGCAAACTTAGGGCTAGAGAAAAATTCAGTCCTCTTGACTTGTAAGTAAAAAGTAAAAAAAAAAACGATCACATTACAAAATTCAATTAATTTTTCCTTAAGACTTAAAGCATTGTTTACAAGTCCGTTATTTTTCAAATGATGTTACTGTAAAAATTTTTAAGATGCAATCATGAATAAAATAGTGTCAGATTTATATTATTTAATTTAATTTAATGAATAATTTTAGACGAACTAGATAACTTTTGTTTGATGCAAAATAAAAATATTTTTACCTTACTTTATTCATCATTTGTCCCATGTGAAATTCTTTTCATTCTCATTAAAAAAAAAACAACCGGTTAGATCACTGCCATAATAATTAATCAGCGCGATCGAATTGAATCGCAGGTCGGCCCCCTCTGGAAAGGGTGTGACGTGGGAATGCAGGGAGGTGCGCTTGCTATTTATTGCGCGGCCCGAATGGTGATACGCAATGGTGCACATCATGAATCTCTTTACTTTATGTACGTTTGTGAGCGCGATATTATAATACAACAAAAACGCACCGCCCGTCACTCCTTCCTGTTGCACCGGGCGAACAAAATCGCGTCCACCAAAACTATCTGGGCAAAATTACATTCATAAAAATGCACCAGCGAGGGGCAGGGGACAAAAATCAGAATGTAGTTCCGGAGTGCGGTGGACACTGTTTTGGCGGAAAAAGCGTTAACTGCCGCGATTTGTTCTGCGTCGGTTTACCGAAATAAAAAACATTCAATTCTAAAAAGTTGCCACAATACATTAAACAAGAATCAATTTTTTTTTTTTTTTTAGAATGTTTGATTTGCACTAGAAAAATCATATTAATGTTTGAAATCGATCAATATAAAGTGAATAAAAAAATTTATAATATTTTTTAATAAATAGCTAATTTGCAGGAATTTTTTGCAAATAAAGTTTAAAAATTATCATTGCATTAAATATTATAAATTTATTCAATGATTTATTAAATAATATTGATGTTCTTCACAATTAGTTCAATTTGCTGACAAAAATTGATATATTTAACCAATTGTTGTACAAAAAGGTACCATGAACAGCAAAGATTTGGGTAAAACTTCCAATCCACCGCAAAATGATTATTTTAAAAAATGTCTCGGATAAATTAATGTTCACTTAAATTTATACATATTGATATAAAAATAAAAATTGTGAACTGTAATTTATTTGAAAATCAACGCCTAACAATTTTGCTGTCAAACTTCCCCCCCAAAATTAAGCAAAGGATAATTTTTTCCTTCAAAGCATAAATTAAAAAAACTAAAATTGCTGAGCTATAATTCAAAGTTGTGCAATGTCTAAAAAAAATTATTGAGCGTTCACTATGCGAAAAATCAACCGATTAATAAGCACTACGTGGGCATATATGAGTTTTTCATGAAAGTAGAAACGCCCTTTGTAATTAAAACTTGAATTATTCATTAGCCCTTGTGATTTGCAATGCAGTTATTATTATTTTGGACGCAATCAAAAGTAACGCCTTTTATTAAAGTAAAATATTTGCAAAAATTCTGACTATCTGTTTAAAAATTTCAACAATTTCCTTTTTCCCATATTTTTTCTTCACATCAGGATTATTTCGGATTATTTTTTATGCATTCTCAATTTAATTTTAATTTTATATATTTGGCTCACCCTGTCGATACTTTTCCCTTCGCCTGCTCTTCATCTTGACCTTTTTGCACGGCGGCTGGTAGGGGAGGGTGGCGAGGGTGGCCTGGTGGAGGGCCAGGCTGCTGTAGCGCGCCTCCCTGGACGGCGGTGCTGGAAACTTGTTTTGGAAAACCTTGCACGGCCAGCAAATCAAATTCGGCGACTTTTTCAGGCCCATTTCGAGGATAACACTTTCCGCTCGCCTCGAGCCGCGCGACTAACTCTCCTCGGAGGATGCAAAGAAGGAGGAATAATGATTGCGGGGCCGCTCCTATCTATTGTTCTCGCTCCGCGCGTAACGCCAGCACAATTATCCCGAGAGATGTAAAAAATGGAGAACGCCGGACGGACGTCGTCTTTTGATTTGTGCGGCCTGCGACGATTATTTTCCCCCGCACCGGAACGAGGTGCACGGAAGAGCAAAACAAGACAAAGGCCAGAAGATTGTTGGAACTTTTGGTCTCTTTCAAAGTCGCAAAACGTGCCGAACGCGATTCTGATACACCAAGAGAGCGTTCTCGAGTTGAGATTAAAAGAACCTTTTTATATTTATAAATTTTGTTTTAATAGTAAAAAATTGATTTACTTTCATTCATTTGCAAATAAAAAACAAGATTCAACCTTTGAGCCCCTAAACACTTTAAAATTACAATGAAGATCATAAAGAACCCAATAAACACTTCTTGAAACTAAATTGTTCCGCGTAAAGTTTAAATTGATTTGAAAAATTCTAAATATCACAAAATTAACCAAACTCCACTCATTCCTAAAAATTCAAATTCTATAGTAGATTTAAAATTGGCTTTATTTCTATGTAAGACGTAAGTTATTAATTTCATCAATATGATTGTATCAATTGGAAAAATAAACAACAGCGATAAAATTAAAATATGCAGTGCGTCTATTAAAACAAAATTAAGGAAAAGATTAACTGGATTAACTCTATAATAATCTAAAGGCTTTTAAAATTAGAACTTGTTGTAAGGCCAGAATAAAAGAAAAATCCTCCAAAAATAAAATTAAAATATTGTACTAATTGTATTAGATTAAATAAATATTAATTGAATTCCAACATAATTTCTTATTTTTGTAAAAAAATTGCAATTTAATTAAGTTTTAATAACTATATTTTATTGTAATTTAAATCAACATTTTATTATTATATTTATTACTGTTTTAATAAATATTTAATATTTGCAATAGTTCAACAGTTTTAAACTTTTACTAAATATTTTTTTTTTTAATTTCATTATACAAGATGCAAGCAACTTATTAATTAATTACTTATTAATTGTTTACATTGTTATATAATATTTATATTTATCCAGAGTGGATCAGATTCATTTATCACTTAACATTTATAATTCAATTGAGCGTTGAGATCTAGATGATTCCTAAGATTCCTTTAATGGCCTTGATTTTAATCAATTTTTGAGTGATTATAGATTTGATAATTTCATTCTTTAAAATGCACCCAAAATTTAAAAACTGCTAAAAATAAGAATGACAAAACGAAACAATTTCTTACCTTGACTAGATTCTATGGCGATTTCTTTTGATTCCAAATCCTCACTTTTCACGATTTGTTTTTCAGCTGCAACCAGAAAAAAGCCATTTCTGTTTACTCCTCATTTTGATATAATATTAAAAAGGACGGTGATAAAAAAAAAAGAATTATCACTCCATATTTTAGGCTGGACAAAAAGCTTCATTTTAAATTATGCCGACTCACGACTTTTAGGCTCATTCATTATGTTTGTATACTAGGACGGAAGAAATTTCGCTAAAAAGAAAGAGCAGCCGGCAAAAGTCAGGAGATTTAGATGCATGCACATAAAGCGTGCAGGCCACACACACACAAACACTACCATTATGACACTCAATGGACCATATAATACGCAGAGATAATAAAATAAAAAGCCAGAGCATCTGTTGGCAAAAAAAAACAACATCACATCGTGCATAATAAATAATACAAAGGCGAATAAAAAGCGTCGAGCTCTTTTTTGTTTTGCCTCGGGTGCGAATAAAAACAAATAAATAAGCAAATAAACTGATCTTGTCAAAAGCTTAAGAGAAAAGTACTCACTCTGTTCGGCGGACGAGCTGCTCTTGGTGCCGGCGAGGTTGTGCAGCCGCCTCTTGGAAGGGTCCCTGTAAAATCGACGACGATCATAGTCTGGTTGGCGCCGTCTAGGAGGACACCCATCGATCGGGGGCGAGCGACGACGGCGCGCCCCCCGCGCTATCTCGCGTTATCGCCCGAAACATATTGCCCCGGGCCATCCACCCACACCCTCTGGCGCTCTAATTAATTAGTTCCCTTCCCGGTGACGAAAAACAAGTGTCAATCACGATTGACCAAACAAATTGATGCGCGAGATTCGTATTGGCGCTGACGTTTTGAGGGTCGAATACAATATTTGTGCACAATTTTATATCAAAATAATGTGGTATGAAATTAATTTTGCATCCAATAATCTTGAAAAGAAGATAACATAATTAATAATTATTAAAATGATTTTTGTTCATTTTTTACGAATTATGAAACAAAAAATTCCAAATTTTGAGTGATATAATTGCTGAGAGGAAAATATTGAATTGATGGAAAAATAAGCACCACCATTAGCAAAAATTTTGGCAATGTTTGAGTAAAGATAGGTCAAAATAGGGGCCTGATGCAACAATGAATTTTTTGCATTGTTGTTAGCCAATCAGAAGAGGTACCAGTCTGATGGTACCGTTTCAAAGTGGCCCAAAAACAATTAAAATTAATTTTCATTGTTGCATTTGAGCCCTTATTGGATGTGATGACCTTTATTTATAATAAAAAAAAAAAAAAAAAAATATAAGCTTCACAGATATCATTTACTGATTAAAATAGAGCTTTTGGAAAACGCAGGTTGGGAAAAATGTGAATAAATTGATTCGGTATATTACAAACTCGGATTTGACTTGAATTACAAGTCGTAAGACCTGATCTTTGCTGTCCGAGGTTATTGTTTGAAATCTTAAGATTTATGACCATCTGATTTTCTTAGGCTAAAGTTAAGGGATGAGAAATTATTGCGATTTTTGCCAATTTTGAACTTTTAAGAGATAAACATTTTTACTAATGCAGTTTCTTCCAAGTTAAAAAATGTGCAAAACTTATTTTGAAAAAACTTGCCGAACAAAAACATGATTAATAAAAATAATTCTTAAAATTGAAGTTATAAATTATGATAAAAAAAAAAATTAAAAAAAAAACGAGAGAATTGGAGATAAGTGTGAAATAATGGAGAGACCTTTTTTATAAGTTTTATAACTGAGATTTTTTTATTCTTGTTGATTTTTAATTAGTGCTCTTTAGAGGTATAAAATTTATTTCAAGATTTCAAATTTTAGAAAGTTCAATATCGACTTCGATGAAAAAAGCGGTCAAAATGCGAGTAATTTCATCAATTTATATTCATTTTCAGCAAAAAATGACCCATTTTTTATTTTTATTTATTTTTGCCAATTTACATGATTTACCTCATTGTAAAAAACTATATTTCATCGTGAACGATTTTCAAATTTACTGCTATGTGAATTTACTATAAAGACCACGTGGGGCGAAGATGGGCGCGTTCGTAGTTTCTACGTGAGTTGATATCGATCTGTATGCACATGCGAGACGAGTTGGCATTTCTAGTGTGCTGGGCAAACGGTTTTAATGTCAGCGCGCCGCGTCTCGACTCTAATACTATCCGTCTTATATCGATTCCGAGGGGTGAAAAAAGAGTGCAGACTTACGGCGAGAGGGTGAGCGTGAGGGTGTCCCCGTTGGCCCTCATCAAAGAGTGCGCCTCGCTGTTGGGCAGTCCTTGGGTCGAGTGGCCATTGATCGAGGTGATGATTTCGCCCTCGCGGATCGACTCGTCGGCGGCCTTGCTGCCGGGATTCACCTGTCGCAGAGACAATCGTTGGTTTAGAAAGAGGAAAATATAAAATTAAATATCACACGCATTGTAGGTAGGTCGCCTGTTATTGTGCATTCCAGGCGCGTTTTTCGCGCCGATAACGCAGCAGGGACCGCGGCCGCAATGGAAATTTTTCAAACCGGCACTCACGCGCTTCCTCATTGCGACAGAAAATATTTTTCCAAAAAAGTTTCAGTCTTTGTTGAATATTTATTTCAATTGAATGCAAATATTATTGTGAATTTTCACATCATTGCGATTACTATAATTTTGAATAAACCGAATAAACTTGAGAGTTTCTTAAAAACGCAACAACGTCATCAATGTAATCTTAATAGACCATTTATTGGCCTCTGCGCCGAAAAAATTGGCATCGAAATTTAAGTATTCGAATACAATGTCACGCGAACTGTTAAAAGAAGACTTTCCAGAATACAAATCAGCGAGGCGGCATGTGATGCGGCGAGACCTTAGGACACACCTGGGCCCGCATGCGAGCAAAGGAAAATGATAAACGGTCTGACTAAAAGATCAGAGTGGCTTGCTAGAGAAAAAAATGTTAACATTAAAATCATTGAAATTATATTAATAATTTAATTTAATAATGTATTTTAACTTTACTACGAAAATAATATTTGTAGTTTAATCATTTTTATATGATATTTTATTATATATTTATTTAATTGAATTTCATGCTATGATTTGTTAAATTTTTATAAATATTCTTATTCTCTCAATTATATGTAATTGATTAATATTGAATTTTACTGTAAATATTAGCAGCAGTTGCCTCTGTTATTAATAACTACATTTTATAAGCTAAAGTCTTCATCGAGTATTTCAATATCATAATCATTTTTCCTCATTCGAAACATATAATAAATCAATTGCATATTTATGTCTTAACTCATAATATTTTGATCATTAAAACGAAAATTCAAACTATTTAAATAAAATTATTTTGACTAAAAATTTAATATTAATATTTTGCTATGTTTGGAATTGTGTATAAACTATTTATTGGCGAAGTCAAATGACAATAATTATGAGCCATTACTGGCAATTATTGGGTAAAACATGGAATTTATAACCACTATTGTTGTATGTTAAAAATTTGATTTGACAACAAGGAGTCCTTAATAAGTTAATTAACGCTAAACCACTTCAGGCAGTTGGTTTTGCTTAATCTTTTTAGCTCCAAGTTTAATTTCATCGCATTTGTTTAAAGTAAATTTTTATTTACTAATTTTTCAACTTAGAATCGTTAATTTCACACATGCTTGGAAAAAGACCAAGATTTTTTTAAGAGAAATTGCAAAAAAAATTCTGCACTTCAGTCTTTTCCTCTTGAAGACCTCAATTTTAGACTTTTTGTGAGTATTATAAGAATTGTTTTGGTCAATTTAAAAATTGTCAGTGTTGAAATTAAAAAAAAAAAAATTAATAGACAAGGAAGTCAAGTGCAAAAATCTTCTACCTCAAAACTTCTGCTTCTGGCCGCGGTCGCGGTGCAAAACTTGAGCATGTTGCTCGTCAACGGCGTCGCAACTCACACGGAACTGCGGCGATTCGCTGGTCACCCCAACAGCAGTGACCACATTATCAGCGCGGAATATGAGCGATAGCGACCAGCGACACTCGAAACACTCCCACTCGAAATAAAAAACCTTCTTCGTCTTCACAACTCGCGACGACGCTGTTTTCGGGCGCCGAGCTCGCGTTTTATTTTTCGAATATCCACCGATTCTGTGAGCTGAATGTAAACAACGCGTGGTGCTCTCGCAGCAGATAACGGGCGAAAGGAGGAATATTTTCTCTGAAACCTCTCGGGGGCTTTCACGCAGGTACATTAGGCGGCGCGAAGGGGAGGAATCGTAAAAAATAACAAGCGGCCTCGCGGCCAACACTATTGTGTAGTAAAGAAGGCGCCTTTTTACTTCTAGCTCAGGTGTTTGAGTCGATTGGGCAATTTAGGGAGTGCGTATCAATCACGGCCGCTGATGCGTATAGAAAGTTGTGATATCAGAAAGGTCAGAGTTGGTTGGGGTCACGAGAGCGCCCATCTCAACAAAGTGACAAAATTCAAGTGGTTTTAGTTACAATTGTTGTTTTGATTATAATCAACAGTGGAAATATGTTAAAATTTAAAACAAAATGCAAGAATTATTAATAATTACTTAATTAATTATTAAGATTATTTATAAGTTGAGCTCAAAAAGCAAAAGGCTGGCGATTTTTTAATCAAAATAAAACGACTTTAAGACTCGAAATTTAATAATAGAGGAAGTCCCTGGCAAATTTAAGCAAAACATTTGTATTCGTCTTGAATCTCAAATTTTTGCAATCATTTTTGATGGCAGTAACACAATCTGCACAGAATTACTCAAAAAGGACTATTTACCAGTCTATATAATTCATAATTTGATTACTTTTAAACTTCTTGATATCCAATGTTGACAGCCCTTAAATTATTTAATGATTAAATTAACAGTCAAATTTCTAAAAATATTAAATAAAATAAATTTGCAAGTGTTTCATGAAAAAGGCTCAAAGTTCTCTGATGATAAAAAAAAAAAAAAAAAAAAAAAAAAACAGAAAAGAAACTAAAAATTGCAAAAAAATATCCAAAAGCCTCACTTTTAGCCCAGTCCAACTTTACCCTGCACAAAATATAACCAGCCTTAATGTTTTTCAAAACGTTTATTTTTAAGAATTTTATCTCACATAAGTTATTTTAGGCCCAAATTAATTTCCTCGGCAGTTTTATATTTGGTAAAGAATTGCGAACTTACTTGCTTCATGGTTGAATATGGCACTGAACATGGAAAAAATATTTAAGAACTAAGAGATAACCTCTCTTATCTCAACAAGTAAGTGGAGTACTCGAGTGTTTATTTGAGAGCAAAAGCATTTAAAAAAGGAGAAGTTATCTTTAAAATTATCCTTTTCAATTCAAGAGGTTGATTCCGATTAATCTTTTGAGCAATTCTAAAAATCTAAATCTCTATTCATCTCGAGAGACAGGTCTCCCACACAAAGACTATTCATCAACATTTTCTGCGCGCATAAATTCCGTGCCAATTAGTCGCGTCGAGTCACCAATTAGGTGCAAGTGTGAAAAATCACCCACCTCCGTCCGTAGCCGATTACGCATGCAAATTGACTCTGCCAGGATTTGCCAACATTTAGATTGAGACATATGTCTCGGGAATAATAATTTAAAATTCAAAACATTAGTTGCTCATAAAGCTCTTGCCGTGGATAAAAAAAAAATCAAAATTTGAAAGACAAGTCCTAATAAAACATTATAATTTTAATTAAATAAAAAAGTAAAAGCGTCTTTTAATTTTAGGATTTTTCTTTTTTTCATTTTCAACATCGTTGCCTGATGGAATTTGTGGAAGACGCGTGTGTGTTTGGTGGATCACCGAGAGTGCATTAAAGGCATAGCAGCAGCGTGGTAGCCGAGTTAATTAGCGTGATAGAGTGGATGGTGCGGCTGGCGGGCGGGCGGGCACCCAAGTTTGTCAGTGTTTCATGAGCGAGCATACGCCCTTTCCTGTATCGCATCCCTATATAACTTCGGGGCACTGCCAAGGTCTAACGTATAATATACGCCGCCGGCGTAAATCACTTTTGATCATAAATCGAAATTACATCATGATCATGGCCCTCCAAATCAAGATGACAAACTTATTAGTTTCTTTATTTTATTGCAGTAAATGGTATGGATAAACGAATTTTATTATAATCTTTTTAAATAATATTTTGAAATCAAAACTGAAATTGAGAACTTGATTAAAATTTAATTAATCAAAAATCAAAATTATTTACAAAAAATTAATAAAATTTGCTCATTGTAAGAAATAAAAAAATGTGGAAATTCTCCTTGTTAATTAAATTAAAAATTCATTTTTTCCTGTAAAACAAATAAACCTTATTATGTACAACATAAAACAACATTTAATTAATTTATTCTAAAAATAATTTTTTTTTCTTATAGGGAAAAACATTTATTATTTTAGTACTTTCCAGTAATTTCTTGGCACACCGAAGCTGGTAGAACCAAAATTTATCTTCCTCCTTTCTAGGATTTTTGCACATTTCATATTGAACGGGTAGGAATTTATGTAAAACTTTTTCTAACTGTTAAAAAGTTTGATTAAAAGGGTTGCGTGCGAAGCTCTGCTCTATACTGGCGTCATGTAGAAGAGTCAACAAAACGCGGAGGCTCAACAATCAGCACTGGTGTTCGCTCGCGGCTCTCGACTGCCTGCGTGTGCTCCGTCAAATAATTATATCTCTTGCTGGAAGATGACCGTCCGTCCGTGCCACTGGGTGTAATATAAATTTTGTAATCCGACCCCGCACGTCAAGGATCGGGTTGGCGAATGTTAATATCATATGCAGGCTATCGTAAAAGTATAAGCGCGGCATAAGAGCAAACAAGCGGCTTGATTGTTTGCCCAAAAAGCAAGAAGTGCAAATATTTTTATTGATTTAAAAAAAGAATGAATCATGTAAAAATGTTCGAGCGTGAAAGAACAAAAACGACAGATTAAAATAATTATATCAATGATAGAATATTAATAATTTATAATAATTAATGAGTCTCATCAGCTGAAAATTAGGCAAAATGCGTGTTTTTTTTTTAAATTTATTTATGTAAAAAGTAATTTCCATTGAAAAAATTTGATTCAGTTGAAAAATCAGTATTTCGGACATTTACATTGCTCCAATGAGAATTTTTTCATAAGAATTTATTCTTTAAATGTGCCCACTTAAAATATAACTAAAATTTCACTAAAAAGCAAACCCAATAGAATTAAAAAATATATAAGAATAGCTTGGCTTTAAAATTTTTATTGAATTTTTCGGCAAAATTGAAACATCAATTTAATTTTTCAGATGCCTGCAATGTCTTTGTTAATTTTTGTGAATTAAATTGTGCAATTTGTTGACGTAAATCGACGTAAATGTAATTATGATCTTTATATTAAGAAAAAATATCAACTGTGCAAACTACGTACAACATATTATAAAAAAACATGATGCAATTTTTCTTTATTGCCTTCGTCATGCCGCTCATTATACTCAATGCACTTTAATTATCGTGATGCTGATCAGAAAAGCTTGCGCTCGCAGTGTGCTGGAGAACATGGAAGTTTTTGCTGGTAAAAAATCTGCAAACCGCTCTTTGGCCCGTTCACGTATTCCGTCGAAAGAAATTAAGGAAGCTCTCAAGAGGGCGTTTTCGTGAAAAAAGAGTTAAATCTGATCTTGAGAGAGAGTGGAGAAGAAGCTACTTAGGAAGGAGATTTGAATTTGGAGCACATGTGCTCCGCTTGCCAAGGCCATAAAGCGTGCAGTGAGTCACCACGATTTGAGTAAAACAAGGGCTGAAATATTAGAGTGCACTCTCAGGCTTGTCAACAAACAGAAATAAAATTTAATAAGCAAACTTCTTTTTGTGAAAATGAAAAAAAAATGTATATTTCTTCAGTTAGTATTTATCAACCTCAAATCGGGATTAAAAATAGCCTTTAGTGGTTTTCAGATATCTAGTTTTTCACCAATTAATTAACTGAATAGTCAATTGTTATTATATTCATGATTTTAAATTCAAAATTTTACAATTATGTGTCACAGAAACTTTCAACTACAAAATATATTAAGAGAAATAAAAATATTTATTCGACATTTTTCAAAAACAAATTGTTTTAGCAGTTTCTATACTTTTGGTTTTTGTTATATTCAATTTCAACATTATTGCATCTTAAAATTTGATTTGATGATTAAGGATGCATATAAGCAGCAAAGACAAAAAAAACAGTTGGGTAAATTTTGCAAGTGTCTGTTTTCTCTCTCCAGATGATTCTTGCAATAATATTTTCTTGAGAATTATTGTAATAGAGTGTTCAAGTAACAGAAACTATTTCTTTTACAGCGCATAATATTCCAGAAATGTGATAGTTTTTATTACGATATTGCAGTAGTTATCGGAATTTATAGTTGACGTGACACATTTTAATTGACTTTCACGGACACGGTCTGTCTATGCGGTTGTGTCATCACGACGCTGCGCACGACCGCATAAGCAGCCACCCGCAGTACACACTCGCTCGATTTGCATATGCGATGAAGTTTGTATATACAAATTGATGCAAAGAGAGTTTGTATACATAAATTAATATGGAAGTATATGTGGTTGAGCAAGCTGAGAGCGAGAGAAGCGCCGCGCGGCCGCCGCGAAGCGAAAAGGCATCGCGATTAATTTGCATGCGAAATAATTTATGACGTCTGGTGGTTCGTCCCAATCGTTATTAAAACGCCTTTGTATAATACTTCCGGTTAATAATTGCACGCGCCCCAACACCACGTTGGACACACATAAAGCCAAGCCAAAGGAGGGCGCGGCGAGAATTTCGGGAATTGCCACACACATGAAGCATTTTTAGGTGGAAATTCGGTGCCTTCAATTTAATTGCTATTTCATTGATTAAAATATCATTCATATATCACTGAAAATTTAAAGCCTATTAATTTACTTAATGTATTTTAATAAATATACAATTATGTACTTTTTTTAAATTTTGTTTTTCAATTATCATGATTTTTTTTCTTGCTTATAAATTTATAAAATAGGGTCGCAGACCGTGACCGAAACTGGTAGAGTCAATTTTTTTTAATAAAAAACAATTTCTGCAGCGAGGAAAAAGCCTGATTCATTCATTTCCAATTATGTACTACCTTTACAAATAAGATCAAATCAACAAAGTGAAAATTATGTGATTATTTACTTTCAGTTTCAGGTTTACTTATATTTTTGGTTTAAAAAATTACATTTTGCATAATAAGAAAGATGTTTTAATAACACATTTTTGGCAAAGTCAAGTAACGTCTTTACAGCAATATAAGGAGCTAATATTGTCAATTATTGTGGCACGATATAAAAAATTTAGCCACCATTGTTGGAAAAACTTGATTAATAAACTATGTCAATAGCAATAGAAGATTATTTCAAATTATATTTTGGAATGACAATTTGTTTAAAAGAAAAAATCAAACGTTTCCAAAAATAATATTCTTTCTTTTTCTTTCTGTTTGTTTTTAACTAAATAACAATAAGAAAGAATAATTTTTTTTAGCGATTTGGACGAATCGCTTAAAAATTAAAAATGAATTTTAATTAAAAAGCCTTATTTTTTTTAAAATTTAGATCGGCGTCATCTTTAATTTTTAATTTTTTGTATTTCATATTTATGCAACTTGTACTTCTTCCTTTCTTAAAATTTTTTGTCGACGCTGTCAATAATAAGCACTCTCGTCATTGCCAACTTCATTACTTCAGCAATTTTCATTCCTTTCGAATGAGACACCGCAGTCGCGAAAAGGTTTGCCAATGAAGTGCGGGGTGGACGCGTCTGATCGCGCCGGACACGCGGCGCTGCGGCGAAGGGCGCAGAATTGAGAGGGACGAAAACAAAGTCGCGCGCGCACAGTCAGACACTTTACCGAGAATGCAATGCGGATCCTAAAAATAAATATAAGCAAGAGAGAGAGAGAGGCTCTGGTCCACTCGTACGCTTGTCTCTTGATCGCTCGCCAAAGACCAGATGGTCGGATGATGTGATCATACATGCTTTTCATTTCGAGAGAGACGAGGGCCACAGAGCACTATTTTCTATTCGCATAATCGCCGCGATCCGACTCACTGCCGCCGGAATTAAAAAAAAAGATGAGAAGTTTTTGGCTCCGAGTGTGTCGTCGAGCGAGATTGATTTGACAGGAATTTTGAGGATAAATAAATAAAAGCAGAGGAAACTCTGAAACTTGTTCGAATTCGCGATGAGAAGCAAAATAACACGACGACGTTGTTTGTTTTGAAAAAAAAAAATATTTTTTATGACAAAAATTATTATTTTAATTTTTCCGACACTTGGATTAATTCATGTAAATTAAGGTCACTCACCCTGGAAATGCGCAAGGGTTGTCCAGAGTCGGCGCCGCCGTGCATCCGAAAGCCCCAGGGTGAGCCGCCCCTGAGCACAACTTGCCTGCCAGGCACCGTCATGTCATCGGCGCCGTCCACGTTTGCTCTCTTCGCCGTCCGCCGCCGGCTCACGTGCGCCAACCATTAATGACACACGTAGCGCCTAATTGCACTTTTATTTTGCCGCAGAATCGATACAACAACCCCGTCCCAAAGTCGGTTTTGTATGTGTGCGCCTCGACCGCCCCTTGTGTGTGTGTTGGACTGTTTTTTTCGCTGCGCTTCCAAATAAACCTACCACTGTGCCATCTTCAGAAACAAGCTCCAACTTGTCGCCATGGCGATTCGCACCCCCCTCGTCTGTCTGGCGGAATGCGCCCTTAATTTGAAGCTAAAAGGAATAGGGGGGGGGTGAGAGAGAAGGAGGGATGAGAGAGCAGCGCTGAGGGGCGCCTTAATTGAACTAGCAAGAGCTCTGCTACATTTTAAAACTTTTGTTTTTTTCCCCAAAAAAGGGTTTAATGGAGATTCATTTAAATTAATTTTTTAATTTATTTTCTCTTCTTTATAAGTTTTTATAAATTGGTTCTTTAAACCTTCAATAAAAAAATCAGGTACCATACTGAAAAATTCATATTATTTATGAATAAAAAAGGCAGACTGAATGCAACTTTAATACAAATTTTGAGTGAAAAATTAGATAATTTTCTAGTATTTATATCCATGCATGATTTTTTATTTGCTGTAGCACAGGTCAAAATAAAAATACCAAAAATTGATGAAATTTCATCTTCTATACATCAATCAGTCAGACATTCTTCTGCCAATCAGTCTTGATTCTGATTCATGCTGAGAACCAGAATGGAGTTTTTGTGCAAGACGAAGAGCTTGTCATCCTCAGGGTAAACACCCAAAATCCTGGCTGTGTTGTCGGGCAGACTCACTACCTGCTGTCTAGCCACCGTCTTGACCTTTTGACCTGGAACAATAAATTAAATCTATAAATAAATCATTCCTTACCAAAATGTACAAATAAAAAGCTCAAATTCCTAATTTTAGGAAAAAAGTATTTAAATTTATTTCTGATTGATTGATTTACCTGATTTCCTGTTCACAAGCTGCGTCTGCAAAGGTTGGGGCTGGTGGTAAAGGTAGATGTGCTGCTGGCTGTCGACCACAGCCACCCACCCCAGGGCTGAGGGACAAACAACCCACTTGCGGCTTGTTTTGGAGGCCTGCACATAGCCAAAGCCTGGGAAGGTTGACAGGTGAGACAGAGTCCAGGTCGAGTCTTTGGGCTCGTTGGGCTGCCAGACGAGGGCGTCCACGTCGTGCCTGAGGAGAAGAGCAGGAAGGCCAGGTGGTGGAGGACGACAGGCGCCAATCCACTGATGGCCGCTGAGGAGGACTGTGTGGCTCGGGGAATGGGAGGTCAGAGGGAGACGCACAAGTCTGGCCGAAACTGCTTCCGAGTCGCATTCTTCCAACTGGCCTGCGTTGAAACCCTGGTTTATGTTTTCATCGTCCTGATTTTAAATAAAAATTTATTCGTCTGGTTTAAAAATTAAAATGAAATGGGCAACCATTTTATCTTCCGAAGTGAATTTTTCAAGTCCAGCAGCAGCTTTTGTGATTTCTTCTGGATGAGGGGCTTTAGCACCGTGCGGGTCGTCTGCAATGAATTCTTCCCATGTTTGATCGGCCTCTTTTTTGTTCAGTCGAATTTCAGCTCTGTATTCAATTATATGAGAAATTGACTAAATAAATTGAATGAATTGTAATTACCGGCCGTCCACAACAGAAACTTCAAAGTCTTTGGTAATGCCCTGAGCAAGCACTCCATCGATGACCACTTTGGAATGCTCAGGTCCCTTGATGGTGATTTTCAGTTTTCTTTCCTCCTCGTCAATTTCAACGTCTAGACATTTCTTGTCAATGGCCGAGTGAATGCTGAAGGTTACGAAAACCTCGTTTTCAGTCTGGTCCCATGTGTAGTTAATTGGTTCTCCTGAAATTTTAGTTCTTTTATAATAAGCCTCCGATTAAATTGATTTATTCTTACTGAGAGCTCTTTCGATTGGAGGTGTGCAGGGCCTGTTTGAATCATAGGTGAAGAATGCCTCCTTGTGACTGGCCACGTACACAGCTTGGCCACCCTCTTCCAAAGCTACGTATTCAACAACACCATGCACACAAATCTTCCTTTTTGAAACAATGCAATCCTCTCCTTTGCCTGCAAAAAAAATTTTATTTTCAGATAAATTGAATAAGTTTGTGAACCAACCTAGAGTTGGATTAACTGTCAGCCAGTGGATGAGGGTAGCAGATTCGCTCGGCTGATCCTCATCCTGGTATTTGAGCTCAGGAATAGACTCAGAGTGAACAACTGACTCAATTAAAACGTGGATTTCGTTGCTCTCCTGATTGGAAACCAAGCCTTTGAGGACACCAACAACGTCAATTTTAAAACTGGCAACTTCCTAGGAAAATTAAATTAATTAATCAAAGCATAAAAAAATTATCATTTAAAAAAAAATTACCTGCCAGCTTTCATTTGAATTACGGTCCCCAGTAGTGAAGATTCTGACGAGTCCACCAGACGCCCCATCCATAACTGCAGCATGCTTTGGAGTGTCCAGACAAATGGTAGGGTTTAAGTCGCCACTGACAGGTTTATTGAAGCTCGAGGTGGCAACAACGCTGCTCTCAAATGAACGCTTCTGTTCAAGAAAATTAAAAATAATTTCAATTATATCACGCAAAATAGTTTACAATGCAAACGTACATCAGTGTCCCAAACATTTTTGACGATTTCGCCGTTCTCGTTGAAAAAGTAGACATGTCCCTTGGTCCACGGATCGCCATGCAAGTGATTGTGGAGACCGAAGAGGCGCACAAACAGGAACGAGAATTGATCAGAAGATGGTTCAAGGTGATTCACACCTGAGGATTTATTAAAATATCGTTTGTAAAATTGTTAAAATAGGAAAAATGAACAATTTCTACCTCCTCCAGAAATCTCATGCTTGAAAATGGGCACTTTGTCCAGGGACAATTTGTAGCCCTCAAAGTCTGGGGTGAGAAGTGAGGTGTCTGGACTAAGCTCTGACAAAACGGGCATGTTGGAAGCAGGTTTTTTGAGATTATTTTGCCCAAAAATATGTGGAAATCCCGGAAAATTTAAGATCAAAAAGCCCAGAGAAGGCCGGCTTAGGTTTGTTTATATATCAACAAGGAGAGGGGGAAACAAAAATTAGTTCTATTATTGGCCACTAGAGCGCCAGCAAGTGTCAAATAAGGAAAAATAATGCTTTTCTGTGCAATATCCGCAGATATCAGCGGCACCGGCGCGATTTCTCTTCATATCAGAATTCACAGTTTTATAAAAGAAAAATAAGTTTGTGCTTGTTATGTTTATGTGATTATTTCAATTTGAGTTAACCAAAATAATAATACTTAATTTTTTATTAGTTAAAATTTGAACAATTTCCCAGGAACACCCAGGAAGAAAAAACACAAAATTTTTATTTTTAAATCCTTCAACAAGATTTATTTAAAGAGAAATAACAATGCTTAACTGCGCACGTTAATTATTTACAAATGTTCAGTTCTGCCTCAAATCAACACCTCAAAAATAATGATTAGTGAACATACTGAGAGTAAATCGTAAAACTTAATAGAAAGTTATTACTTTTGGTCTTACAGTTAGGCGAGTAAATTATTAATATTATTTTTACACTTTAAACTTTGCAATACAGCAACTAGAAAGAAAAAACAACTGCGTCAAAAGTTCAGAAGGTAAAATCTCACAAAACGCTTCGTACTCTAATAGAAATGAGCTTAAACAAATAATCTGCATTAAAACCGTCTATGAAGACATGCCATCCAAAGACTTTCCATTGCTTTCCTGCTGGTAAATATTTCCTCCGACTAAACGGGATACAAAAAGATGAAAACCAAAATATGACCAGGTCATCGTTCACAGCAAACGTCTCTTCATTTTTTCTCAAACAGGTCCCTGATATCAGCCAACGAGCGCTCAATCTGCTTGGCAAATCTGCTCGAATCCTAAAACAAAACCAAATAAGTACTATAAAATTTTGTAAAAAGGGTTTTGCACTAACAGTTTCATGTGAGCTCTTCTTGCTAGATATGTGGAAGAAGATGAGATCTTCTCCAGCAATGATGTACGAGACTCCATAGCCATCATCGGCCACGGGTCCAAAGCCTCCTCCAGCGCTGATACACTTGGGGTGCTTTTTCAGGTCGAGCCGAGAGGTTTGGCCGTGCGGCGTCTGCGAGGTAGATAGTCTCCAAGGCTCAGAAAGCACCTCCTGCATTAATATTCATTAATATTACAAATTAAAAAACACATTTAAAAAGTTAAAATCTCCACCTTCAAGAAGGGTGAATCAACTTCAAGGTACTTCGAAACGACGTACAAGCAGAACAAGTGCCTGTCAATTCCCTTGCCACACATGGCGTCTTGATAGCCCTTTTGATGCCTCTGACAAGCTGTCAGTAGCAGCTTGATATTTTCCTCTTTCTGTAAAATATGACATAGAGTTATACAGGAGAAGATTTGATAAGTTTGGCATTTTTCATACTGAGGCGTTGCCTTCGATCATCGACTTGACCCAGGCAGAGCTTTCAATAGTGCATGGACGGACTGTCTCTGTGCGGCCTTCACGGAAGAGACGAGTCATTGAGGCTTCATAGGTCAGGCTGAACTTTCCAGCATCCTGCCAAGAAAACAAATCAGAATTCATGAAGATGCCAAAAGGTTAAGAAACCTACTCGGAAGTAAGCAAGTTGAAGGGCCATTTGGATGAAAGCGTCAGGGCTGACCCTGCACTTCTTCATGAATCCCTTTCCGTAATGGTCGTGAACGTAAATTCTGAGGTCAACGTCACTGAGCAGGTCCTGCGCAGCAATGTAGGCGCCTTCGATCTCCTTAAGGGCAGGAGCTGGCATATCCCACTGCAGCCTCGTTGGTGCGGGAGGTTCGAACTCCGGAGTTCCAACCGTGTGTCCGATCTCGTCATACCTAGCAACGGATCCGTGCGTTACGACTGGTTTTACAGAAGTTTTAGTGTTGTTAAGATCCATTCAAAATGACATGCAAGTTTTAATCATATTTCAAAATGAATTGAATTAATTATCCAAAAGGCTTTACAAATATTTATTAAACAACAGTGTATAAAAAACTTTTTGTAAATGATTAATATTGTTTGTAATTAAAAATTGACAAGTTAATTTTTTTATTGTCATTTCATTGGTCTATAAAAAAAATTTGTTAAAAAATATGAAGAACATAACAAAACAAGTGAAGCAAAAGCATAAGAAGTTATAATTGCAAGCAAATTTACTACCAAGGAACACCAAAAGATAAAGAGCCCAAGCACAGGGTGGTGGAAATAAAATGAAATAAGATATAAGATCTTTTGTTTGACTCACCAATTTACTCTAAAAAATTTTCCCATAGAAAACACATGAATTAGTCTGGTCTGTTAACATGATTCGGGAGACACAAATTAAGGAATCCAAAATAATTATTTTGCTGATTGCAATTTTGAAAAATTAAAACAGGGGACATTGAAACAGATAAATCTCTTCTATATTATCAGGGGGCACTTTGGTTTCTAACTTTCAACTATATTAAAAGTTCATGCCAAAACCCCCAAAATCAAACTTTTAATTGCAGCGGCCGCAAAACTATCATGGAAACGTCCAAATCTCAGAATTTGTGACCAGGACATTCATTGATCTGATTGGCTTTGCAGCGTTTTTCAAAAGCATGCAAATGCCGAAAGGGCAGACTGGCTTTTAAATTGCATCAGATTTTAATTTAAGTGAATTCCCAAAAATTGCATCAGTCAAAAGCAGGGAAGTGTGAGGATTACCCAATGGTGAGCTCCTCTCCAAGGGCGAACTCCCACATGTGGCCCAAGACTGGGGCGTCAGCCCTGGCACCAATATAACACCATTAGTGCAAAGGGTTTGGGGCAGTGGTTGCAAATAATTCATGTTTTTATAATTCAAGATCACATAGATATTTAAGAGAGGTAAACCAGCGCCACTTGATACCATATTTTAATAAATAATAAAAAGTGTGTATGACCGATTGATTGGTGAGTGCCAAAACCAAGGGTGAAAAACAATTGCGAAATAATTTAAAGGCGTAAGAAAAATAAAAATAGATGTTGAGGAAAAACTGTAGAAAATGTACACAGAGAGATAGTTTGAAGAGCTTCAGTTGGCACTTTTTCCTACCACATATTTTCGACCTCCTCGCTCAGCACAAATTCCCACAGGTGCGACATAACTGCTGCGTCGGCCCTAAATTTTTGAAAATGACGGAGGTACTTAAATACATGTTGAATAAAAAAAAAATCCAAAATTCGGCCAGATTAATCTGCAGGCTGATTTTGATCTCCTTGCTTTTAAAATAGGCCCACTCAAAAGATGTATAAACGGTTTGTGTACGAAATGTCAAAGTGTGATCTGATTATCAAGATCTAAAATAAATCAGCATATTTTATAACTCACCACGAGTGCTCTGAATTGAAGCCAACCTGAAATGCGGAATTAAGGGTTGCTATTTACTTCAAGTAATTTCAGACAAAAACATACCCTTCCGTTTGTGCCAATGCAAAGGGTGAAAGACTTATCAAACCAGCGGTCGTAACCTTTGCCGTGCAGTAGAGTTCGGCCATATTGATCAAGTTTGTCAGGGTCATTCTGTAAATTATTATGATCATTCAAGAGTTTTCTTAAAAGAAGATGACAACAATAAAAACACATATCTGAAAATAGTTGAAGAAAAGTAAAAATCAGGTACCAAGCCAGTAAAAAGTAAATCATTTATAATAACGTTCAACATTAAATTGAAATAAAAAATATGTTTACAAAAGTTTTGTTGAAGAGGAAGAGAAATAACAAATAACTCAATTAACTGAACAAACAGTGCTGAAAAGTGAAACGAAGAGTGATTTAATTCGGAAACGTTTTACTCATTTTTAATCAGTTTACTGCTCAAGTGCGAGTACCTTTTTCGAAAATGGCTAGAAATTAATAAAATACAAAAGAATTTAATAATGAAGGCAAAATTAGTAGATATTCTAACTTACGGGATCAAAGTTGTACTCAATGTCATCAAGACAGACGACAAAAGCTGCCTTTTCAATTACATCCAATGAGGTGCGGTTGATGCCCTTGCCGAAGAAGTTGTGACGAGCCAGAGCCCAGTCTTTGCGCTGGCCGGCAGTTAGAGCTGCTAGGTGCATTTCACCCTTGGCTGGCTCACTGGGGTCATCCAGGATCTTCTGCATTTGGCTGCAAAATTTTGTCTTTAAGATACGAGATTATATAAAACAGCATCGATACTCACATTTCAATTTCACAAGGTTTGAGGATCCTGCCCTTCCAGTAAATGGGTACCCTGTAGTAGCGGCCTTTGTTGAAGACGGCAATGTGTGTTGAGTCGCTCAGATGGTTAATTCTGTCAGTCTCAATTCCAGGCAGTCTTGTTGTGTTAAACACTCTTTCGTACTGCCACGAGCAGAGAGGCACCAAATTCTGCACCAGAATCTGAAATTTTGTTCGAATGCATTTTAAGATAAAAAAATTCAAATATTTATCCGATTTATCTCACCGGCTCCAGCTCCTGTCTCTCAATGAGTCTGCGGTAGAGCAGACAAGCGTGAATGATGACAGCTGCTCTTGCAGCCTGAATTTTTGTCTGGTGCAGCATGATGGCGTCGATTCCGTAAAAGTTTGAGTTGACCATCAATCCAGAGCGGCCCCTGAGATAAACGTACTCCTCCCACCAATCGCTGACATAGTTGCTGGACCACCAGGATTTAAGCACCAAGTAGCGCTGCAACTTTTTGCCAATGCCCTTTTGGAACTCCTCAGCCAGACGCTCCATGCGTTGGAATTGCGTATCGTCCACGAGGGGACGGACAGAGAGCAAGTACTGCAATATCAGTATTTAGACTTGAGGCAAAAGGAAAAATTAATAATTTTATTACTCGGTCCATGGTTTCCTTAACTGTGGGCAAAGGCAGCCTGGGCAGAGAGCCCTGGTAGCTGTAGAGCATGGGCTTCCTGCCCATGGTGAGCACCTTGACTGCGGCCAACCACAACATGGTGGCCTTCGAAACTTTGCTGCCTGGGCCACGATTCTCGTACATCCAACCTACAGAATAAAATACACTTGTAACACAAGCGAAGGGTTTTAAATTGAAAATTTACCCTGGTACATGAAGAGCATTTTCAGGGTGTATCTCAGGGTGTAGGTGCAACTGAGCCAAACTCCAAGGCCTGTAACGCTGCACGCCACAACTTGCCATGCATTTGTCCTCCTGCACAAAATTTAAAATTTATTCCTAATCAGTATCAGTTTTTGAAAGTACAATATTACCCTGGGAGGTATTGGAGCAGGCGTTCAACAATATCATAAGGAACAGCGACCTTTCCGCTGAAGTGCATGGCCGCAAGGGCACCAACCGTGGCCCATAAACTCTGCAGGGAGGCTGGATACACTCCGCAGTGGACATTGTTCTAAAAATTGAAAATATAACTTATTGTTAGTTTTACTTTTGGAATTGTGTTTATTGAATGAAGACCTGGAGAAAAGTAAAAAATGAGACAACTGCGGAATATAGAAACGCCCATGTCGAGAGCATCTTAGAGACTGACTTGCATTTTATAGATTCTTTACTTTTTATTATTTGTCTATGTGATTGTATGATCTATGATATTATTGGTCAAGAGGTCCATCTGATTAGTCAAGTACCACCTGGACTTTGCGATTTGGCGCCGCAACAATTATCCTGAGGCTCACTCTTGAGCTTAGTAATATGAGAGTAATTTTTAGAAGAACTTAATGCTTAACATCGAAATAAACAAAAAATACTATATTTTGGAATAAAAATTGAACCTGGTAAAAAGTGGTAGCGGAGACAACAGCGGAATATAGAAACGACCACGTCGAGAACATCGTAGAGACTGACTAGCATTTTCAAGTGACGCTTGTTGGCAAAAAAAAGGGTCTTATTCTATATTATGACTGGCAATATTTTGCTATTACGTATCAAACTTGCTAAAAAAAAAAATACTAGAGGTTGAATAGAGGTTGATGAACCAAACAATGGGACCTTCATTTTGCATAAAATGGTATCAAATAAATAAATCCAAGTTTTTCACCTTGAATCTGGCGATCCGTTTCTTCCACGATCGAATTCCCGACTGCCACACCAAGTGCAGGACTTCTCTGTCGAAGTTGACATCCAACCCCTCGTGGGTCACCGCGAACGAGAAGGCAACAGCCGAGTGGGCTTCTGCCATCCTCTAGCCGTGCCCTGCAATCAGAACAGCAGAAAAAATTTATTTCAAATAAAAGTGAAAGTTACTATTAGTATCACATGCACAAAATTAGCTAAAATTTTCAAAATTTTAAAATTTAATTGATCAACAGATATCTTAATTACGGACGAGTAAATAAAATTTTTCAGCCTTTAGACTTTTGTGATTTCCACAATTTCAGAAGGAATTTATGCAAGTGATGCACGTAATGGATGAGTTGAATTATGAAAAAGTTCGTACTTAAAAATGCAACAGTTATTGCGCAGCGGATCACGGCGTAGGTTGTAATTACACTGCAATTGCGCGATCAATGCACGTGAAGAAAAAACAACGCTTTTGCGAGCGCTGCTGATGGAGCCTCAAGGCTTCAAGGGTCGCGTTTTCCTCATTCACAAAGTGCACGGTGCAGAGTCATCCTGCCACGCCACAAGACACACTAGACTCGCCTCTTCCTTCATGATGAAGCAAAATATAAAATATTGTTTTTGTTGAAATGGATTTTTAGGTAATTGTAAACAAGCTCCATGGAAAATTTAATTGATATCAAATTTGATAATTGTTTTGTTTAAATTTTTAAAGTTAAATTAAAAACTTAATTACAATAAATCAAACCTTCAAATTATTAGCAATTTTTGCTTCTCAAAAGTTTTTGATATTGATCTGACCCACAATATTTATTTCAAACAATGCAGATTTCGGTATTGTGAGCTATTTTGTTGATTCACCAACCAAAAAATTAAAATAATTGGGAAAACTTTCAATACAAATATTTTTAATTCCCATTTTTCTGATGGTTAAAAAAATTAAAATATTTTAATAACAACCAGATTACAACGATTGAGAATGACTTGAGCATTAAATTTATATTTTTTTTTTATCAATTGCAGTAAATTTAATTGATAATTAACGAACCAATGAAAACCACATTTAGAATTGACATTACAGATTGTGACGCATATTGTGATGTCACATGAGACCAATGTGCGATGTTCGGGGCTGGATTTTACGCTATTACAAAGATTTGTTTAGTCTCCTTCAGATAAAAGAGGCTATGCCAGATAAATCTTCCATACTTCTCCGTACACAAAGGCCGCCAAACGATGGACGGACAGACACACGCTCGCTCATCAACGATCTGATAACATTTTATCAATTCGAAACTATTTCAGGGTACGTTCCGCTTATCTCGCATGTTATAGAAAACGCAAACATATCAAATTATTAATTAATATATTTTTTTACGCGTGCTCGTCTTCTGTGTGCGTTTGACGCAGGTGGGACAGTGTTATTTATCTTTGAGGGGGGCACTTGAAGAGGTGAAACCTCGAATGTTTTAACCTTCGCAATTTGGGTCACATAATATTTTGCGCGCAGATTGGCGCAGATTTTACTGAGATTGTAATACTGACATTGTAGTCGGATTTCCCAGAGGCGCACAAATCTCAAATTGCTTATCACGAAAAAATTTAATACGCAATTCTTTCTTAAGAAATAAATAAATGAAAATAAAAAATAATTCAACTTCCAAATAATTTTTATATTAAAAAAAGCAAAATCTTCGTACAGATAATTTTATAAAGAAAAAATGTATTTTTTTTTTGCATTTATTAATTATTTGATTTATTTTAAGAGTTCAAATTGAGTTGAAATCTAATTTTCAGCAAAAATGACTTGTTTTGATCGCATTAAAATACTTCAAGACTAAAATATCTCTATTGTCCTTTTTGGAAAGCATAAATAATCATTGAGCTAACGGTGATTCAACAGTTCCATTAGGAAACTTGAGAAAATTTCTTGTGTGAAATAATTAGCCGCGGTTCACGGCATTGATTTGCGAGCAACAAACGCTGGCAAGGTCGGCCAAAGGCGCTCGGCGGACGGACGTGTCAAGCATCAAGCAATTGATACCCTCCTTGAGGAGAATATTGTGGCAATCTGGAGTTGGGTAATAATTATTTAACTATTCGAGTCAATGAATTCAGGTGCCACTTTGACATTTGTATTTGAACTTAAATTTAGACAGACTTGGCATCGCTAATTGCCGGGAGTGTTTTCGGACTTGGCAAGGCGTGAAAGTTGATTCAGTATTGAAAGGGTCTAACCAAGAGGTTTTATTTAATAATATGGCATAATAATTTTTATTTCAAAATTAAAAAAAATAAAACAGAAAAAATTCCATTGCTGACGCACAAACAGAAATTATCTCTAATAGAAAAAAATTGTTAATAAATCTTTTTTACTTAATTTTGTTCAATCAAATTTTTTTTCTAAATTAAAAAAAAATCCTTCTTTCAAACAAAAATTCTCCAGCTGCTTTTGACCGTAACTGGTCGCAAGTGATTCACGAGAAGGCAAATAAATAAATTGTGCCAAGCCTCCGTCGATGAACTTAATTTCATCTGCGATAGCGCGTGGAATGAGATGGCTAGCGCAGCTCTCACTGTAAGAAACAAGTGGCTGGTTCGGGTGACCAACTTTTTGAGTGCCTTCAACTGACGCCAGCAGCTTGGCAGCCAGGGCCACGAAAAGTTGCCTAAATCACGAACGGAGCGCGAATGTTGAGCAATAAAAATTAAAAGCTCTGGATACAAAAGTAACCAGCGCTCAAATAAAAATTTATATAAATAAAATTGGTGAAATGTATACGGCGGTTACTGCGTCGTTATGGAAGCCGCAGGAAAGTTGTGTATGTAAAGACGTAACAGTTCTGAAATAGAACGTAATCGATTTCCGTCGTTCAAGGTACAAGAAATTCTTCCAAAATAATTATTGAAGAAATAATGCTGAAGGCTGCATAATTAAAATAATGCTGAAGGCTGCATAATTACTCAAGGAAAACGACAAAATTAATTTCGGTTTTGGGTCACTTCTCAAGGTAGAAACGACCTTTGAATAGGTTATGATTTATGGCTAAAATATTTTGATAGAAATTAAATTATATATTTTAAATAAAGATTGTCAGTTTCCTCTTTATAAAAAATTTTTGATTCTATTTAAAGAACCGAATGAATGAGTCGGACGGTTCAAAGACCAGTTGTTGCAAAAGTGCATCCGTCAGCAAAAAATTGGCGGAGTTTGCAAAATATTCGCCGGCGCATATGATATTATTATAAACACTCGAGGTGGGCAAAGTACGACCGAGTCGAATCCTGTTTCCAATGCGATTAAGCAAACAAATACTCCTCCACTCCCGCCGGAGATAACGAAAGCCAGCGTTTTTACTACGAGGCGCCCTTTGGACCCGAGGGACAAAGTACGGGTTAATTAACTATGTAAATGTACCTCGCGTCACATGCGAAAGAGACGTTTTGTTTACTAAACTTTGGAATTTCTGCAAGTGATTCACCCATTGGACTTGAATCTTTGACCTCCTTTTTTTGATAAAAATTAGACAATATTTTTTAGTATTTTCTATGTTCATTTTAGCTTTGTAAGCTGATTTAAATATGACGGAGTTATTATTTTTTTTTTATTAGTCGGCATGCTAAATTTTTAATTATTCGTGGAGGAAGACACTCAGAATTTTTGGACTGTCATTGAACAACCACACAAACCAAAACAAGAGGAAATGAGTATATTGTTTTGACTGCAGCTGCTACGTAATTAAGCAGCTGCCATATTGTGGAAATATTTTTTCACAATTCAAGGGTCGTATTATAATCATAAAATTAAATTTGATAAAATTTAAATTGATTGAACATGATTCAATAAATCAATAGTTTCAGTTAAGCTAAATTTTTTGGATTTTTGACGTTTTTGTCCCATACCCATATGCATGGTTTCGCATTAAACATAATGAATTATTAATTTATCTAAAAAAAAGGTTTTACCACAATCATACAAAATTTACAACCTGCTTATTGGTAGCTTAATTAGATAAACAAGTCATTGAACTATTAAAAATTTATTTGAAAATTAATTTTTTGTAAACATCTGAAAGTGAGCAAATTAAAAAAAAAAATTGGCGGAAAGCCAATCCAAAATTTTCTAATGAAACTTAAGTTGGAAATTTCTATCGGCCTGAAAATGCAAAAACTAATATCCTTTGAAAATTTGCTCAGAAATACAAAATCGGAAAGTGGGTCACATGAAGTTCAATCAGCTGTTTCGCTTTCCAAAATTTCACGTTTGTCCCGGGCTTTCCAGAGGGGACGATCCGTCGGCACAAAAGAAAGTTCCCTGTCTAATAGAGAGAGATAGTCCCAAAGTCGTCTCTTATGATTAATTAAATTTTGCTGGATTTAAATTGCGGCCATAATACACACCTGGTACAATCAAAAATTAGACCGGAGACCCTTTCGCTGGGCGTCGAGTTTTCGTCTGCTCTGGCCGAATCCGCGCTCAGGTGGTCAATTTCATGTCGCACAAGGACCCGAGTCGTGACCCTCACTGACGAATGGCCAAATTCCGAACCTCAGCGGTGAGATTTTATTGAAATTTTGGCCCTCGAAGTGCGAGCGAGCGAGCGATCGGTGAACGTGTGTGTAAATTAAATGGAGGTGGGTGGGGGGCCTCTGCCCTCGCCGAGCCCCTTCTCTTTTGCTGCGGGAAAGTTCAAAGAGAGGGAGGGGAAATGTGCGGAGAAAACTTCCTGGGTGGCGCTAAATGCAGGTTCATTCACGCTTGCAGTTTTCGGTTAATCTTATTTTTAAACCGGTTTAATATTTTAAAGTGCCAATTTTCAAACATTTTCGCCACTAAGTCTGAAAAAAATTAAACAGCAACTTCTAAAAGCAAACTCAAGCACAATATTTGATAGATAAAATTCTAAATAGCTTAAGATAAACATCTAATAAACTCTAAAATAAAATTATATTAACCGGTTTTCAAATTAATTGAGCAATTAACCGTAACCAACAAAAGTCAAAACATGAGCAGCTGATGTTTTTTATCTAATTTTTCCCCAAGAACTCGCCCAGTGTAAAGAGAATGCAGTGATTTGCATTCATTCTACGATTCATTTGTCCCTATAAAAACTCTGGAAAAGTTAGAGGAGATGGAAAAGAAGGCCTCCGAGGAGACCGTGCAGGTCAAAAGCCTCTTCAAATGGGCAAGTTTTGTCATCATATTTTTCTCCTTAAAGCAGCACATCGTTGCGCCCTAATTATTTTCATTACGTTAGCTCCATTCTTCATGCTAAAAAAAATATTGGAATTTTCAGCTGCAGACATTCGAGATAACCGAGTGCAATGGGACACTCACATTGCAAGATCTTAGTGATGGAGTCGTGATGGCCAAAGTTTTGAATGAAATGTAAGTTTTGAGCATGCAAGACAAAAACTTATCTCTCTCTCTTCGCTCTCTTGTCACTTCCATGTCGCTAATTTGTAATTATGTGCTAAAATGAATTAATTTTAATAACTGAAATTACAGTAATTTATGTACATACAGATTTGTAGTTTTATAATAAGTAGATATTACAGTATAAATTTATTAATCTAATTTATGTAACTTGTAGTGATCCCGAATGGTTTTCCACTACTTGGATGTCTTCCATAAATACAAATGCATCACAAAACTGGCGTTTGAAGGTAATTTAATTTAAACTTACTTGACCCTTTTTTGTTGTAAAAATACAATGCTCAATTATATTATTTATTTTTTATGTAGTCTATGCACAAAAAATAAATTAAAAATATTTAAAACCCTCAGGTGAGCAACTTAAAGAAGTTGCTAACGAGGTTGATGGATTATTATCAAGAATGCTTAGGCTACCAACTCTCGTCCTTTGAGGAGCCAAACATAAACAAAATTGGAGAGCATTGTGATGCGGAACATCTCACCCAGCTTCTTATATTAGTACTAGGATGTGCTGTCCAATGCAATAACAAGAAAGGTAATTGTAACTAAATAACATTTGATGCAGATTAAATTTTTTGTCCGTTGCAGAATACATCAGCAGAATTATGTCCTTGGAAGTTGACGTTCAAAGGGTCATAATGCAGGCAATTCAGGACCTAGAGAGTTGTCTGCAGGAACTGAATTCTGTGTCTGGCGCCACTCTGGAATCACCAATTTCCGTGACAGCGCCAGGTGACAGTTTTGTTACGTCACACATTTCGCATCTTCAGGAGGAAGTGAGGGCAGTCACTGCCCTGAAAGACCAGATGGCCCAAAGATGCCACGAACTAGATCAGCAGGCAACAATTTTGCAGGTTTGGTATTAAAACAAAACATTAGGAAGAGATTTTAACAATTTTCATCAGGAGGAAAAAGCATTCCTTGCTTTGGAAAATAAGCGGTTGGCAGAAAAAATGAAGGATTTTGAGGGTCTAGAAGATGCAGGAGGCAGCCAGAGAATGAAAGACCTCAAAAAACAAGTGGAGCAATTAAAAGAAGAAGTTTTTAAAGCAGAAACGGGTATTGCTTAAAATATCATTAAAAGAGGCGCTTTGGTTCATTTGAATTCTTTTCCAGCAAGGGACGATTATCGGGCTAAGGTGAAACTGGTAGAAAAAGAAAATTTGGATACAAAAACTCGTCTCGTTGAATTGCAACAAGCTGCTGATGAAGCTCGTCTGCTGAAGGACGAACTGGATGTGGCTCGAGAAGCAGCAGACCAGGCAGCAAAGTACGAGGCAGCCATAGAGACGTATAAAAAGAAATTGGAGGAGTTTAGTGATTTGAGGAGACAGCTGAAGTTGCTCGAGGATAAGAATATTGAATACATGCAGACAACTATGGAGTTAGAAGAGGTTTACCTTCTCTGGTTTAGGTTCTGGTTCAATTTTACTTTATTTTACTTTAGGAGTTGAAGAAGTCTGGCACTTGGAAACCTCAAGTTGAAATGTATAAAAAGCAAGTGGGAGAGTTGCACCAGAAATTGGGAGATGAGACTAAGCGAGCGGATAAAGTCGAATTTGAAAACAGGAAGTTGCAAGAAAAACTTCAGGCAGTTACAGTGGAAAAAGAGGTAAGAAATTCTTTTCCGATGAGGCTGTTTAAAAACCGGGTGTCAAAGCTAGTAGATGTATAACACTCCTTGTTTTTCAATCTGCACATTTAACAAAAAGTATATAAGACTTATTTTTTAACCTTTCATGCACCTTTAAAGTGGTTGAGAGATCAAAAGCAGGTATTTCAACACTCTGTAGCTATGTTCTCCTGTGCTTGCAAATTTTATTGCTGCTTAATCAGTTTTTTTATTTAAATGTGCTGATCGTTGTCACAAATTTCTAGAGACTGGTGACTGTATTGGACGACTTGAAGGAAAACATGGAAGAAATGAAGTTTAACCAAATCCAGACAAGGAAAGACGGGGAAAGTCCAGGTGGCCTGGTGACCGCTCGCAATGTATCGAGCGGGCCAGAAGAACTCGACTTGAATTTGCAAGAGTTGAAGTAATATATTATAAAATTATATGAAAATGGTTCATTTTAAATAAATTTAACAGGGAAAAAATTATTCGGTTGGAGCATGAAAATAAGTTGCTGAAGATTAAAGGTACCGGGGACGAAGAATTTGCGGTTCTGCAAACACAGGTGGAAGATCTGACGCAGAGGATGTCCCTTGAACAAGCCGAGAACAGGTATTTTACAAAGAGGGGTTGTTTATTTGGCTGTCAAATGTCATACTAATTCATAATTTAGGAGAGCTAACCAGCGAATTTTGGAGCTAGAAAACCAAGTTGCAGAGACGCAGGAACGTCTTGTAGGCTCAAGCCAGCAAGAGTCCACGTTGGCCATCAGCATCAAGAGTCAGGTGGCGCAACTTCAATCCCAGGTGCAGCAACTCTCTGCCGACAAAGAGCAAAAGTCCAGCCAACTGGAGACAAAGGAAACCCAAATTGCTGACTTGAGTAATGACAAATGGCGTGATTTAAAAATTTTTATATTAACCATGGATTGTGGATTGTCTTGTAGAACAAAAGATTACCTTCCTTCAAGATGCTCTAACAAGGAAGGATGCAGAAATGCAAGCAAGGGATGAGAAATACCAGAGGTGCATTGAAAAAGCAAAGAGTGTGATAATTACGCTTGACCCCAAACAAGACGCCAGTGCTGAGGTTGAAGAGTTAAGGAATCAAATTCAAGAAAAAGAGAGGATCATTGTCAACATGGAGGTGAATTTTTTTGCAACAATAATCACATATTTTAACTCCAAAATAAAATTCTCAATTACAGAAAGAGTTTGAGAAGAGCAGAGGCATCCGTGAAATGGAGGAAAAACTGATGCTAACTGCTTTTAATAAATTTGTAAGCCACTTAAATTTAATCCAAAATTATTTATCAAAAATTTTAAAACAGACAGTGCAAATGAACCGTCAAGCTGCCGAGCAGCGTCTTGCCAACATGGGCTCCACGTCGGCCTCATTTTTGTCTCGTCAGAGGCAGCCTACACCCAGCAGGCCTAGGGGTAGATCTTCAAACGCCTCACCGCCGTACAATACCAGGTAAATTAAATAGTGTGATTAATCGACTAACTCAGTGCATTGCCTTTTATTTGTAGCTCGTTAAAGTGAACCAGATAATAAGAAATCAAGGTGAAAATTCATAATATTTTACAACACAATTTTGAACACCTTGGTTGACTGTGGTTTTACACTCTGCACTTTCATTTATTTTCTTTTTGTTTTGCATGATTTAAGTCATTGTTTTTGTATGATTTTCAGTGACGCATATGTGGACTATTAATCAGCACCTTGCAATTGCATGCAATTAGCACTCTAGGCCTGGAATATTAACTTCAAATTCCATTACTTCAGGAGCCTGCAAGAGAGGATTGCGCAGGATTTTGATGACATGAGGCTAAGCTGAGATCACACCGTCCAAGCTTTTCAAACAATAATACTTATGTGACACTTTAATTTAAATATTTAATTCACTATTAAATTTAAATTCTTAAAATATTGCTATTTAATTTTTGCACTTTTAGCCGAGTCATTTGTTTATGTCTAACAATCTATTGAACTGTTATCTTCACAAATGTATTTATTTACTTTGTGGGGTGTTGATTTTTACAATTATTTTAGTTTGTAATTAAATGATACATCACAAATTGGAAAAAAAAACTTAATGATTGTTTAATGCAAAATAAACAAGCTATTCTTGTAAAATCACTTATTTTATCTTTATTTTTGGAATATTCAAAAATCCTAAATTATAATCATGGAAAATATCTTATCTTCTGAATCCACCGCCGCCGCCTCTTCCTCTGAAACCTCCGCCACCTCCTCGGCCACCGCCATAACCTCCGCCGCCGCCTCCATAACCGCCGCCACCGCCTCGACTAAATCCACCTCCTCCTCCTCGGCCGCCCCTACTAAAGCCTCCTCCTCCGCCGCGGCCACCTCCAAATCCACCTCTGCCGCCGCCTCCGCGACCTCCGCCACCACGGCCTCCTCCTCTACCGCCGCGACCTCCACCTCCACGTTTGGCACCAGGGGGTTGAGGTAAGAAGCGTTGGAGGCCAAGTAACTTGGCAGGATCAATGAACACCTATTAAAAATTGTTATTAATTCAACTTACAAAAAATTTGATCCAAACCTTCTGTTTTGGTTTGAAGGACTGCGCGTTTACTGTGTCGGAGAGCTTTACAGAAATGTAATAGTTCCTGACAGTGCCGAATATTTCATCTACTTTGCCAATCTGAGATTTGTCCTCGTTATAAATTGGCGCATTGAAATATGGAACACTCTCGATGTCAGACTTGACTACGATGTCGGCTTGGCATGCGTGTGTGAAGTGGCCGAATTCTTGAACCTAGAAGATATGAAAAAAATTTACAATTTTTGCCAGCTTTCTCATCTTGAGAGTAAAACCTCTTCTGGAGGGCCCTCTGGCTGTCGTCCCCATCCGCCGCCGCCTCCGCCACGACCTTCAAATAGTTAGTATTTTTTTAATTTGCTTTCACGTAAAAAATTTATCATAAATCGAACTTACCACGGCCTCCTCCGAAACCGCCACCTCCGCGGCCACCTCCAAAGCCTCGACCACCTCCTCCGCGGCCTCTGAACGACATGTTGCCGGCGGTGTTTTGGTTATAAAATTCACGCTAAAAAAAGGCAGGATATGAAATAATGCGAATTGAGATGCATGAAGCTCTTGAGTATGATTTTTAATAAATACCCTCTGTTGTTTCCGGTTCTTTAATTTTCAAATATTTTCGAAAAACAATCCGAAACTAAATTTTGTTCGGACCCACGTGTTTTGCGTGTTTGTTATCGTTTACGGTTTTTTCTTTTTATACCGACACCGACTTCATTGTAACCGGTATTATAATAATCTAAATCGTTACTTTGAAATTGTGTATTGCAAAAAAACTGAATGCTATTTCAGTAAAAATGTCTTATATTTGATCAAATATAGAGAACTTCATGGATTAAAATAAAATTTCAATGAATAAGACGAATAATGACAAAATATTTTTGAAACCTAAAATTTTTACCGGTATGACTAATGAAATAGCCAATAGGCGATCGCTTTGGAGATTTTTGACTAAGCGCGCCAAGCTATCCAACTTTGTCAGAAAAATTGAAAAATTCATGCACGTTAAAATCATCAACGAAAAGCAGTGAAGTGTTTATAATAATATAATAATTGCACGTAAACTACCCGCGTGTGAGCGATTTTGAAGAAAATATAATATGAAAATCCAGAACTGCGAGGCTTTATTTAAGTTGATATATTAAATTTTTGAGCGGGGTGTGTACTGGCTTTATTACTTTAATTGAACCCAAACTCAAAGTAATTGTCCCGCGGTAGGACTCCGATAGGCAATAATTTCACCTGGCTTGAGCAACAAATCCACTGCCCTGTTCCGCTAGTAATATTTAATAATTATCAAATGTAAGGCGCTTTTCCCGAATATTTTCTCTCTCAATAAATCGTGCGGAATATTTGTACTGCGTATCAAAAATGACATTATTAGATCAAAGCAAAAATCAGGCAGGACAAAATTAAATTTTAAGCTAAGCCTTTCATCAGAAAACCATTTTATTAAAATAATTAATGTAACTTTTTTAACCCTGTTTACCAATAAATTCAATTTGTTTTTAATAGAAAGAAAAATTCTTTTTATGCTCAAAATCTCCAAAAGAATCCACTCGCTGAAGAACAGAACAATTAAATAATTTGGTTTTTTTTCTTTAAATTTAACAAATAATAAACTTAAACAATAAGATTACTAAAATAGCACATTTCTTTTATAATATTTAATAGATTGATTAAAAAATGATCATTCAATATTGAAATCTTATACAAAATATAATTTGCTTGTTTAAAGTCCAAAGAAATGGATTTGATAATTAAAATTTGAATTAATAAAATAATAAATCTAATTAATTTAAGAAAAGCATCATCTCTTGGAATTAAAATCAGCATAATTATGACGATTAACCACTCTCGTCATCCTAAAACATAATCTTCTAATTTTATCATTTTATTGTTAGTAAATCTGCAATTGCTTCATTATAAAAATTCTTATTTTTAAATAAAAATTACAATTTTTTATGGAAATTGAAAATATTGTTGAATAAAATTTCGTGTCAACATTTTTTCGAAGAAAAATATTACAAATTCAATAGTGGCCAAAATGAGTGCACGTCTGGCAAAGCGAGCGCGAGTGCAACACAAAGATGTTTAAATAATTTCCAAACAAAAATTTTATGGTCAGTGAAGAGCGAAAAAATTATTGGAATGCAGTAGAGGAGAATTTTTAAAATGTAATCTGAATGCGCCGTGGCAAAATTTCTGGCATACGCAAGGAGAATTGCTTCGCCACTTCTCTTCGCTCGCTCAGCATACCCTCGCAACTCGCAACAAGCTAAAAACCGACTATTTCATCTATCATCAGAAAAAAAACCCATTAAACACTATTTTGCCCAACTCAATCAAAAGCTTTGAAATATATTTTTACTCCTCTAAAACGGCGCATAATAAAAAAGAAATTGGTGGTTTGCTCGCAGAAATTATACATAGCTGGATTTTTTTAGTTGAAATTTTAGAAAATTGATGAAGCTTGGTCTATTCAGGTCAATTTGTATCAATTTGTCTTTAATTTAAGGGAATTAATTCATTAATTTGACGTTATAAAGTGCTTCTATTCACCGCAATCATAAAAAATAATTATATTAAAAAATAAAATTACAAGAATGGACTAAATAAAATATATATAAATTTATTTGATAAAAAAAAAAATGAAAATGTGGACAACTGGACACAAACTTCGAAACGCCACCACTGGCAAAGACACGGCCATGAGCATCCTGTCTTGTTTTTTATGTCTGCAGTCTGCTTAATTCAGTTTTATTGATATTTGTATACCTTCCTGAAAATTGCCTAGAATTATAAAGTACTTGTCGGGGGAAATGATTTAGGACGAATGCATTTTCGGGCCAATTCATTTTATGGGATATGAAAAAATATTATAGGACAATAAATATTTTATGGCAAATAATTTTAGAAACATTTTTAGGAGGTTTGAAACAAGAAGTATTATACTTATCTTGGTTTGAAATTAGGGGCAACGCGGGTCTCCCGACTCCCGACCATAATTATACATAACGTAGAAGATTCGCAACGGCTACCATCTTGTTGTGGTGATGTCATTCAATGTATTGGATATTGGCTCAATAGTTTAAAGTTCGCGGGATTGCACATCAAGCCAGATGTTTTCCAAGTCGCATCCTCCATGTGCTTTGCATTCAATAGAAAGGAGCAGCCAGAGGAGGAGGAAGGTGTCTGCGATCGAGGGTGGTTCGATCGGTGGCTCTGGGCAGCAGGATGAGGATGCGATGATGGCGTGCAACATTGTGGTCGAGTGGCTGCGCTCGCTGCAGCTGCAGCAGTACTCGGACAGCTTCCTGGACAACGGCTACGACGACCTCGAAATCTGCAAGCAGGTCGGCGACCCCGACCTCGACGCCATCGGCGTGCTCAATCCGCAGCACCGTCACGTCCTTCTGCAATCGGTACGACCTCTATAATCTTTCTGGAAGGGTGAAATAACCCTATATTTTTGTGGGCTATCCTGGAAAAGTTGAAATAGTGAGCGTTGGCGTCTCAGACACACCCCTTATTGTCCCCTGGGGCTGCCAAAATGAGATCTTTACGACCCCTTTAGCTATTGTTTACGCTTCAGCAGTTTAAAGATTTTTTTTCCTCTTTCTATTGTTACGGAAATGAAATGAGTAGTAAATTTCACTGAACATACACTTATGGCTCTCATTCTGTGATTTTTTTATTGCAATTTTGTATTTAAATTAAAAATTAATTAAAATCCAGGTTCGGTCACTGCGAGAAGAGGGAGCAGCTTCAGTTTATTTCACTCTTGAGCCCAAAGATGAGGAAATATCCTCACCTGGCGAGGCAACGTCGCCCATAGGAGCAGCTTCGGCTGCAGACAGATCGTACGCTGACGAGTACGAAGAGGGAAAAGCCGAACTCGTCAGAATTCCCAAGATGCAATTGAAGCTCTTGTTGAGGGAAAAACTGGCCCAAGATGGAGTTCGACTCAGCTTCCAACCATACTCAACAGCTGTAAGTGTTCTTTAATTTATTTTAATTAACTCTCTGGCATTTCTTAACTTTACTACAATAGCACTTTGTTGAAATTAAAATATTTCGGAAATTTCGCAGAGCGGCGAGAGAGGTTATTTGGAGGGTTTGGCCTCTCGTTATGCGGACCGTTTCAACACTCACTACCAAGACGTGTTGGAGCACCTAGAGGAGCTTCGCAGGCAGGAGTGGGACGACTTGTCCCCCAGGATGAGTGTGGTGCAGTCCAACTTGTCCACTCCTGGCACTCCGCCCTTTCCGGGACCCCTTTTGTTGGCTTCGTCAGGCGGAGGCGGTCTCTACGCACCGGGAAAATATTCGGTAAAAATTTTATTTAAGCATGCAGTTTTTATTTTTGTTTTTAATCAAAAATTGGGAGAAAATGGAGCTCGTTAAGAGCGTTTTGGATTAAAGTTTTATGGACCCTTAGTTCTTTGACTAGTTGACCTCCACATTCCTAACCCCAAATCCTCCACGCTCATTTAAAGACCTCTGGTGTGCAGCCCTCCAGTTGTCTAAGCGATAAAGAGGAAGACGAGATATATGGTTTTGGCTACGGCATTTATGGCCGGCAGATGCTGCAGAGGCAGCAGCAGCAGTTGGCGGCTCAAACCGCAGCTCCTATTTACCAAAGGTGAATTTCTAAGTACCCTATCAATGGACTGTTCTCTAAGCAAATTTGCGGTTTCAGTTGTCTCAGCCCCAGGTCTGCCTACTTCTACGAGTTTCCTCCTGGAGGTAAATATCAATAGGCACTATTGTTATCAAATAATTTGACAAATATTTTGTCAGACAATGCTTCGTCTTCGAAAAAGAAAACTACCTTCTCCCGACTGCTCCGCACCCTCCGCCCCCATCGCAAGGAGAAACACATCCCGCAGGTTTCTCCCACCAACAGGCAGCAACCGAGGTCTATCATGCCTCCATGCACTTCAGTGGTTCCTCCGACAGTCAACGTGTCCAGTAGAGTCAGCACCCCGGACGAACCTGTGCCTCCAGACTACGACCATGTTCGTCTGATTCAGATCAACAGAGGAGGTGCTGGAGGTTTTGAGGAAACCATCCAAAGAGTAATGTTGGAAATTTAACAAGCGAGCATAATTATTCACAATTAAATTTTCAGTTGAAAATGCAAGACGCAATCAAAAAGAAGGAAAGATTTCATAAAGAGCAAGAAGAGGTATTTTATTGTGATTTTTGTGAAACAATTATATTAAGTTTGAGTTTAGATTTTGAGAGACATCAGACATGGTTTGATGCAAATTGGTTTGAACACCACTCCAAGCACGGCCTCCATTCCGCACTACCCGTCCGTGTCTGATGACACTTACATGTACGACGATGACATCCAGCAGCAACCCCAGCAGCCGCAGAAGGTGCAGAGGCCCAGACCCCCACTTCACTGGTATGATGAACCTCCCTACGAGTCGGACCCCGAGGACTTCCTCATGGGAGGTCTGGCCGCAAGCAGAGCTGTCTTTCAAAACGGAAGGTAATTTCTTAAAATCATCTGTAGACAATTTCTCACTCTGAAAATCGTTGACACTTGCTAGGGTTTGCTTCACCCTGAATCTTAAGCAAGAACCGCGAGGTGAGGGAGTGATCTCTCTTCGAAGTGCGGGCGACATATCTGTACCAAAGGAGGCGTCCTGGCGCCGAGGAGCAAGGCCAAAGAGAATTTTAAACAGGGAGAGTGGTGACTATGCCGGCAGTGATATACACAGTGTTGGCTCTAGACTGTCTACAATCTCAGTCGAGACAAATCGATCTGAGCAGGAAGGAAAGGTAAAATTGTTAACTTTGTAAATATAGCCAAGTTTTATATTAAATTTAATTCAATTTATAGACAAGGAGTCATTCAAGTGAGGAAGCACAGTCACCAAACGGTCCCTCGGACAACGAGGATGGTAGTAAGGCCAGTAGAAGTATGAGGCATGACAAGAAGCGGCTCCGAGCATGTGAGGCGACGGATAAAGAGAATCGCTCAGACAATGGCGAACACCAAAGACACCAATTCAGTATGTTTATTATGCTTGAATTCAGTGGTATCTCTAATTTTGTTTTTATATAATTTTAGGAACCAAGAACACTGTGGAGTATCCACCTAGCATTGGAAAGGCCAAGGCTTTGGTTGACTGCGTGCCCAGCCCATATGACAAAGAGTCTCTCCGCTTCAAAAAGGGCGACATCATTGACATTATCTCAATGAATGTGAGTGGCAACTGGAAGGGATATGCCCATGGCCGCATCGGGACTTTCAAATTCATCCATGTCGAGCTGATCAGTGCAGCGCCAGGGCCAATTGGACCAGTCATTGGGAGGAAGGGCAGCCGAGGTGGAATGAAAGAGAAGCCAAAGAACGTTGAGGAATTGCTCCGCAGGGTCAATATGGAGGTAAATTTAATTATCTTGTTTTTATTCCATGAATTATAAATACTTGTTTCAGGCTTTCACTTCACTATTTGTCATGAATGGATACGAAGATTTGGAGCTTTTCAAAGAACTTGAAGAGTCTGATCTGGATTTTTTGGGCATCCGCAATGCAGATCTGAGAGCAAAAGTTTTAGCAGCTGTGGCAATCCTAATGGAATACGAATGTATAAATATCTTAATTTATCAACGAAAATTATTTTTTAAATATTGTGTTCATTCCATTTGCAGCTCCATCAGAATCTGGTGATGAAGCTTCCAGCTCTGACAGCTCTGCTCGTTTGTCACAGTCAGGCAAAGTTCCATTCAAGCGACTTGATCTTGGCCGAGACTCTGGCTGTTACGCCTCCAGCAACGAACAACCCTCTGCTGGACCATCTAGTGAAAAACCAGCAGATCTGGACAAGCGACCTGTCGAGGCACCACGAAGCGCGACGGCCAGTCCTCGAAGTCGATCAGCCAGTGCGGCTGTGGCCTCTGCCCTTGCAGCCGCCTCTCTGGCCGCAGCCCAGTCCAAGGAGAAGCAGCAGACAGTTCCTAGGACGCCGAGTTACGACTTTCGGGCCGAGTACGACAAACTGAAAGGCAAGTTAGAGGCGTCTTTGACAAAAGGGCCACTGGCGGCCGATGGCCAGAAAGCCGAATCAGCTGTGGCTGCCGGAATCCGCTGCTTCAGCGAAAAGAGCAGCGACTCTGGCATCAGTTCGAGCTCCAGATCGCCACCCCCAGCTACCCAGGTCATTGTCAGTCCCACAACGAAGCCGGAAAAACCGGAAGCTTAGACATATCGTAGGAAACGAATCTCTAACGAGTCCCTTTTGAGATTTTAACTCTTAAACATCAATTCGATTGCTCGGTGCTTACTTTTTTGGACAGCACACTGGAAGTGGCAGTCTTTTCTAACTATAACTCTAACTCGCAACTACATAACATATTGTATTTTTTACTCAAGATTTTGGTTTTTCGTCTCTTTCGTTGCAGCGCGTTTATATTTTTACAGTGATTCTTGCAGAAGTTTGTGATGTCCAAATCGAGTGCACGAGCCAATCTCATTTAGCTGGCCCAATAGCAGCCTTTGACATATGTGTTTAGGTGGATGTGTATCACAATTCATAGGAGAGCCACCAGTTTTAGACAAACAAAAGTGCGGATCGACTATCGATTTTAAAACTCTAACCAAACGTAGTCTTCCTTTTCTACATTATAAGCCTTATTCTCTACATTCTTGGCGCCTTCCAGCCAACGTATCAAGTCTATCGCATTTGCATTTTTAAATATATTTATATTTTGTTTTTGAGGGCAATAATTTGTGGTTAAAGGACCATCTTAGTCATCTGCGGATCAAATCATTCCATAATCCACCTTTTTTTATCTCAAAATCTACTTATTTTAAAATTTTAAATTTTTATCGGTGACGAGGATATTTATTACTTAATTTGTACTGGAAGAAGTCGGTCTTGAACTAAATTATAAATTGAAATTGTAGCACGGTGGCCACAACTCAACGCACTAAGACCCCGAATTGAAACGCACGCATTAGCAAGCCCCCCAAAATCACGTCATGAAACATAAAAAAATATTTATTTACCAAGTACCTGAGTAGCCAATATTTTATCAACGCGTATAACCTTTTGTGTATTGCAGTATTACTAATAGTTTTCATCAATCGTATCAGTAGCTAGGCAAGAAAAAAAATAAGTAACAGTAGCTACGTTTGCTATAAGACCCCTCTGTGCCAAACAAATATTTGCATTAATCCGTTTGTAAGAAAGACTTTTCCATCTGAGCATGTCGATAATCGGAGCTGAAAAGTGAACAATTTTTCCATCAGTATTATATATATTTTAAATCAAAGAGAAACGAAAATCATTTTCAGTTCCGAAATCAGACGACCTTTCATTTGCAATACCCCGCTTTTATAATTAATTAAGAACAACCCCAAGAGTAGTTTTAGTTTTTATTTGAGTACAAGAAGAAGTCTGCTTCCCCCTCCCATGAACGCAATAATAGAGAAAGGAGTATAGTAATTTTAAGGAGAAACGAGAAGTCTTTGATGGAAAGTCATCTGATTGCGAGGACCCCGCCATCCCATTGTAGGTGACCATCAAATCAGACGCACTTTGAACATGAATTGAGCTTTATTTTCGAATAAAATTGATGTATAAAATTAAAGTACTCTTAAAGAGGATTGAAAATTGGATTGTACAGATATTTATTGCAACTTATCGTAATTATAATAATTAGTGACGTAACTCAAATAATTTCAAAGTGCGCTCGAATGAAATTCTTCCAAACTGATACAACAAAAAATACTAGTACGCGCATCTCACCAGAGACATCAATACGCATCAATCGATCGATTTTCATTGATGTTAACGCATTGTGAACGCCTTTTGTACTCGATTATTTAATACCTGTAAGGAGAATGAAGAATAAATAAAGAGAAACACACGTCTCAGTTCCTATGCAAAATAATCTGAAATCGTATTTTATTTACTCGTATTTAAAATCACTTTAAAAATTATGATACAATATTGTTACAGTTGGTATCACAGCAACCAATAGGGCAGAAATTTTGAGCTCGGCGGTTCCACTTCCTGTAATCAAATAATTGAAGATTATTAAAAAGGATTAAAATTTGAATGTAATTTAATAGCAGTCCATCAATAAAGGGTCATTCCCCGACGTAAAACTTGATTAGCGCTCGATTTTATTTGCCGATTTGCGAATTATCTGAACTGGGGGTGCGGAAGGGTTAATCGGTTGTGCTGCACTTACCGCCCTCGGCGTCAATCTGATGACTCTCGTCGTCGCCTCCTGCAAACAAACAGACGCCGATTGCCATTAAAACACCCCAGGCCAGACTGATTGCGTTTGTGCCGCTCTCGAAAGGGGTGGGCCGATAATTGTGTTTGCAAATTTCTAAATTGGAGCTGAAGGGGATCGAATTGGAGTGTAATTTGGAAAATGATCAAACGTTCGTAACTCTTGCACTAGGTATTTTCAGTATTTTTTTTAATTCATGGAGAGAGAGAGAAATTGAAAAATTTCTGAAGCACATTTTGTGTGTGCATAGTTTATAAAACGAACAGCGGATATCGTTTGACATCATTATTTTGCGTCATACATTTCAAACGCGACGGTCGGAGTCCTGCTGCTTTTATTTTGCCTTTTGGCTTTTTTCTGTTCTGATATGTTTCACAAAATTTTACTTGGTTTTGCACTTGTAAGTTAAAAAAAAGCATTAATGGGAAAAGTTTTAATTTTCATCAAAGTTGAGTCCCTTTTGTGACGCGATATGCTGGAGAAATACAAGTTCGGAGCAAATTCGGCGATTAAATGGTAAAAAATTCAAAATATTTGGTTGACCTCATCTGAAAATATAAATTTCTAAAATTTCAAAAACGTTTACCGCGCACTGATCAAAATAATAAATTTCAACATTTTGCTCTGAATAATTCGTTTACCTCAACGGACCTTGAATTTAAATTCACATAATTTTGAATCATTGGAAATTTAAATTTTATTGCACTGTTAATATATCAATATTTTCTGCAGAAAACAGCGTCAAATACTGTATTGCAAACTGCTTGGGTTTGACATCTTTGAAAACAAATAAAACAAAATCTTGCCAATTCGATTCATCCTCAGGAAGAGGTCTGAGTTTTTAACTTATGCAAATTTTTTAAAAATTTTAATCAGTCCAAGGATGCGAAAGAAATTATTCATTTATGCAAGGAAAAAGCAAATTTAAAGTGTTCTGCAATATGGAGACCGAGTATTTAAAATCCAGATGAACTTTTTTTACACTCCAAATAAAATTTTGACCTCTCATCAGGTGGAACTTTTCTCTTACAACTGATACGCCTCAAACTTCACTTTGCGACGTAATTGTCATCAATATAGCTGTGTTCAACTCAAGCACAAATGAAATGAACGCGGTGCCAAATAGAATTGCTGGTATTTACAAATTTTGCGTATTAATATTTTCAGATTTATTTTATCAAATTAGGCGCCACATCTCAAATCAAGTTGGCAAAGAAACTCGGTGTTAAAGTTTTATTCAAAGTGGGAAGCTGGGACGAATTCATAATGCACCCGAGAGCAATTACAAAGTTGGCTTCAGACAATAACGCACAAACGGCCAAATTTATAAAAAGCATAACAACTTTGATCAATCAATTTGATCTGGACGGTGTTTTCTTCTCCTGGATATGGCCAGGGTGTCCTCAGGTCAAAATCTGAGTTTTGCACAATTAATAAATCCCTAAACTGATTTACAGGCCACGTGCGTGAATGACATTGAAAGGAAAAAAATTCCAGAGTTCATCCAAAGTTTGGCCCGGCCTCTAAAAGATAATGGCCAATTGTTTGTATACTTCATTCACGGAAGTAATGCAAAAGTTGCTTTAACACCTGGTGGGTAATTTTTTTTTTTTAAATTTAATACTCATATATTTTGAAGGTGACTATTTCACGGACATTGTGGACGTGGTTGATTATTTCGCATTTGAAAGCCCCACGCAAAGTGGCGAGTGGTCGCCAAATGCTGACTTAAACTTTAATTTGAAGAAATCTGTATGGCTTTATTTAAGTAGACGCATAATTAAGTTACTTTAAATTATGCAGAAAGAAGTTCTAAGCGAGTACTTCGCAAAGATAAAAAGTCCGCGTTTCAAAAGTAAAATTGTGATGTACATGGAATCGTCGTTCCCCAATTTCGAACTTTCTGGCGCCCCTATCAAACTTGGAGGCCCACAATTAATAAACTCGAAGATTAAAAGGAGATTGGAAATAACAGATGTGATTTATTCAAGTCTGAATTATAAAATTTATATTGAATTGCAATTTTTAACATTTTTTAGTGGTGCAAAAGGGTGCGAGATATTTCTTACGATGTGTTCAGAAACCCAGAAACGCAAAATTACGCAGTTAAAGGTAACACCCTTTTTGCTTTTGATGACGTTGAATCGATGAAAGCTAAGGTATAGGCTATTATTTTATTTATTTTATAAGTGTATATGGGAATAATTTTTATAGATAAATTATTTGAAGAGTTTCGGGTCAGGGGTATATATTACTGAAGTGCAGTATGACGACCAAGCAGGGGAGTGCGGCTGTGGTAAAATGCCATTTTTAAAAATGGTAGTCAACATGTTGACAATGAATTGCGATCCTTCCCCTTGTTTTTGAATTTAAGAATAAAAATTAATTTCTTGGCATCAACTTAAATAAAGATTTATTTATATATATCAAACCTGAATCTAGCAAAGCATTTTATTTTTTTTAAATAAGCGAGACTAAAAACGGTACTCACAGATTATGTAGATTATGTGTTTTGTTCAAATATTTTGAAATCTTTTGTTTTATCCATGTTTTTGATAAAACCTGATAAAACCTTAAAGTAATTGTTTTTTGTTTTTTTCTATTTGAATTTGCAATTAAGTTCTCCTGTGAGAGTTCATGCCATAATAAATTTACAACAAAAAAGAAGTTAAGATAATCTAAAACTTTTATTTACTGCGTTAGATTTGAAGAAAAAAAATGTATTATGGGTATAAGGGGGAAAAAGATATTCTCACCAGCGTTTAATTTATAAATAAAAAGAAACTACTTTTGCAGAAAGTAAATGAAAGTTTATAAAATCGGTTGATAGTGCAATTTTTTTCTTTTATGCGAAAGACTTGCGGAAATGACGATACTACAGGGAGTATTATATTGCGTCATGTTTCTAACCAGCCTTTTAGTTGCAATATATATTTTATAATTTTTCGTTATTCAGACAAAGTTTCAGCAACGCAATGTATCACAAATTTTGGCTTGGTGTTGTACTAGTAAGTTAGAAACACAAATATATTAAATATAATTAAATATCCTACCCATAGTTGCTTCAACTATGTGACGCGGCCTGCAGGAGTAATACAAGTATCGCGCAAATGCAGCAATTCAATGGTAGAATTGGAAAAAAAAATTACCAACCAAAATTTATAGAATTAAATTTCTAATAAAGAAGCATGTCCACATGAATAAGAATAGTTGTAGCATGAAATTAAAATTTTTTTGAAATTTTTATCACCAGAAAACAATGTCAAATACTGCATTGCAAATTGCTTGAGGTTGATACCCGACGCCAAAGCAAAAACGTCAAAATCTTGCCAATTCGATTCATCCTCCGGAAGAGGTTTGATATTTGAAAATTTGAAGAAGAAAAAATGACTATAATTATAGAAAAATTATTTTCTCTGAACAGTGCAAGGGTGTGACAGCACTTTTGTTGTGCCGAGAAAAAGCAAATTTAAGTTAATCTGCTCCATGGAAATGAAGTAGTACTTAAAAATTTTGATTAACTTTGACCCTACTAACACTAAATCTCTCAGCTGGAACATTTCAATTATCATAGATAAGTCTCGAACTTCACTATGCGACATAATTACCTTCACTTTTGCTGCATTCAACCCGATCACGAATGAATTTGAGGTGATGCCAGATAGCGTTGCTGGTATAATTTAAAATGGAAATTTAAGCCTCTTATTTAATTGCAGATTAATTAATTTAAAAAAAAATTAACCCTAAGGCGCAACGTCCGCAATCAATTGGGCTAAACAACTTGGCGTCAAAATTTTGATGAAAGTGGGGGGCTGGGACGAATTCATAATGCACCCTAAGGAAATTGCAAAGTTGGCTTCCAACAGTAACGCACAAACGGCCAAATTTATTGCAAGCGTTCACGCTTTGGTAAAAAAGTTTGATCTGAACGGTGTTTACTTCTCCTGGTTGTGGCCAGGATGTACACAGGTCAAAATCCAAATTAAAAAAATTAATTAAATTTCCAAAAAAAAAACATTACAGAATAAATGTTTGAATGATATTCAAAGGAAAAAAGTCTCACAGTTTATTCAAGACTTGGCCCAGCCTTTGAAAGATAAAGGCCAATTGTTTGTATATTTATTTCACGGAATTAGTGCAAAAAGTGGTTTAACGCTTGGTGGGTAATTTTTAGTTGAAAAAATAATTAATTTTAAAGTTGGTTGATATTTTTAAGGTGACTATTTCTCGGACGTAGTGGACGTGGTTGATTATTTCGCATTTGAAGGCGACGTTCAGAGCGGTGATTGGGCAGGAAGTGCAGAATTCAGTTTCAATTTGAAGAAAACTGTAATTATTTAATTTACATTCAGCCTAAATCTTAAAGTAAATTTTATTTACACAGAAAGAAATTCTCACCGAGTACTTTTCAAAGGTGAAAAGTCCACGTTTCAAAAACAAAATCATGTTCACTATGCGTTCTTTATTCTTCAATTACGAGCTTGTTAGCGCCTCTGCCAAAATTGGAGGTGCCGTAGTAAGAAACTCGCAGATTAAAACGACATTGACAATGCCAGAAGTGATATTTTAATAAGTAATGAAATTTGCATTGCAATGGCTAAATTTTTAGTGGTGCAAGATGGTTCAGGACAGCTCTTACAGTGTGGCTAGAAATACAGAAACGCAAAATTACGCAGTCAAAGGCAACACCCTTTTTGCTTTTGATGACGTTGAATCAATTAAGGCTAAAGTATACATGATATTGATTGAATTCAACAAAATAAGTGTCTTTATATAATATTTTTTTAGATCAATTACCTGATGAGTTTTGGGGCAGGGGTAGTGATTACCAACATGCATGTTGATGATCAAGCAGGGGAGTGCGGCTGCGGAAAAATGCCATTTTTAAGACTTTTAGTGAATATATTAAAAATGAATTGCGATCCTTCCCCTTGCTTTTGAATTTGCGAATCATTGAGAATAAAAATAATTTTTTTCCCATCAACTTTAAGGCAGATTTTTTTTTGAACCTGTTTAAATGGTATAACACATTTTTAGATTGACAACCAAAGAAACTCCTTACATAATTTATATTATATTTTTTTTTAAATTTTAAAATAAGTAAAATTATCGCTAGTAGTATTGATTTATTTATTCTCCATTCAATACATTGAAATACACTACATCTTAAATCAAGTCAATACTAAAAAGAGTTAATAATGTCCCCCTCCCCCAATAATTCGTTATAAATAATTCTTCTAGGTTGATACAAAGTCGGCCGCCGCAGTAACCCCTCCCCCCCCCCCCCCCAATTGGTTCAGCTCAGCTATTATTTTTCATTCGCGTGTTTAAATTGAAAGAGTAACGGAAATGACAGTCCTACTCTCCAACATCATGTTTTCAACACAACTGGCAATTTAGTTGTTGTAATTTTACTATTTTAGTTATTAACACGAAACTTTTCAGTAACAATGCATAACAAATTTTGGCTTGGTGTTGTACTAGTAAGTATAAAACTAAAAAACTTTAAAAACCCTGAAATGTTTAAAAATAAATTAATATCCTTCAAATTTATACTTCAAAGGTGATTCATTTGTGTGACGCGGTGTGCAGGAGTAATACAAGTTTGGAGCAAATGCTGCGATTCAACGGTAACAATTAAATTTATTTTTCAACCAATTTTTAGTATCGATTCAAGTCTTAATAGTGAGTATAATATCATATCATAAATAAAAAAAATTCAATCTTCAGAAAACAACGTCCGATACTGCATTGCAAATTGCCTTAGGTTGATACCTGATATCAAATCAAAAGCGTCAAAATCCTGCCAATACGATTCATATTCCGGAAGAGGTCAGATATTTTAAAGTTTGAATGAGGGACCGATCACGAATAATTGACCCCTAATTGTTACGAACTTATGTGTTGCCGCGATCATCACAGTTTTCACGTATGTTATTGGGGTCAATAAAAGGAGTCTCTGACTAAATTTTGAATTGAAAATTTTGAGTACTTTTTGAAAAATCCGGGTATTTTGAAAAACACAAAATTGCGTTTATCTTTGTTTCTATTGAGTTTAGAGCAATGCGGTTTTCACCATAGCTGGTAACTTTTTATTCTGAACAACTTTTCAATTGACCAAAATGACCTAGGTCAAAGGTCAAGGTCACTAAAATGCATTTTAATTTTTTAAAGCAATTTTTCTCAAAGAAGCATACCTTGGATTTTTTCCGTGGTATAGGAAAAAATGTAGCCCATCAAATTTTACATCTGGTCAGTAAAAATCTCGATGGCCTATTTTTTAGTTTTAAAGATATTTTTATTATAATTTAAAAACATGCGTTCTCGGCAAAACGCGTTATTTTGAATTTCAACTGTTTTGATAAAAATAATGTGATTAAAACAATGCGGTTTTCACTGTCCACTCTAATTTTTTATTCTGAACAACTTTTCAATTGACCAAAATGACCTAGGTCAAAGGTCAAGGTCACTAAAATGCATTTTTAGTTTTCAAGGCCATTTTTCTCAAAGAAGCATACCTTGGATTTTGTTCGTGGTATAGAAAAAAATGTAGCCCATCAAATTCTACATCTGGTGTGTGAAATTCAGAATGGCCTTATTTTTAGTTTTAAAGATATGTAAATAAGAATTCGAAAAAAGCGCTCTCGACCATATATTTTCAATATAGAACATGCGTTTTTAAATACTTATTTACATATCTTTAAAACTAAAAATAAGGCCATTCTGAATTTCACAGACCAGATGTAGAATTTGATGGGCTACATTTTTTTCTATACCACGAACAAAATCCAAGGTATGCTTCTTTGAGAAAAATGGCCTTGAAAACTAAAAATGCATTTTAGTGACCTTGACCTTTGACCTAGGTCATTTTGGTCAATTGAAAAGTTGTTCAGAATAAAAAATTAGAGTGGACAGTGAAAACCGCATTGTTTTAATCACATTATTTTTATCAAAACAGTTGAAATTCAAAATAACGCGTTTTGCCGAGAACGCATGTTTTTAAATTATAATAAAAATATCTTTAAAACTAAAAAATAGGCCATCGAGATTTTTACTGACCAGATGTAAAATTTGATGGGCTACATTTTTTCCTATACCACGGAAAAAATCCAAGGTATGCTTCTTTGAGAAAAATTGCTTTAAAAAATTAAAATGCATTTTAGTGACCTTGACCTTTGACCTAGGTCATTTTGGTCAATTGAAAAGTTGTTCAGAATAAAAAGTTACCTGCTATGGTGAAAACCGCATTGCTTTAAACTCAATAGAAACAAAGATAAACGCAATTTTGTGTTTTTCAAAAAACCCGGATTTTTCAAAAAGTACTCAAAATTTTTAATTCAAAATTTAGTCAGAGACTCCTTTTATTGACCCCAATAACATACGTGAAAACTGTGATGATCGCGGCAACACATAAGTTCGTAACAATTAGGGGTCAATTATTCGTGATCGGTCCCATGAATTTATGATTGAAATTTTTATTTATTATTTTGATTAGTGCAAGGGTGTGACGGCACTTTCATTGTGCCGAGAAAAAGTAAATTTAAGTTAATCTGCGCCATGGAGTTGGAGTATCTTAAAAATTTGATCTATTTTAACTGAATTAACTTAAAACATCTCAGCTACGACCTTACTATGATCATTGATACTCCTCAAACTTCACTTTGTGACGTAATTACCCTCACTTTTGCTATGTTCAACCCAACCACTAAGGAATTGGAAGCGATGCCAGATAAAATCGCTGGTATTATTTGCAATTAAACTTTAAAATTCTATCAGCAGATTAATTAAAAATTTATCAATCATTCAAGGCGCAACATCCACAATCAATTGGGCTAAACAACTTGGCGTTAAAATATTAATTAAAGTGGGAAGCTATGACGAATTCATAATGCACCCAAAAGAAATTGCAAAGTTGGCTTCGGACAGTAACGCACAAACGGCCAAGTTTATCGCAAGCGTCCACGCTTTTGTCAAAAAGTTTGATCTGGACGGTGTTTACTTTTCCTGGATATGGCCAGGGTGCACTCAGGTTGAAGTCAAAATCTATTTTCAAATAAAATTAATAAATATCCGGAATTAATTTTTATAGAATAAATGCTTAAATGATATTCAAAGGAAAAAAGTCTCACAGTTTATTCAAGACTTGGCCCAGCCTTTAAAAGATAAAGGCCAATTATTTGTATATCTATTTCACGGAGCTAGTGCAAAAAATGGTTTAACGCTTGGTGGGTAATTTTAGTTGAAAATTAATTCATTTTTACTGATTTATATTTTGAAGGTGACTATTTCTCGGACGTAGTGGACGTGGTTGATTATTTCGCATTTGAAGGCGACGTTCAAAGCGGCGATTGGGCGGGAACTGCCGAATTGAGCTTCAATTTGAAGAAAGCCGTATTTAGTTCATTTACATGCAGCCAGATGAATTTTTAACACAATTCTAAATTATGCAGAAAGAAATTCTCAACGAGTACTTTTCAAAGGTCAGAAGTCCACGTTTCAAAAGTAAAATCGTGTTCACTATGCGTTCATGGTTCAACAATTACGAGCTTGTTGGCGCCTCTGCCAAAATCGGAGGCGCTGTTGTAAGAAACACGCAGATCAAAACGATATTGGAAATGCGAGACGTGATATATTTAATATCGAATGAAATTTTGCATTGCAATGGTTTAATTTTTAGTGGTGCAAAATGGTTGCTAACAACTCTTACAATGTGGTCAGAAATACAGAAACGCAAAATTACGCTGTCAAAGGCAACACCCTTTTTGCTTTTGATGACGTTGAATCAATAAAGGCTAAGGTATGGTATTAATCTTAATGAAATAAAAATATGAAATGCAATTTTTAGATCAATTATCTGATGAGTTTTGGATCAGGAGTGTTGATTACCAACATGCATGTTGATGATCAAGCAGGGGAGTGCGGCTGCGGCAAAATGCCATTTTTAAAACTTTTAGCGAATATATTGAAAATGAATTGCGATCCATCCCCTTGTTTTTGAAAGATTTATTTCAATAAAAAAAAAATTGAACCGAAAGACAAGATGAAATTTAATAAATCAGATAGGAGCAAATAATTGCATTGTTTCTTTCAAGAACTTACCTGGTAGGTACATGATGGCCCTTCTTTGGCAATACTCGGTTTGCGGCACTCTCAACTCGCAGATGAAGAGGATGGCGCCGAGAAAGTGCTCCAAGTCCTCGACTTCCGCCGAGGCCCTGGTGGTGAACGAGTCTCCCCTTCGGCCAGTCTCCACCGTCACCCCTTCCATCGGATACTCCCTGCCGAGCGCAAAATCGAGTCAGCGAAAATTTGCAGTTAATCGATTATGCAGATTATTGGTAATTTCTCGGTTGGTTTGCTTTCATTTACATCAATGGAATTTTGGTTTAATTTAATTTCAAGCAAAGGGTGCTGGGGGATGAAAAATAATTATATATTTAAAGAAATTTTCACCGCTGCTGCGTTTCGCAAAGGGACGCCGCCTTGATCGCCGTCTTGTCTTTGACGTCGGGTCGCGCGTAATAAAGGAACATCCTTGGCTCCGGGAAAACTCCTTCAGCGACGCAGCTTATGTTGAAAGTGTCCTCCGCAGGGCGGCCATACTGCAGATACATATTTGTTTCAGGCGCTGAAATCGTGATTGATAAGAATAATTAAAATTAATTTCTTTCAGGTACTAAAATAATAATCGTAGTTTTTAACATTGCAAAAGATTATTTAAGAAAAAAAATAAATTAAAGAATGCCATGAATTATGAATTAAATATAATTATTATTTTTTAATAATATATAAATAAAAATTATTTAAAATTTTGAAATATTTTTTCATTATTGTTAATAAAGTGATAAATGATTATTGAAATGAAAACATAATACTTTTTATTATTTCAATGTTTTTTTTTTAATTAACTATTTTACTAATTTACTAAATATTTTAATATTATGACACGATTATTTTTGTAATTACACTATCTATGCCACCTTATCTTCATCTTGCATTGAGCAGCTGCATTAAATATTATTTTTCAAGTTTTGAATTTGCTCTTAATATTTTCTTAAATAAAATTCACAATAATTTTTTTGTCACTATATCAGAGTGACAAAAATCAATCAAAACTATCTTCTTCTATTTTTTGATACAACGGAATAAAAGCTAGCATTAAAAAAAATTGGGTTTTATTCCTAACTCATGGTGATTTCTATTTTGACTTTACAATAATTATCATAATTTGCAACTAATTATTTCTAAGATTATTTTCTACATTTTAAAATTGAGTATTATTATTATTTTTTATTTTACTCACCAAAGACAATCATCGGTTTGATCATGAAGTCTTCGCCGTCATAGGTCGAGATGGAGCACTTGTAGTCGCCGGTGAGCTCTGTGGTGGCGCCGACGATGCGAATGCCGGCGCTGCCCCGCTCGTTGCGGGTGCCGTAGTTGAGGTCGAGGCGGCCCTTGAGCAGGCCCAGACCCTGCGGCCGCCCGTGCGCCGGAATCCACTGGTACACGGGCTCAGGGTCGCCGCCGAAGAACCATTTGACGACCAGCTCGAGGTGCCGCGACTCGTGCGGCTCCACCTGGAATTCGCAGTCGAGGGTCACGTCCGAGCCGTTCTGCACCAGACGCGGCACTTTCAGTTGCGTGATCTTCACCGACAGCACTCCGAAGCGCAGAACTAAATTTAAAAAATAATTTTTTAATAGTATACATTTTATTTTATTATATTTAGAGGCGTAAATTAAAAATTAATAAAGACACAACTCAATTATAAATAAAATATAATTATAGAAAAAGTTTAATATAAAGGATCAGAGATCTTCATTTTAGATGGAAATCTGCAGCAAAAAATTTTCTCTCAAATTAATCAGAAGCTTCTTTTCTTCTTATTACTTACAGCAAAAATTCTTTATTCATGTTTGAAATTCAAACAAGCTCAAAACCCAAATAAAAATTATACAATAGTAGTTTTTATATTTTCTCTTTTTTTCATCAAAATTTAAAATAACGAAAGAAAATGTAAACAAAACGTGGAATAAAATTTTGTCCATTGTTGCAAGGTTAAAGATTGAGGTCAAGGGTCACATCGGTTATCTAGGATCAGTTGGGCTGGAGCATAAAAACTATTTTATACCAGATTGATTTTGTGTAATAATTCACAATTCTGTCGAGACTTGTTGCGAGATTATTATCAAGATAAGATAAGCACGCTGCAGATTAGTTGTACCGGCCGGCAGAAATCAATTTCCACACTTTGTTGGTAAAGGTCGGCGAGGACAGTGCCAAAATGTCCTATTTTTACTTAATTTTGGCCGTGGTCTCGATTTCCGTGGCCCGTTTTCTCAACATGAGAGACTCGCCTCCGATTCTCGGCATCTACACCCGCCCGGGAAAATGGTACTTTCTAAAATTTCTGCTGTTTTTCGGACTACTCCACTTCAGAAAGGTATGCGATCGAATTTTATTTTTCACTTTATTATTATTTAATTAATTCTCCAGTTGATGAATAAACTTCGCGGCGAAAAAGTCGCGGCAAACCAAAGTGGATACGGAGTAAAATCCAGGTCGTCACCTGAATTGATGGACTGCTCACAACCTTTGTCATCAGACCCAAAAGTATAAAATAAGGAAGAGATTTGCAATTTTCTGGAATTATTTCATTGAATTTGCAGGCGATTGATGCTGTATATTTTAATTCGGCTTCCAAAGATGGGCAATATCTTGTTGGAGCAACGGCCAGACGCCCAAATGGGGTTATCAATGGTTTCCTCTATTTAAAGGTAGATCTTCAAAATATTTTACTAGATTTATAAATTTATTCAATTTAGAGAAATTTCTGGATTTAATATTAAAAGTCCACAAACTTTCATATTTAATAATTCCAAACTCAAAACTAAGTACTGAAAGGAAATAATTACAAACACTAGCAGCCCACACATAATTCAATTAAAATAACGTAAATGACAAGAAAAATGAAAAAATTTCATTTTTCGTTTTTATTATAAAAGGGAATTAAATTATTATGGCACTTATGATCAAGAAAACGATTAAAGTGGAAATTTGAATGCAAACAAAAGTAGCTTAAAAAAAGGAACTGTTAAAGAGGAAATTTAAATGGTTGCACTGTATTTTTATTTCCTTTTGGTTTTATTTTGGCTAGAAAAAGTAGGTTTCTCTATCAACAAGCGCGATGTTAAATTGAGTAGAGAGAAAGGTTTTCTTGATCGCGTTTCTCACTATTTCACACATTTTCACCACTAACTCCTGCAGCTTTAAAAAGTAGGCAGCCTGCATGGCAGGGTTGCTGCCAATGGTTGCATAATGACAAATCAGCAGGCGTCTAGTGATGCGTGTCGAATCGAAAATTGATATTTTCATGGTTTTTATTAATTTAAATTGTTAGTTTAATGTAATTATTAATAGAAACCTGAGATATTTTAAAAATTTCAGATGTTTTATAACTTGTTTTAACTAAAATTTAAATTAAGATTACAAAATATACAAAATTAAAAAAATATTGACTTAATATTTTTCTGACTTTTTTTCATTTAGATTTTTAGTCTCTGAGTGATTTAATTTTACATTATTATTATTTTTTATATAATAAATATTCAGGTTCCGCAAATTGGGTTACTTTTGAGTCCGAAAATTCCTGATACGACGCTGCAGCAGACAAAGGAAGAGGAAGAGGCCGGCGTTTTTGGAGCAGAAGGAATAAAATTTGAGCCGATCGAGCCGATGAAAAGGTGGAAACTGACTTATCAAGGAAAAATGAAGTAATTACTTTTTTCGTTAAATTTAAAACAAAATTGCCTTATTTGTTATTTAAAAGGCTGTTTGAAAATCCAGAAAAAGAGGTGACGGTTGACTTAAGAGCCGAGTGGAAAAGCAATCTGCCCGTTTTCGATTTCGACACCGACATGGATCCTGCGCCTGTGGCGAGGGCTTTCGCTAAGGAGACCTGGTCTAGAGAATACTTTGAACTTTTGAAACAGTTAAAAAAAACTTGAATTTAAAAATAGTTAAAAAAAATAATAATAATTCTAACAGAGCACACCAGACGCATTACGAGCAGCATGGAGATATCGACGGAACTGTAACAATTGATGGAGTCGAATTTCCTCTCCACCTCAACTCAATGAGAGACCACAGCTACGGTTGGAAATTATTTTAAAAAAAAAAAAAACTCTAATTATAAAATATTTCAGGCCACAAGAGGGAGTGGAAAAACTTCCACAGGTATGGTTTGCACATGGTCACCCTAGAGGACGGAACGCGTTTCGGACTCGGAGTGGTCAGTTGTCCAATAAACTTTGCGCAAATGGAGCTCGGCTACGTTTACAAACCCAACGGCGAAGTTGTGCCCTTGCAAAGGTGCGACCTGAAGTTATACGAGCACGGCGAGGACGGAACTCCACCTCTTGACTACGCATTCAACTTTTGGGCCGGTATTTTTTCAAATTTAAATAAAAATGGTAATGGATTTAAAAATTAAAACAAATTTGCAGGAAATAAGAAATATTGCTGCCAGGTCAAAGTGCTTCACTCGCCCGAATTCTACATTGGCGATGAGTGGGAAGCGCGGGTGGTGGAAAGAATGGCCACGTTCAAAGTTAATGGGGTGCCTGGTTGGGGGATTGCCGAGTGGGAATATAGAAATACTTTGGGAAAAGTGGCAATTTGATTTAAAATAAAATGAAAAATTATTTAATAACAAAAAATGTGTTGAATTTTACGGTCCCAAAGTTTTTGAGATCACTGGAGCAATGTTGCCGTTTGTCGGTGTTAATTGCATAAGACAATGGTAATTATATTTTATTATCAAGCAGCGGTTTATATTTCGGAGATGCTGTTTTGGCCACTGACCACCGACCGGAAGTATAGAACCGAAATCACGGCGGCAAACATGAAATGAGGTGCAATAAGTGCGCGGCAAAACGATGATTATTACGGCACATATGTATGTCAAGATGCGATAAAACAAAACAACACACGACGGCTCGCTGGCTCGGCGAAAAGGGGACTACAATATCGCACACTTGGCTGCCTCCCTTTATTTTGCTCGCGTTTCTCGTTCTAACTGTTGAGTCTCTCTCTCATTATGCAAACGACGGCGCACTTTTCGACACGCTCGTTGCGTGCTTTCGTTTCTCGAGAACGACACTCGGAATTAAAAATTCTTATCAAAAGGGAGGGAGAAAAATTTACAGAAAACTTCCAGAGTGTATAATATACAACAATACTTGCGCATCAGAAAATTATAACAATAGAAGGGGAAAAAACAGAAAAAAAAATATTTTGTTCCTTTTTCAAATAAGGGGATCCCGTTTTATTTTATTAATTTATGTTTATAATTAATTTTCTTTTTATTTATTTTAGAAAACTTTTAGAAAAAAACAAGTTCAGTTATAAAGTAGAAATAAATTCTAGATGCTACGTAGAAATTATGTTAAATAAAATATAATGAAACAATTCACAAAAATATGAATAATGTTATTATAACGTTATTAAAATCAATTATATTCTACTTTTTGACATTCTAAAAGACGTAAAAGTAAGCAAAACCCTTTTAAAATTGTCAAAACTGTAGGAAGATAGACTAACCTGTGAAAAGGGTGAGAACACCCCAAACAGTTCGGCGAGAACTCCGAGGCCATGGCATGCTCGCGAGGCGCGTTCAGTGCGAGTGCACTCACTCGTTGCACCCGCCGTGCTCGACTGACACTGCGCACCTCCTTTTCCGTCTGCACGGAGGCAGAAAGATTTTTGTCGGCCCACCCCCGCCAAAGACTTCACGGCAGAGATTTCCAGTCTTTCGGGGCAAGCCGCGATTTTAAATCAGATTGAGTAAAACAGTTTTACTTGAAAAACAAAACTATTAAAATTTGATAAATTTTTAGCTTCGTCCTGAGAAACGGCTATTTTAGACACTTTGTGTAAGATTCTCAGTTTGCTCAAATGAAAGTTTGGGGTTATATTTGAAACTAGCGTTTTGGATTGAAATGAGAAGCGGAAATGACACTTGTGCAGTTTCCGTATTTCAAACGCAACCAGAGAGTGTCGCGCCTTTTAGCTCAGTGTTTCAGTTCAAATGCACCACAGAAATTGGCTTGGCGTTATATTTGTAAGTTGAAAATATTCCAAAATGTTTAAATTAAGGATAATTATTTTCAGTTGCTTCATTTTTGTGAAGCGCGGGTATGCAGGAGTAGCAGTGGCAATACGAGTGTGGAACAAATGTGGCGACGAAATGGTAAAAATTAATGAAATGATTGAAAAACAAAACTACGCCAATAATACAATAATAGTGAGATTAATTACCATGATCTATTTTTTGCCATAAAATTAAAAGCAAATACTTAAAATATTAGTGAAAATGCTCTTATAGAATTAACTTTATCAAATTTATATTTATATTACCGCATTTTTAAATAAAATTATTTACTTATATAGAAAACAACGTTCGATACTGCATTGCTAATTGTTTGGGGTTGACACCTGAAGCCAAATCAAAAGCGTCAAAAACTTGCCAATTTGATTCATCCTGGGGAAGAGGTACGATTATATTTTAACGCTTGATAGAATAATGATTTAAAATTTATTCATTTTTATCAGTGCAAGGGTGTGACAGCACTTTCATTGTGCCGAAAAAAAGCAAATTTAAGTTAATCTGCAACATGGAGTTATTGTATAATTTACTATTTTGTTCAACTTGTCCACTCTAACTCTAAAAACCTCTCAGCCGGGATCTTTCCATCATTATTGATACGCCTAAAACTTCACTTTGCGACATGATTACTCTTAATATTGCTGTGTTCAACCCAAACACAAGTGAAATGGAAGTAGCACCAGATAGAATTGCAAGTAATAAAAAGAATATGGAAATAAATAATTGTTTTTATCTGTCAAATTTAAATTTTACAAACTGAAAAATATCTCAATTTTTGGGATATAAAATATCAAAATAACTCCCAAAATAAAACTTTCAAGACGTACCATCCACAATCAATTGGGCAAAACAACTCGGCATAAAAATTTTGTTCAACGTGGGAAGCTGGGACGCATTCGTAATGCACCCAAAGGAAATTACAAAGCTGGCTTCAGACAGTAACGCGCAAACAACCAAATTTATTGAAAGCATATATTCTTTGATCAAAAAGTTCGATCTGGACGGAGTTTACTTCGCCTGGTGTTGGCCAGGGTGTACTCAGGTTTCGACAAAATATTTCAAAGCTTGAAAATTTCTAAACCCGTGATTTTTAGAATTATTGCACGAATGATATTCTAAGGAAAAAAGTATCCCAGTTTATCCGAGACTTGGCCCAGCCTCTAAAAGATAAAGGCCAATTGTTTACATATTTAATTCCCGGAAATGCTGCAAAAGCTGGTATAACCCTAGGTGAGAAATTTCAAATTTTTTTATTCGGAGATATTGAAACTTCATGAAATTTTTAAAGGTGACTATTTCTCGGACATAGTGGACGTCGTTGATTTTTTCATATTTGAAAGCCACCTTCAAAGTGGCGATTGGGCGCAAACTGCTGAATTTAACTTCAATTTAAAGGAAACTGTAATAGTTAATTAAATATATAAATGGAAATTCTAAAAGTATTACTTAATTTAACGCAGAAGAAAGTTCTCAGTGAATATTTAGCGATCGTCAAAAGTCCGCGGTTTAGAAGTAAAATCATGTTTACATTTCAAACATGGATCTTCAATTACGAGCTTGTTGGCGCCTCTGCCAAAATTGGAGGCACTGTGATAAAAAACTCGCAGATTAAAAAATTCTTGGGAATTCGAGATGTGATATTTCGATAAGAAATATATTTATATTTTGCGTTTCAATGTCAAAATTTTTAGTGGTGCAAGGCGGTTCGGGACAACACTTATGATGTGGTCAGAAATCCGGAAACGCAAAATTATGCAGTCAAAGGCAACACCCTTTTTGCTTTTGATGACGTTGAATCAATAAAGGCTAAAGTATGATAAAAATAAATTAAAAATCAAATTTCTTATTATTCTTTAGGTAAAATACGTGATGAGTTTTGGGTCAGGGGTAGTTATAACTGACATGCTGTATGACGACTTCACAGGGGACTGTGGCTGCGGCAAAATGCCATTTTTAAGAGTTATTGCTAACACATTAAAAATGATGTGTGATCCTCTACCTTGCTTTTAGAGGATTTTATTTTGGAATAAAATATTCAATAAAAACACATCATACGTTTTGTATTATTCTGATATTTCTAACTCTTCATGTAAAATTTCACGGCAGAGAATTTGGGCTAAAATTTTAAATCAGACTCACCAAGTGTACCACAGAGTTTTATTTTAAAAACAAAACATTAAGCTTCCTTCTTGGGATCGGGGGTTTCAGTCTTACTTCGTTCATTGGCGTGCTCGCGGGCCACTTTGCGCCGCGTTTTGACCAGAATTCGGTGGCCAGGACAGTCCAGCTCTTCCTGGTAACACTTTGTTCGGCAGCACTGCTTGCAAAAACTGAACCCACATTTCAGCCCCTGAAATAGACAAAGTAAAAATTTAGGTCCTCATACAATTTACATAATAAATTATTATAATTTACAAGAAGGATACTAAAAAAAATAATTGTAAAATTTATTTTCAGTTTAAAGATCAAAAAGAATAAACTAACAATATCAATTCCATTTTACTTTTACAAACATCAACCTTTTAACTTCCGAATCACAGTTTTTTTAGATTTTCCCATTTCTCCCACTTCAAATGTGAATCCGATTATAATCCATTAGAGAAAGGACTTCAAAAATACAAACCTTAGGGTTGAGACACTGCGCACACAGAGCCAAAGGTTTTCGCTCGAACTTCTTCCGAGGATTTCTTTCCAAGATCTTCATTTTCTTTTTTGATAATTCAGGAGAATCTCCATCTTCCTTTCTTTTGTTGTTAACCTCCTTTTTATTTTATGAATAGTTTATTAAATCAATGGGCAAGGAAAAACTTACTGAATTCTTATTGGCTTCGTTTGCAACTTGGAGCTTTTTCAGGTACTCGTCGGGAGGCATTCTAACATAAGGCTGGCACAACCACACATCGTAAGGTAAATCTGTTGGTATTTTTAGTCTAAATCAAATCTGATTTTAAAATTTAAGAAAACCTACCTATATTTTGAGTAAAAGTCTCACTGCCAATGTGATATTTTTCATACCGCTGTCTAATTTTATGGACACCAGACTCGAAATTGCTCAATTCTTGAGCCTTGGCAATTTCATAACGAACGTCAAAGTTCTCAGGTAAGGCTAAAACGTGCTGAAGCAATTTGAATACATGACCTCTGACAATCGACGTCGCACAAGGATATTCTTTCACCAGGGCAAGATACTCTTCGGCCATTTCGTAAACAGGTGGGTTTATTCCCTGCAAATAAAATAAATGAATAAATAAAATCAACCTTATCTTTAATTATTATGTATTTTTTTTTTTTAAATTTAGGATGGTTTGAATTACCTCAAAAATGGCAGGATTGTGGAGGTGACCTTCTGCAGACATGACACCCTCCACCCCAGTCTCCTCGATGCACCTCAAAACGTCAGCCAAGCTCTGAATGTTGCCGTTGGCGAACATGGGCACCGAGACTGACTTGCGCACCTCCTTGATCTGCCCCCAGCTGGCCAACCCTGTCAAAGGCCCTTTCTGCTCCCTCGTACGACCGTGCACCGTCAACAAAGAGGCGCCTGCACTTTCCAGCATGCGGGCGTAATCGACTGTCCTCCTTGGATCTTCAAAAACTCGAATTTTGCAGGTAATCGGAACTTTGACCGTAGAGCTGGCTTTGCGAACTAGAAAAATTAAACTATTTAAAATAAAATTCATCATTTTGTTTAATTTAAATACCCATTTCGTGGAGGAGCTGCCATTCGTCTTGGAGGAAGCAGCCGTAGTTTCCTCTTCTGGCAATGGCCTGAGGGCACCCGAGATTCAAATCCACAGCTTCGCAATAGTCTTGGGACAGCAGAGCGGCTTCAGTGAAAACGTCAGGGTCATTTGAGCAAAACTGGAATTAAAGATAAAATTTATGAATTAAATTTCAATTCAATTTTATTAGTTGCAAAATGTATAAAAAACAAAGATTTATATTTTCTTAAATTTACCTGTACGATGAGAGGCCTGTCTTGTGGACAAGAGGCCAGCGCCTCGACGCGGTACTTGGGGTCCTTGCAAAACACCTGGCTGTGCCACATAGGGGTGTAGCAAAGCTCGGCGCCATGGTTGCGCGCCAACATGCGCCAGGCCAGTTCACTGCCCTCGACCATGGGCGCCAGCACGAATTTGGCGCCCTTCAGCTTGTCACGCCAGAATTCCATCTCGCTAAAAGCAGACCGGAGAAAGAGCTATTTTCATGTTGGAAATTTATGCACGAACAGAGAAAACACGAGCTTCTTGCTAGATTAAAATATATGAGCATGTTTATGTCTGGAAAAAATTGGACTAGGTAATGAGCTGAAGTGCTGATTTGCATGTGCGCATGAACTGCTGCTTATCACGATAATTTACGGTTTACTTTCCTAACGACTTGGAAATATGAATTAATTAAAAAGGCTCCCTGTGGTGATAATTATTACTCTATAATGTGCAAGTAGACCAAATTTAATAGATAAAGTCAGAACTGCAAAGTAAATTCTCAACCCCGAGCATAATTTTTTAATCGTGAAATTTTTTTCTTAAATTATTTAAAAACACCTTTGCAGTTTGATGTTTGTCAAGGACTTCTGTAAATTTTGGTCTCTCCTGTGATGGTGAAGATTGTGGAGGACTGGTTGACGCTTCCGTTGCTTCCGTCACTCGGGGTGACGCGATTGCTCCGCTCGACGCAAACCTCCAGTCGAGACTTGATGACCGACGACGCCGACCGCGACTTCTTGCGCAGGATCAGGTAGTTCCTGGGCTCGTCCTGGTACCGGAAGTTCCTGATGAACTCGTACGTGGAAATGCCCTGGTACGCGATGTACACGTGGAAGGCGAACAGGTGCAGCAACAGCAGGGAGACGGAGAGGGAGAGCAGGGAGACGACGACGAGCACCATGGAGAAGACGAGTCTCTCCCTGATGGGCGAGGAGAGGAGGTGGGGGAAGTGGAAGAAGGAGACGAGTTGCCAAAGGGCGAGCAGGGCGATCAGCAGGCTGGCCAACCCCGAGCACAGGACGCAGATCAGGAAAGAGCGGTAGTTGCGGCCGCCGACGCAGTGGTTCAGCCACTTGCAGTGGTGGTCGAACACGGACACGCACTTGTTGCAGGCGCTGCAGTGCTTGCTGCGGACGCTGCTCACCGTGATGCTGCACAGGTGGCAGCGGCCGTCCTCGATTACGTGCAAGTGGCGCCGCCGGTCAAACTCGCCCTGAATTAGCAAAGAGTCAAGAAAGAAGTCTCAAGATTGATGATAGATTTGCAAATTTGAAACCGATTCTTTTATTTTTGTTGTGATTTTGTTCTAAAAGAACTAATATGTTTAAAATACGTTATAATTTTGGATAAACCTTTGATAAAATTAAATATTTATTATACAGAAAATTAGACCATCAGGTCTGCTCAGGTTGGTTAAAAGCAGTTTAAGGTTAAACAAATCCCTCTAGAGAAAACAACTAATAATATCAGCCAATCAAATTGCTTCATTTATAAATTTAAGGCGTTTTTTAAGATAAATAATTATTATTCAAAAAAAATGGCAAAAGAAATTTATAAAAAAAGCCAATTTCTTAAATTATAACACTTTAGCACAGGATTTTCAATAAAAGAAATATTATAAAAAAAACTAATTTAATTTTTAGGTTAAATTTGATTAATTAATTCAAACATCCACAGTTTTAGTAGAAGCAAATTTAAACGAAACAAATAATTATTGCATCTATTAAATAGTTAAGATTGACCTGAAGGTTCTAAAGTAATTATAAATTGACCTGGATTTTGGAGAATAAAAAATAATATCTTTTGAAATCAGTTACAATTGGTTTTGTATCTCAGGATTCTTCTTCTAGGGTCACCTTGACGGAGTATCCGCCGACCCTGAGTGCCTCCTCGGCAGGGTCGGTGAGCATGGCGACGAGGTGGGAGACGGCGTGAAGACCAAACAGCACCGCCATGACAGGCGTGACAAACGCTCGGAGGTCGTCCCTGAGCGCTGGCAGCAGCAGTCCGAAGGTGACCCCGGCAAGGGCAGTGAGGACAGCCCAGCCGAGCACCTGCTGCGGGTGCAGCGGCAGCTGGAGGCCGTGACGCCGCCTCCAGAGCCGCTCCTCCGGCGGCGGCAGGTCACTCTGCCACGAGCAGCACCCCATTCGCCACTGGCACCGACAGCTGCCCCGAAGGGACGCCAATGGGTTGCCCTGGCGACCGCCTGCCACAACACTCCCGCCACCACAAATTGCGAATCCATGAGTCGTTCCACAAACCCTAATTCCACCCCGGTGCAAAATGAAATCAGTTCGAGTTGTGCAAAAATTGTGCAATTATTTGATTTTATTTTTAAACGTCGAATATAAAAGTATAATTCGTGTAATATTTATAAAAAAAATATTATTTTTACTTTTGGATTTAAAATTTTCATCATATGAGGGGTCTTTGAACGGTACATGGATCCAATAAATGCCCCCAGAGAGTCGACGTGCCGAGGGAGGGGTGCGCCAATTAGTTAATGACTCACCCCGTTCCACCTTTGCCCTTTGTGTCTCCACTTGACACTCACGAACGGGGCTAGGTCCATTTGTTGCGTCCTTTGTCGCCGGCAGCGACCCAGTTCGTGGAGGAAGACACAAAGGAAATCTAATGTAATTGTGTCAGCAGGTGAAGACGCTGACTGATTGCCTTTCGAATCGATAAATCACCCAACAAGCTCTCCAGATGGACGAGGGTGAAATCGAATTGGGTTAATTGATGTCTGAATTCAAACCCGATTAATGAAATACAATATTCATATGATTAAATTATAAAAAATCAACATTAATTAAACTTAAATCACACAAAATATTAATTTTGATACCACAAAATTTTTTTTTTTTAATACTTATTTGCTTAATTAACAGTAGAAAATATTAATTAAAATCAGAATCCTGCAAAGTTAGTACAGTCATGTAGAAAAAATTAACTAAAGAATTAAATTTATGCTATGAAAAAGACGAAAATTGATTGATTTTCTCATAGTATAAATTTTCGTCCCCAAATTTAAATGAAATTCAATAAAATGTAGCAAATTTTAAGTACAATTAGGAGATGCTTCTCATAATATAATGTTATGTTTTAATAAGATTACAATCATTGCTACGCAAGACTTTTTAAACTTATTTCTCTAATAAGTTTTTTTTTAATTTTTCCTATAAAAATTCAAATTTATTGCTCATTAAAATTACTGTTGAAAATTTTTCCTCAGACTTTATTCACCTGATTGTTAATAATTATGAGCAAAATCCATTTTTTTTTATTGTGGAAATTTTTTTAATGTTTGGATAACGAAAGAAAAAAATTTATCTAAAATTGATTAACAAAATATTTGAGCAACAAAAAAAGAATCTATCTTTATGCATAAAATAATTTCATTCACTTTGGCTAAAAATTTCCACAAAATTATAATGGAACTGAAGACATCAATGTGTATTTTGATGGTAAATTTCGTAAATTTGGTGTTCATTTTGTGCCAATCAATTTCAATTAATCAATTATTATTTCCACATTACATTAATATTCTTTATCAGAATATCAGGGATCTCCCCTTTTTCTAATAAAAATATGATATTTTTTTATATGTGTATTAATTTTCTGGAATTTTTAACAAGTTTAATGCGCACATGCACCTTTCAGCACTATTAGACAACAAAATTAATTTTTCAAAAAATTAAAATAATGGGATATAAAATAAGTTACATCGACTTTCTCACGTTTCAAAATTATGATAGTTTCGAAATTTTGAATCTCACCTGCGCTCTTCTTAATTGTTGCAAAACGAAGTCGTCGCAGGCGTATCAGCAAATTTTTCTCCAACAGACCAAATCTGCTGACCTTCTGCACCAAACCATGCACCGATTTGGTCTGCAGAGACCCGGGAGAAGCCAAAATATTGCGAAAATCCGATTGTTGTGTTTGTTTCGGGTCGCGAAAATCACATGTGGCGGTGAGGAGGACACGCCCACCTTCTAGGGACGAGAGAATTTTCAACATCAACAGGCGGTAAAGTCGTGTGCCTTTTTGACAGCAGCGCGCATGTACACGCAAGTGTTGAAATAAAAGACTTAAATTAAAAATTAAGTCATTGTTAAGAATGCGTTTCACTACAAATAGTTCCTCGGTCAAGAATAAAACCTGAAAATGCTAAGGACATTTTTTCCCACATAAATCTATGAAATCAGGCTCAAAATTTGCGAAGTTTAAAAATCAGTAAAATATGTGCAAAAATAATATTGCATGGATACGTCGATTCTTGTGATTTAATAAGTTAAAAACAAAATTCTTGCAAGCAATGGTGCCGATTTTTCCAGAGAGTCCGTTTCTTTCAAAGAATATAATTGATGGTAAAATTTGTTTAAATAATGAACAATTATTATAAAAAGCAGCTCATCTTCTAAAAAGATGCAAATTTCGTTAATGTCATTCTTATTTAGTTTCTTGAGAAATATTAATATAATATTGATTTACTAAAAAAAAAAACCGTTTATTTACTAAGAAAAATACTATAGACACGTAAAAAAACAAAATTTTTCATCCGTTTCAATAATCATGAATATCATGATTCATGATCATTTAAAATTGTTTATTAATTTTTGTAAAAATTTGTCATAACCAATACACCACAAGTATGCAGCACAAAATTTAAATTAAAATTTCAAATCAAATCTTCAATTATGTCAGTGAAACATACAAAACATTATATTATATTATTTTAAAAATACAATTAAAATCGCGTCGTCCGACGAAGGTCAAGCAATTGAACTTTGCGTTATATATATTATTGAGCGTCAGCTCAATCACATTATTGAGAGATAAAAATTGGATTTGTAGACAAGTCTTCAGTCCCTGACCGAGTTGATGACCGGCACCATATCTCGAACAAAGTCAACCAGAACCTGCGCTTTCTCGCGGCCAGTGTCGATGACCTCTTGGTGGTTGACGTTCTTGTCGGCCTCGTAAGTGGTCGGACACTTGTTGGTGATCAACGAGAAGGAGAAAACGCGCAGTCCCAGATAGCGAGCCATCACCACTTCATGGACGGTGCTCATGCCTAAAATTTATTTATTTTGTATTAAATAAAATATTAGAAAAATTAAATAGTTTACTGATTCTCCATTTTATTCTGCATTTTATAAACACTTACAATTTATATTTAAATATTTAATTTTGTAAGTTTGTAAAATTTATAAATTAAAATTAGGGAAATATAAATTCAAATTGATTAAAATATAATTTTGTTTTTGATAAAAAAAAAATGTTTTTAAGAATTAATATTTTCTAATCCAGTGTCACAAAATTGAGTTTTTTTTTTAATTTCATCTGAAGTTTTTATACTAACCGACTGCATCAACTCCTTGCGCTTGTAGCAGTCTGAGCTCAGCTACCGTCTCAAACTGTGGTCCTCCAAGGGCAGTGTAAACTCCCACGTGATCCGGGAGATTTTTCTTCCGCAAAAGGTCACGTGCCTCCTTAATGTATGCTGGGCTGTAGGCGTTGTGCATGGACAAAAACCGTGGCCCCCACCTGCGATAACAATTTTTTTTATATTTAATTTTCCGATTTTTGTTTTTTCATAATTATCTTTAGAGGTTAAATGTATAATTTTACGTACGCTTCGTCATTCGGTCCGACTAGAGGCCCATTGCCAGAGAAGCCCATGAGGTTGATGTGGTCGTGGATGACCATGATGTCACCCACGTTGAATTTCGGGTTGAGGCCCCCGGCGGCGTTTGAGATTATTAGAGAGTGACAGCCCAACAGCTTCAATAGTTTGATTGGCATGCAGCACTGGAAACAGGAAAAAAACAAGGACACATGAGAAAAATATTGAATTTCATATTAAAAACACGGCCCACAGATATAGAGGGGGTCAAGTAAAAAATAAGTTCTGTCAAATAGTTTGCCATTTTGAGAAGTTTTTAATTTCAAGGTATTTTGACTGCCACACTTTGACAAGAATGCTAGAATTTTTGTCTAAACAAAAGTTTTGTAACAATTCTGTAACAATTAAAGTTAAATAAATTACATAAGAGGCGACAAAGTTTTTTTTTTTTTTTAAGTTAAATTAACAATATCTAATTAATTCCAATTTGTTTTAAAACTGAGGAAGATATTTATTTTATCAATTAATAAAAATACAAAATTGTGCAAGGTAATAAACATAATTTTTTAATAAAAGTACGATCAAAAGAAAAATGAGATAAAGTTTATCTCTTTGCAGCTGCATTTAGTTTAAATTAAATCACTTTCCTTGTATTATCTCTACAATTCATCAACTCTTCTCTCATTAAAAAGCTCGTTAACTCGAGACTTCTACGACCTCTGTCACTGTTTTTCATTCAGTGCTGCAACATTTGCATAACTGTGCGTGCTTCTTGTTACACGGCACGCCTCAATGCACAAGTTTTTTAAATTTATTTTCCAACATGACTCTCTTTGATAAAATTATATATATAAAGTGGGCTCACCGTGCCGATGTCGTATCCTTCGTAAAAGTGAAACCTGCCCTGCATGCAGACGACCAGCACCTCGTTAATGTAACCGATGACAAATTGTCCGGCGTGCCCCTGGACGGTCGAACGAGGGAAGCCGGGGATGTCCTTGTACGCAATGGTCACTGCTTCTTTCACAGCCTTTGTCACTTCACCTTTCATAAAAAGAATAAATTAATAGGAATTATTTTTATAGTATAATTTATTGGTGTTTTGCAATTTTGTAAAGCATAAATAACTACCTAAACCAGACCCGCAAATGATTCCAACCGTCGGGCTTGCCTTGAAGTGTCTAATTTTTTCTTCAACGACTGCTGACATTTTCGCCACTTTTTCTTTTGTAAAGCTGGAAATAAATTGAAAAAAAAATTACAGACAAAGACGAATAATTATTAATTAACTACAAAGAAGGGTGAAGAAACATGATGATAAAAAAAAATAATAGAAAAAAGATTACAGGATTTTATCTCATTATCAAAAGTCTTATTTGTCAATATTTGTTTCAGATTTTCCTCATAGAATTAAATAGACGCAAAAAGCAAAAATGCGTCGATAAATTTTAATTTCTCTAACACGCCAAATATATTATTAGTATTATTATTTAATAATTTTTTGTAGTGTGCAAATTATCCCCTATAATATAAACGCATTTTTAAGTTTGCGGATCACACAGTTTTCGAAAAACAAATAAATGGTCTGCGCCAAATGACTTTTCAATCTCTGCGACCTTGGAAAATGAAAAAAAAAATGCTATAGAATGAAAAATTATAATATACACATAAGCGGTGGAGGGGCGACCTCTAAACGGTGACCCGCTGGCAGCAGCGAATCGAGGATGGCGAACGCGGAGGTGTGTCATTCAGCGGATACAGAGCTGCTGCTGGCAGCGGGGAAATATAATTTTTTCTTAGGATCATTTAAATTTTCAAGAAGCACAGTCGCGGTTTGGAAGAAAAAAATGAGCACCCGCCCAGCAACCGGTTTCACGTGACAAAAATTTGCACTAGCGTTGTTTTTGCCCTAAGCGTCACATGAATGCCATTAAAATTGTCCTAATCCAACCGTAGTTTTTATGTGGAAGGTGTTTTTGTGGGTTTTTTTACTGGAACTATAAAAGTAAAACGACGTGAAGAGTTAAGAATGTTCGTTTTTTTAATTTAGGAGAAGCAACAAAAATCGGGAATAAAATTTAGTTAATAAAAATTGAAAAACAGGTTTTGCCACGTTTCATTATTTAAAGGTAAGTTCATTTAAATTGTTTCTAAACATAAAAGCCAAACAGCTACTGCAGCTACTCTGAGGAAAAAAAATCTTTAAAAATCAAAGTTTAATTGCAAAAGCTCAGAATAAAAATTTAAAAAAAAACACCACTGCTTTTTTATAACGTTTTGATGTTTTAAATAAAAAGTGTTCTTTCACTGAGGATCAGCCAGTTTTGTTTCTCCTTATTATTTCATAATCATATTTTTTTTACTCAAAACTTATTTTTCTCAAATTTATAATTGATTTCTGAATAAGAGCAAGTTTGATTATGATATTTCAATCACTGAATGGGTAAAAATAAAATAGAATTTGAATTTTGACATTTGATTTTTTATGTAACACCCTTTCACTGGCTGTGAAATAGAAAATAATTTATCGCCACGTTACGTAATTCATTACATAAGAACGCCGTCAAAAATAATCAAACTTGAATTAAATACAAATAGAGCAGCGGCGCCAATTAGACAAAATTAAAAATAATTGCGCGTCCAGAGAGGAGCGCAGAGAAAGAAAGAAATATGTCATGTTTGTTTTAATCCGTGTAAAGAAAGTTAATCATTCAATCCCTCAACATAGAGAGAAAACCGCGTTCACCGTTACCGTTGTGGAAAATAATGCGTGCGGCTCTCGTTTACGGAAGACGGATCACACGAGAGAAGAGAGAATATAAAAATACACATAATGTCTCTCGGGGCGACGGACAAATAAAAAACAAGAAAATGTAACGTAACAACCAGCAAGTCTGTGATCACCGAGTGTGAAATACACATTCACAAGGAGGAGAGTTTTTAAACCTTTGCTCTTAATTTTAAAGTGTAATTGCTCCCAAAGACCTTGACTTGATCTTTTACTCTGAAAAGTTTATCTCCTCATTAACATTCGCAAGGTTTCGAGCTCAAGAAATTAAAGACATTTTGCCAATTGAAGATTTGAAAACGAATTGTTTGTCGTGGTTTCAGACTTGGGTTAAATTTTATCTCCACCAAACATCCGCTGAAGTCAGTTTATCGCAACATAAATAATGTAATAATAATAAATCACCATCTATAATAAGGCTTGTTAAAATTTGCAATTTTTTTTAAGTCCCTTTGAAATATTGAGTTTTATATTGGAAATTTTGGCCAAATCTTGATAGTTCAATTTTCTTCCTCTAACTTTTTTCTATCAATGTGTTATTTTTTGTCAACAATATGGAGAAATAAACAAATTTCATACAAAAATTTCTTAATTCAAGTGCAATTTTCGATTACAATCAAACTTCTTAAAACAAAAATTAATTTCTTCTTTAAAATCTAGAAATTTCTCTGTTATCTCAAAAAATTTGATCAAACTCACTCATGGTTCCTGGACGGATAGGTTGTGTTGAGAGTGTTTGGGTAGTCCATGACTGGCTGCATGAACATGGTGCTCCTTCTTCCGCTTGTCAGCTTTTAAATGTAATCGAGTCCCTCCACTTGCACCGCTCGCTCGCGCTTCTACTCCTGCTCTCCGGCGAAACCGCGACGTCAGATTTCCGATCGCCAATAATGCCTCTCGACGTCCACCACTCACGCACCACAAGAAGAAAAAAAATATTCCAAGGAAATGTGTTGTATATTTGCTATATTTGCCTTTTCCAAACAACGTCGCGAGCCTCCTCGAGAAAAGCCAATGAAGATGCGAGACTATCGAGCTCAATAATTAGGCGCTTTGCTTACAGATGACGATGGACGTGATGCTGTTATCAGCGGGCCTGATAAAGGGAATTCGTCAAGTAATTTAATATATATGCAACCCGTTTAATAATCACTTGGCACCGACCTTGAGTGGGTTGATAATTATAATTATTTTCACAACGGCCGCCGGATCAATCTTGTTATTTCTTTATTGTTGCACCGCGTGCGAGGTCGCAGGTCACGAGATGCGTTTTCTTTGCTCTCGTTTTCTACACCGATAGCGTGGCGGGCGTCATTGCTGAGGTTAACGCACGTCTTGTGACCACAATATTTACGCGATGATGTATTTTAATTATTCATGTATGCATAAAAAATATCAAAACAACTCATTAATTAAAAAGATAAAATTAAAATCTCCATGTGTAAATTTTTGGTTGATTTTTTTATCTTCTCGTTGACTTTGAATGGTTGACTTACACGTAAATATTTTTGTTCGAACCATTAAGATTTTTTATAAATCCAAATTTAACTTTTATACATACATAATTATATTATAATTTTAAGGAAAACAGAGAAGAGCCTGAAATAAACCACTTTTAATGCGCCGAAACTGCAACTTGACTTTTTATTGGGCAAGGCTCTTTAGTCTTTACATATAAGAAATGGCAAGATAATTATTTAGGGGAAGTGGTATAAGCTTGAAAATTATTAAGCGTAAGGCAAAAACTCATGTACAAAATTAAACGAGTTAATTTAAAGTTGCCGCAATTTCTTGCTTTTGGTCAAGCTGCATTTTTTCAAGAACACCAAAGTATGTTTCAACTACTGAAAAAAATCTTGCAAATAAAAACTTAATTTAATGCCAATTAAAGTTGTTATTAGGAAATAAAAAAAAAACAATGTTTTTTTTTTAAATTTAAAATAATTATCATGAGATATTATAGCCATATTCATGGCTGATTTTTTTAAATTGATCTTATTGTTAAAATACAAAACTTTTACAGTTCAAGATAGTGATATGTGGTGCATTTTTTTTAAATAAAATTTTTGCATTAAAAATTATTATAATTTTAATTGGGAAACACATCAAAAACTTTAAAAGCGTTAATTAACTTCAGTGGTTTTGTACCATTTTTGCAATTTACACGACACTATGCAACTTCACTTAGACTTTTTAAAGAGCAAGACTCTTTGCGCAATAAAAAATGGCAAGATACATAATATCAAGCGGAAGTGGGTGCAAAAAGTCTGATGAAAATTGTGACTCATCAACTCGTCAGATGTAATAAGAAGTTACAGAAGCAATTTATCAATTACAAAAAAATCTATAACCTTTGATGCACTACTTATTACTTGCACCATAATCAATTGAAAGCTGAGACTAACACTTTATTTGACTTTCATCACTTCTTCTTAGAATTTATCGGTCAGTTTTTATTTTGTTTGTTCTCTGCTTTGGTAACGCAGATCGTGCGGTAAAAATATTTTTCATCTTAAGAAAGAGAATTATAAACAGTTATAGTTTTCTTATCTTTTACGTTTTTAAGGAGTGCGATGCAATAAAAGGTACACACAAAAATGCAATGCTGCAAAAATAAAAATATTATTGTGGCCCTTATCAAAAACTCTGTTTATCAAATACAGAAATACATCGAAAAACGGCATTTTTCATGTCGGTCTCTGTTATAGAAAAGGGAGTAACAAATTCAAGGTATCAAATTAAAGGGACACGCAAAACAGACCCTGTATCGAGTTTCAAACATTATGTTCTTCGGGTCTTTGTTGCGGGGCTTCTCTTTCGACGTGACTTCTTGCTCTACACTAAGCCCAGAAGTAAAATATATGCATATTTTTACACCAAAATAAAATGTGTAAAACAATGCAGAGGACGCTGATAAGATAAAAATAGAAACAAAAATATATAAAATATGGTTTAGTTAAAAACTGAAAAAAAAGATCGTGTTTTTTTATTGAAACTGCACACTATTAAACAAAAAAAGACACCTATGAATTTGAGTTCCCAAATTTTTTTTTGCTTTAACTCAAAGTGGTTGGCTTTCATTTTTGCTTGCGTGGCACCCAAACCATTGATAATCTTCTGTTTCAGGTCATATTAAAAATGTACAAAATCTTGCGATTTTTAATCAAAATACTCTTAGCTATAAAGTAGGGTAATTATTATACCTGTAGGACGAAACACGTGGTTCTAGCAATGAATGAACTCTCAAGTTTATAATTAAAGGTGTTGAACTTTATTTTTGTTTCATAGTGTGTCTGGGTGTACTGCACGAGGGCATTTCATTCTCACCTGGCGCTGAATGCATTATTTTTATACCACAAAGTTCTATAACTGAAACACGATAATACCCCTAGAAAGATCAGCAGGCAGTCGGTCTGCTGGCGGCGAGCGGCACATAATAATGCTGGGCATGCCCGTGGAACTTGGAAAAGAAAAGCTCTGCAGAAAAAAGTAATTCATCTCGGCGAGCAGGGGTTGCCGCTTTCATCCACGGGTCGAGTATCAGGTGCCTTCAGGTTTACCATATTCATTCATCGCCTGCGAACAAAGCCGGACGCAGCACACCGTGGCGGCATTTTTCAATAAAACTGAAGAGGAGTGCTGCTTGGGCACAGACCCGCGGTACCTTCCCAACGGATCAGCAGCAACATGTACACCCAGCACCAGAAGAGGCAGAAGACTTATGGAGGAAGGCAGACTCCTGTCACGGACTCGTACGAGTTCTTCCCAGGTGAGCAATTTCGGAGGAAAAAATAATAATTAATTTTGATCGATTTTGATTTTTGCAGGGGTCACCCGGGTTGAGTACCGCCCCGGGGCTAGTGCGGAAGACTCCCTGTGCTTCCGTCACTACAATCCCTCCGAAAGGGTGCATGGACGCACCATGGAGGAGTGGATGCGCCCCGCCGTGTCCTTCTGGCATGCCTTCAGCTACCAGGGGCTTGACCGGTACGGCATGCCCGCCTTCATCCGCCCTTGGGACGAGGCCCCCAACTCCTTGGAGGCCTGCAAGAGGCGTGTCAGGGCGGCCTTTGAATTCTTCTCGAAGCTGGGTGAGAATGAAATTCAATATTTTAACTAAATATGGTGTAAAAAAATAATAAAAAAATCTTATCAGGTGTGAGGTACTGGACCGTCTTTGACCGCGACCTGACCCCCGAGGGGTACAGCATGGAAGAGACCTTCACGCAGCTGGATGAAGTCATCGACCTGGTGCAGGAGTTGCAGCAGCGCACCGGAATCAAGCCCCTCTGGTTCGGCTGCAACCTCTTCTCTCACCCCAGGTAAAAAAAGTATAAATTTGGTCCAACCACCCTCTCTGAGCGAACTAATTAATTCACACAAATTTGGGATATTTATCACTGACAAAAAACGCTCACTTCAGAATACAAATAAATATAGTTTAGTTGATTATTTTCACATACCCACACATGCAACCACAAAGAAACTTTGCAAGGGACGTGCCACTCGTTTTTTCTTTACAGATCATACGGTGAAACCAATGCACAGCAAAGATGGTAAATGCATGCCTCAGTTTTCGACTAGGGCACTGCCCTCGTTAGACCATTTTCACGAAACTGATTTGCAAAAGAGAAGCGTTTCTCTATACTTTCATTTTCACATACATACATTTCATTAACATTTAACATTTTCGCGGTAACAAAAAAAAAAAATAGAACCCATATACATGAAAGAATAAAAAGAAAATTTTCAATAAAATTGTGAGGGCAGCGCCTAAAAAACTGGATGCACACCTTTCAGGTATGCCAACGGCGCCGCTACCAACCCTGATGCTAACGTCGCCGCCTACGCCGCGGCCCAGTGCAAGAAGGCCTTCGACATCGCCATGAAATTGGGCGCCGAGAACTTCCTCCTGTGGGGCGCCAGGGAGGGCTACCACAACCCCATGGTGGCCGACCTGCCCAGGGAGATGAGGAACTATGCCAAGTTCCTCAAGATCGTCTCGGGTTTGTCTGCAATTTAAAAGGGTGCGAGTCCTCGACCAATTGTTCGTTTCACTGTCCGCAGACTACAAGGACAAACACGGCTTCCGGGGCAACCTGCTGATCCGCCCTGGACCCCACAGGGAAAGCCGATTTTACAACTCGGAACACCGCTACGAGAGCGAGGACTGCGACACCTTTGGCAGGTACGACTACGACGCCATGAGCACCCTCTGCCTCCTCAAGCACCACGGACTAGAGCGCCAGTATAAGCTGCACGTCTACCCCGGCAGAGACCACCTCTTCGCCTCCGCGTGAGTACCCTGAGAATGCTTTGGTCGCGACCTTCTGATGACCTTGTCTTGTTCTCCAGCATGGGTTACCTGGGTTGCATCGAGTACGAGTCGTACCACGAGGAGTACTTTGGCGATTTCCGCTACAACGGAGAGACCACGGTCATGATGAAGAACTTCATCGACCAGGTGAGGAGGAGACGCTCCTGAGCGACCTGAAGAGATTGACCTGACAATTCTTTCTTCCAGGGTGGCATCCAGCCTGGCGGCGTGTCGCTGGCTCTGCGTCCGAGACGCGAGTCGCACGACTTCAGGGACCTCTTCCTGATGTACGTGCAGAGCCTGGACAGCCTGGCCAAGGGCCTGAAGACGGCCGTCCGCCTGACCAGCGAGGGCCACTTCAGTCGGCACTTGCAGGTAACCAGTCAGTATGTCATTTCGAATTGAGTTTTAATTAAAGCTTTCGCCGATAACGCACCCTTGCAGCAGCGATATTCTGGCTACCAGTCCGGAATTGGGGCTCGACTAGCCAGTGGGGAGGCGAGTCTGGAGGAGTGCGACGAGTTCGTCAAACGCCACGGGGAGCCCAACCCTCCGTCGGCCCGCCTCGAGCACTGGAACTCGGTTTTCCGCTACTACAACGAGCACTAAGACGCGGCATCAAGCAATTTTGTTTTTTGGTTTCGGAAAATTGTATTTGAACATGTCGTAGCAAAAAATTTGTTTAGCGCTTGTTGCAGATGCAAAATAAACGTTGATGGGGTTCAATATAATCTAACACGCCATTGTTTTCATTCAATTATCTACTGCACAGCATTTTAATCTTTTTGTTCAGCCACAAAAGATAGCGTATATATAGCACTTCAGATCGATTAGTTTGATAAAAATACAGCAACTCTTGAGTGCGTTCACGATGTACAAAATAGTGACACAATTCACGATTTGATAATAAAAATAAGGAAAATAAGAAAGCACTACTTCAGCCGACTGACGTGAGAAAACAACGTTAAGTGCAATGTTGCAAATGTTTATTGCTGCAGAGATTAGGAAATTATTTTTGTCTGTGTTATCTTATATTGCTAGAAAAAATCTCTAACTTGTGTGCGTCTTTTCTCACACTTTTATCAATTTAATGAAATTTTCAGGTAGCAAAATAGTTAGTTTGAATAATAAGCAGGCAAGATTTTTCAGCAAAAACTCAAAAGAGCTTAAATTAATATGGTAACGCTAGACAAATAAAAAATTGCACTGCAATCAACTAATTGCTAGTCATATTCTACAAAACTTGTAAATCAACAACCAGTTATGTAGTTAAGTAAATTAAATAAGGTATAATAACAGTAAAATTGCACTCAAGAGTTGCTATGGCTAGGTAAAGAGGAACCGAATTCACAAGAAAATTTGTAAAAAAAAGTGACGTAACCTGAAAGCAGTGAGACTAGGCTAACAGCATTGCACTACTCCAACTCCAGAGAAGGCTCCGTGCCGAAGTATCTGTCACCAAAATTGCCAATACCAGGCAGCACGTAGAACTTCTCGTTGATCTCTGGGTCAACGGCTGAGGTGACGATTTTCACTTGAGGAAAAGCGTACGCAATCGAATGGATTCCTACAAAAATAAATTTGAAAAACCTAGAATCTTTGATCTAATGGCGCATTACCAATTTCGGCCATCAACAGAGACACAATCATGATGTTCTCCTCCTTGACCTCGTGGTCCAGGAGCACTCGAATGGCCATCATAGCCGCAGCGCCAGTAGCAACCGTGGCGTCCATCAAAATCACCCGGTAGTCTTTAATATCTTTGGGCAAGCGAAGATAAAACAGCTAAAAAGAAAAGAAAAATACAAAATTATTTATTAGTCTAACATCTAAAAAAATATTTAATTTTGGAAAATTTTAGATGGAAAAATAATTAAATTAAAAAGAAAACATTTTTTCTCTAAATTTACCTCAGGCTCTCCAGTATCAAAATTTGTCTGGATGAGAATTTTTCCAATGCGAATGTCTTTGCAGACATCGCAGACAGCCTGCTCCATGGTCTCGCCAGCTCGCAAAATAGACACTCCACAAATTTTCGTGCTGGACAATCGTTTCCCAGAGTAGTTCATGCCTTGAGGAGTTTCGACAGTCACTTGCTAACATATATTTTGAGATTAATTGCATTTTCATTTAGAGTTTTGTATTACCTTAAAGGGCAGCAGAGACAGGGCATATTCAATGGTCAATCGGATCAGTCGCTTTGAGTAGAAAATGAACTCGTCCCTGGGAGTTTCCTTATTCCTGATGAAGGTGTGCAGACCTTTCACTTGAGGCGTTGAAGGAAGAGTGAACATGTTGCTGGGCAATGGCTGTCCACAGTACGAGTGAGCCAGTTGTTCCCTGAGCTTGAATCCTCTCTAAAAATATTTGAAACAATAATTGATGTTACATGATCAGATTCCTGTTGAAGAGCAAACCAGTTGCAGTTGGGTGTGGACGTGTTGGACAACAAGGCTGATAGCGACTGTGTTTTCCCCGCCTCGAGGTATGATGATGTCGGCGTGGACCATGGACGGAAGAATGTAGTGGTCAAAAGCAGGTTTGACGAACTTCTGGTACTGCTTCAGAACACCCTCCAAGTCTCGACCCCTGATCGAAATGTCTCTTTTAAGGCGACGAGCCAGGCGGATGTCAGAATCGGTATCCACAAAGATTTTCATATCCAGCATCTGTAAATTTGTACATTTGACGTAATGATTTAAAATACATTAAAAATTAATTAGGAAAATTATTCAACCTGTAAAACTTTCAAGTTGTAGAAAGTCAAAATGCCTTCGAAGATGATAACGTTGGCTCCGTACATGGTTTTCTATAATAATATGGATTTTTTTAGAAAATGTTTTAATTTAAATATTTTTTTTTTTACAGTTCTAGCTTCTCTTGAATGTGTGACAAAATTGTAAACAGGCACTTCGACTTTCTTGCACTCTTTTAGTTTCTGCAGCACTTCGGCCAGCAGTTCAAAATCAAAGGCATCGGGGTGGTCAAAATTGTACTCATTGTTTTCCGCTAGCTCATGCTGCTTGTGGCTCAGCACCTGAATTATTGAAAATATAAAATATTACAAAAATAAAATAAACCTGATGTTTTACTTTGTAAAAAGAGTCCATGCTTAGAAGGGTAACCCATGGCACATCAAGGCTCTCAATAATTTTGGCTGCTACTGTGGTTTTCCCGGAAGCACTTCCACCACAAATTCCTAAATTTTATTTTCAAAATTAAATAAAATATGTATCTGTAATTTGAAAAGGGTAATAAAACGTACCGATAACAAAAGGTTCAACTTGTTGTCCAGCACAATTGTACCATGGAGGGCGTCCAGCGGTGTATATGGTCCTAGTATGGCTCCGAAGAATCGATTCGGTCGACGTTTTGTTGGACGTCGTCTGGCTGTGTGACACCGTCCTTTGCCGTCGAGCCCTCGGCGACTTGAGCAAGGCTGCAACGCCATCGACATCGTTAACTGCGTCAATCAGGTTGTCCGCTATTGGAATGTCAGGACACTCACCTTGTTGTGAGCCCTCTAGCGGCAGACAAATAAATTACTTTAGTCTTGATTTTCCTGCAAGAACACGAGTTGTTTCACTTCAGAAGTCCGAGAGATTTTAGTGAAAAAGTCAGGGTAGAAACCCTCAGGGCCATTAAGTTAGGGCCAGAAGTCTTCGAGACTAAGTAAGAAACATTCAGGGCTGAACTACAGCAAAGTGGCGACGAGTCTAAGGGAGAAATAGCAAGAAAACTGAACCTCGTGTGGCCGCCATCATCGTTAGAGAGAATTCGCGTGTGTGGAAGCAGGATTTAATCGTTGAAAATCAAGAAAGCAAGCGGTCATCCGGGTTTTCCCAGGGTATTTATTGAATCCAACATGAGTGATAAAGCGAAAGTAATTGGTTCATTTGACCCCAAAGGGGTTCTGTCATTCAGCCAGTACCTGAGCAGGTGGAAGTTCCATTTCGCTGTGAAGAAGGTGACAGAGGACGCAGACAAGAAGAACATGTTCGTTGATCATCAAAGTGAAGAAGCGTTTGAGGTCTTCTGCAAGGTGAGTGACCCTGAAGGGATTGAGGCCATCACCTTTGCGAAGCTGACTGAGAGGTTGGCAGTTTATTATAGACAAACAGAGCCGCAGACTATTGTCTATAAAAATGAGTTTAACCAGAGAGTCCAAGGACCTGATGAATCAGCTGCAGTATACCTAGCTGAGCTGACTAGTTTGGCCAAGAAATGCAAATTCTCAAAAACGGATGAGTTGCTAGTGCCCAAGATCATTTCAGGGTTGCGAGACCTGCGGCTGAAGCAAACGCTGCTGGCTGAAGAGGATGCAAAGTTGACTCTAGATTTTGTAAAGACAAAGGTCCTCGCACATGAACGAGCTGAACTGACCGCAAAGGCTCTTGGGCTGAGTAGCTCGCAGGGTACAGTGAACAAAATTGGCCAAGAAAAAAAGTCCCAGTGGAAAAAAGGTCAAGGTCAGCAAGGTAGTGACCAAAAGCAGCATGGACAGGTCACCTGTTTCGCCTGTGGTAAAGACGGGCACAAATTCTTCAAATGCAAGGTCAGAGACAAATTAACCTGCAAGAAGTGCAAGAAAAAAGGGCACGTTGAGCAAGTGTGCAGAAGTTCTACTCAGAAGGCAGCGCACCATCTGGAGGACCAAGAAGAGGGAGAAGATGAGGCCAGTGGAAGCGATGGCCAAGAACAATTGCAGGCAGTGACAAATTACCTGCTAAGAGTGGAGTCCACAAGCAAGCCACCAGTTTCAGCAGACCAGAAGCTGATGTTGGAAATTCTGCTGAATGGCAAGCCCTTGATGTTGGAAGTGGACACTGGTGCGACATTTTCGCTCATTGGACTCTCCACTTATGATAAATATTTCCCAGACAGAAAAGCGTTGCTTCCAAGCAATGTGCGGATGAAGGCGTGGGGTCAGCAAGGGGAAATTAGGGCAGCAGGAAAAGTTCAGGTGAAAGTGACTCCAAAAGGTGGCAAGCCGGTGAACCTTGAACTGTTGGTCATGGAGCAGAGTGGACCTTCGTTGCTTGGGAGGAACTGGTTCAAGCAGCTAGGAATTGCAGTGGAGTTGCCCATTATTCTGAAGACAGTGGACCTGAAAAAGGAGCCACCTGACCCTGAAAGACTGCCGGAGATCTTCAAGATGACACAAGTGCCGCCAGAATTTGAAGATCTCAAAGAAGTTTTTGAACCGGTGCTGGGAAAATGGAAGGGAGAACCGGTTCACATTCCGCTCAAGAAAGGAGCTACACCGGTGCGGCACTCCGCCAGACGTGTGCCGTTCGGACTGCAGGAGAAAGCGAGTGCTGCAATTGATGAGTTAGAAAGAAGAAAAGTCATCGAAAAAGTGATGTTCAGCGAGTGGGCTACACCGGTAGTGTATGTGGAGAAGGGGGAGGGAGTGCGCCTGTGTGCTGATTACAGCGCCACCGTCAACCCTTTGTGCTCAGCAGCTGATTTTCCGCTACCCACTATTGACAAACTGCTCGCCGAGGTCAAGCCGGGGTGCTTCTTCACCAAAATTGACCTGGCAGACGCATACTTGCAGTTCCCTGTGGATGAAGCGTCATCGGAGGTGCTCGCAATTGCTACTCACAAAGGTACTTACAGATTTTTGAGATTGCCCCCAGGGCTCTCCGTGTGTCCCCCCATTTTTCAAAAGAAGATTTCGGGATTAGTTTGCAAAATCTCCGGAGTGATTGTGTATTTTGATGACCTCCTGATTTTTGCATTTACCAGAGCACAACTGATTCAGAAAACAAGAGCAGTCCTGAAAATTTTTATAGAAAATGGGCTGAAAGTGAAACTGACCAAGTGCTCATTTTGCGTTCCAGAGTTGGAGTACTTGGGATATTCCTTCACTCAAGAGGGGATCCAGCCCAAGAAGGACAAGCTGGAGGCGCTGGAGAAAATGCCACCACCACAAAGTATTGAAGACCTTCGAGCCTTGCTAGGGTATTTCAACTACTACGACAGATTTGTTCCAAACAAAGCTCAAATTCTTTTTCCGGTCTACAGGTTGTTGAAGAAGGGCGTTCCATTTGATTGGACCCCTGAGTGCCAGCAGTCTATGGACAAGATGACTAAGTTGCTGGTCAACTCATTCAGCTTGGCGTACTTCGACCCAAAGAAAAGAATTCGGTTGGCCTGCGACGCCAGCAGGAAGGGGCTGGGCGCCGTACTGAGCCAGCTGGAGGACAGAATGGTAGAGGTACCAGTTATGTTTGTGTCACGAGCACTGAAGAAAAGTGAATTAAATTATTCGCAGGTTGAGCTGGAAGCACTTGCGATTGTCTGGGCCGTGAAAAAGCTGAAGAATTACTTGTGGGGACAACAATTTGAAATTTTGACGGATCACAAGCCGCTGCTGGGGATTTTTGGCAAAGGAAAGTTAATGTCTGATGACCTCTCCAGCAAGCTGAAAAGGTATTGCTTGTTCCTGAGAGAATATAATTTTGAGCTGAAGTTTTGCCCTGGAAAAGAAAACTGCAATGCTGATTGTCTGTCTAGGCTGCCACTGCCCGTCCTTGAAGATGAAGAGGAGGAAGAGGAGGCTCGAGTAGCTTTCTTGCAGGCTATCGAGTTGCCGCAGAGCCACATTTCGCTGCAAGAGTTGCGAGAGTTCACTGAGAAGGACGAGCAGCTCAGACGTATTCAACAGAAAATCCTTCAAGGTACACATCCTGATAATTTAACAAGTGAAGATGGAGAATTTGGAAAAAGGTGGAGAGATTTGAAATCCACTAATGGTGTGATTACCTTTGTAGGAAGGGCAGTGATTCCCCGAGACTTGAGGAGCAAAGTCTTGGGACTTCTACATTTGAATCATTTTGGCCAGACGAGAATGAAGACTTTGGCCAGGACGTACTTTTGGTGGCCAAACATGGACGAGGAAATCGAGCAGGTTACGCTCTCGTGCATGCCTTGCGCCATCACCAACAGAGCGCCATCGAAGGCGCCCATCATTCCGTGGTCGGTGCCCCATCGTCCATGGAGCAGAGTGCATCTGGACTTCTTCGAAGTGGTGCATGGCAAAAGCTACATTGTTGCAGCTGATGGACTCTCCAACTGGATTGATGCCGAGAGAACGAACAACTTGGAGACTGAGACGGCTATCAAGTACTGCAGAAAGCTTTTCCGAGTGCAGGGCTTATGTGACATTTTGGTGTGTGACAATGGGCCTGCATTCCGAGCTGAAAAGTTTAAGAAGTTCTGTGAAATGAATGGAATTGAACTAATTTACTCTCCTCCGTACAGCCCCCAAACTAACGGACTTGCAGAGAAGACTGTGCAGACTGTGAAATATTTCTTGAAGAAAGTGCCTGAGAAAGAGTGGGAGCTAAGACTGGACAGTTTTCTGTTGGGACACAATTCAACTCCAAGTTCTGCACTGGGAGGAGTGTCACCTGCAGAGTTCAACCTGGGTCGACGACCGCACACCCTTCTGGACAAGACTCGTCCAGCGTCGGCTGTCGTAAACCAAAAGGCAGCTCGGGACAAGAAAGTGGCAGCTGCCGTGGCAGAAAAGCCTTTGAAGTTGGTGCCAGATGACCAGCCAGTGGTCCTCCGGAGCTACCGAAACCCTAAAGTGAAATGGGAAGCCGGAGCCGTGGTGACCCAGCTGGGTCCTCGACGAGTGCTGGTGGAGACAGAGGCAGGCTTGACTGAGCGACACACTGACCAGATCAAGAAAATCATCAGACCTGCCGAGACACCGCCAGAGCCACCTCAAGTGGTCCAAGAAGTGCCCAGAGTCCGCCCCGACGTGGCCCCTGATCCTGTCCTTGATTCGGAGCAGAAGGATGGACCGAATCAGGGCCCCCTGGGAAGTGGATTGGCGAAGAGCGAACCACCAGACAAATCACCAATGTCGGTGCCGAGTCCCACTCGAGTCCAACCAACTCCACCTAGGCGCTCTCAAAGAGCTGCCGGATTGCCTGCTAAATTCAAAGATTTCATTGTGACCAAGAAATAATTCAGTTAAGTGAAGTGAGAAATTAAATTTAATTTTGTAAAGCAAGAAACACATCAAGAAAATAATACTGTACAATTTCCTGTTCGAACTTCTAAAATTCGTCAATAACTTTTCAAGTAATTGAATTAAATTGATTTCCAATTTTTATTTCCATTCTCATTTGCATATTTGTTCAAATCTCAGGAGGGAGGTGTTGTGAGCCCTCTAGCGGCAGACAAATAAATTACTTTAGTCTTGATTTTCCTGCAAGAACACGAGTTGTTTCACTTCAGAAGTCCGAGAGATTTTAGTGAAAAAGTCAGGGTAGAAACCCTCAGGGCCATTAAGTTAGGGCCAGAAGTCTTCGAGACTAAGTAAGAAACATTCAGGGCTGAACTACAGCACACCTGTTGGCGTAGGAGGAGGTGGAGACGCTGAAGACTCATTCTCCTGGACGCGTGGAGGAGTCAGACGGTCGCCGTCCGGCCCAATGTTATGGTTTGAGTTGGACGCCTCGTCGCAACCATCGTAGGAGTCATCACTGTAATATAATAACAGCAGATTCTATACAATCAGGCGTATTTTATCAATTAATAAGCATCTCGGTCAAGAGTGCCAAAGGTTAACTTCTGACTAAACACATTAGTAGGGGCACTGACCTGTCCGAACTCGCAGAACTCGGAGGGTCAGGGAACCGTGCTGCCATGGCACCTGGGAGCAAAGTTTTGAATAAATTTGAGATTGGCGCCACTTTTGGTTGTTATGGCTACAATGAAAATTTATCCTCTAAGCGCGGGAAAACTGATAAATTGTGAAAGTTTTGAATTGTTTTAAAATCTGGCAAATTCTTTCATCTTCTTCACTGGTTTATTGCTAAATTGAAGATGGTTAGAGGTACTTCAGCATCTTATATTACTAAAAACTCGTCAATTACCTGTTCCTCTGTTTAAAATTCAGTTACAGAGGATCTGATTCGGTCCCGGGCTGAGCACAATGAAGGAATTCTCAGCACTTTGGAGGAACTGTCGATGCATTTGCAGCACATAGAAAAATTGGAGCTGTTTGACAAACTCTGTAGAAATCTGAAGATCCTCATGCTTCAGAATAATATCGTTTCAAAAATAGGTAAATAATTTAATTTTCTTTTTTATTATTAATTTTTCAAGTTGATATTGAATAAACTCTTGCATTTTCTAATTTTTTTTATGCTCTAGAAAACATGGGAAATTTAAAAAAACTGGAATACCTGAACATGAGCTTAAACAACCTAGAAGTTATCGAAGGCTTGGAAGGTTGTGAATCTTTGGAAAAGGTGGATTTGACGTTGAACTTTATTGGTGACTTACTGAGCATAAAATCACTTCAAGGAAATTACATGCTAAGAGAATTGTAAAAAAAATTTCAAACAAAATTATCATATTATATGTTTTATATTTTAACAGGTCCCTGCAAGGAAACCCATGCAGCAAGTACGAGGGATACAGATATTTTGTGATACACACTTTGCCTCAATTGAAAACTTTGGACGGAAAGCCTGTCCTTCAAACCGAAAAGATCAAAGCCCGGCAGGAAATGGAAAACAACAACCTTGAAGTTGAAATTTCCAAACAGCAAATTGAATTTCTTAAGGAATGGGAGAAGCGTGAAAAGATGAAGACGCTTGATGAGTACTTAGCAGAGGCTGATGAGGAAGACGAAGAAGACGTTTTTAAAAGGCAAGAATAATTCAATAACACAACATCGAAATTTATAACTATCAATTTTAAGGCTTTGGTCTGAGAAGGGAAGCAACACGCCTGAATTGAGAGTCCTAATGTCAGAACTCAGTTTAAGACAGGAGAGGAAAGAGGAGAAGCCGAAACCCAAAAAGAAAGAGCAGAATTTATTCAACAGCGCGGGGAAGCCATTAAACATCAACAACTCGAATCTAAAATTCAAGCTCACCGAAGACTTGGCCAGCAGCTGCTTGGTCTTGACAATTTTCTTGCCAAAAAGCTTTGACAGCTCCGACATGGAGGCTGATGTTCAGCCATGGTATATTCGGGTGCAAAACAAAAAAGGGCTGATTTTCCAGCTGACTCTGTTGCACGAAGTTTGCCCCGATAAAGCCAAAGCAGAACGATCAATGGCCACAGGAAAACTGGTCATCACAGCGCCAATGGTAAGCAAGTTTTTTTGAAAAATATATCAATTTGATTCTAAAATAATTAATTATAGGTTTCAGAATTGCTAACTAGTTACAAAGTTGATGATTTCCAGAGGTTCAAGAATTTGGAGATGAGGTATGTGTAATTAATAGAATAGAATAATTGTTAGATTTTTAAAATTTATGATTTAAGCAAGAAAAACAGTATCAAGAGTGTGGCAAAACTTGAAGCTAATGATGTCCCTCCAGAGAGCAATTTTGATTTATCAGAGGTGCCTGATTTGGAGGAAGTGCAGTAAAATTTACAGCATTCGAAATTTAGATTTTGTCCAGTTAGCGAATTTATTTTCGTAAGCAAATGATATAATAATATTAAATGATCAATCAATAGTAATGGTTTTGACTTGTGCACACACAATGAGTCAGTCTGTGGTACCTCAACAACACCTGTTGGTCGAGCTGCGCTCGTTGGCCCTTTTGTCCACGGCCACTCGATCGGTGGGTTCTTGCAGGTCTCGGCCAGCCGTCTTGTCAAGAATCGCTGAAGCCAACTCATGGAAGGCTTGCTCAATGTTGATATTCGCCTTGGCCGACGTTTCCATAAATCTCACACCATGCTCTCGGGCAATCTACGATAATTAATAAAAATTGTTTAACAAATTAAAAAAATGGAGGAAATTTAAGTTACTTACTGCTTCTCCTCGCTCCTTGGCGACCTGTCTCTTGTCCTCCATGTCACATTTGTTGCCGAGGATCATCTTCTCAACGTCCTCATTTGCATGTTCGTCAATGTTGCGCAGCCACTTGACAATGTTGTCAAAACTCTTCTCATTGGCCACGTCGTAGACTAGCATAATGCCCATGGCACCTCGGTAGTACGAGGTGGTGATTGTGTGGAAGCGTTCTTGGCCTGCAGTGTCCCAAATCTGCAGCTTGATTTTCTTGCCCCTCAACTCGACGGTCTTGATTTTGAAATCAATTCCTGGGAACAAAATAAATTGCAACCATTAAAATTAATTGCATTATTGTTTTCACGCTCTAGTTTGCAATTATTACATCAGAATAAAAGGAACTATAAAACTTAAAAGTTATTGTTCGATTCCATTCATAAGTAACATCAAATCCTCTGTCTGATTCTCCAGTAAATAAGGAAATCAATAAATAAATGGGAAGGGAATATTTATAAGAAGTCATCCTCTGATGATAAATCATAAACCCACACACAAAATCTTGAGCAACTATGAGTCTGATTCACCGACACGCCTTCGAGCAAAGATTTTTGAAGTTAAAAATTGACATAGATTCTTACCAATGGTGGAAATAAAGGTGGTTGTGAAGGCATCGTCCGAAAATCGGAATAGGATGCATGTCTTGCCGACTCCAGAGTCGCCGATCAGGAGCAATTTGAACAGAAGGTCGTACGTCTTCTTGGCCATTCTGCAAAGACACTACTCTGGTCAAGGCCACCACACTTATCGAGCTGAATTATGCAGCCGTGATGGCTGCAGGTGGCGTTTCGTACCTTGATTGGTGTCCTTAAACTTCTCAAAGACCGAGTTACGCGTCAATCCAGGTCATAGCTGTCGAAAATGCGGCTAAATTTGGCAAATTTTGGTTTTTCCTCAGCGCACAACAAACCAACACCCTCCTGCACCTTCGCATGTAATAAACAGGCTGGCCAACGAATTTTGAGTTAACGTGAGCAGAAATCCATGACGTGACATCGCAAATTTTCTGTCCTCTAAGAAAAACTTTTAACTTATTTAATTAACTTGATTATTTTTAGTAAATTGAAATTACTACCACCTGTTAATCCAATTTTAATTTGACCTATTGCAAAATGTTATATAAAACTTATTTTTTTGCTCTGTTGGCAATTATGGAATGATGTCACCGGCCTCACGCAACCAATCATCGTCGAGAACCAAGTTACGTTGTTGCTTCGTTTTGTCTGGAAAAGTCATCTGACCGTCCATTTCGCTTTGCGCACGCCGAATTTCGTCGCATTTCCCGATCGGAAAAGCTGCTGAACGCACGCAGAATTTTCCAAGCGTTGACTTTTCCTGCTCCCGTCAACATTTGAGAAAGGTAGGCGGCATGTTTCCTCTTTTGAATGTGCTTCATTCGGTGAAATAAACATATTGACACGTTGGGATGGGAATTTTAATCCAATTTTCAATGCGTTTCCCTCAATTTTCGTTCTGTCCTACACGATTGCCACTATCGGGGTTTATGATCCTTTGCCTCGCGCAATTGATGAGTGCATGTTATTTAAATTAAAGCTCAGTCTCGTCTTTTGTGCATAAATTCAAGTTGGCTTTCTGCTTCGGTTGTAGGGTCATGAGTTGGCAGCAACCGCCTGGACAACAACCACCTCCCACAGGATTCTACCCTGGACAGCAAGGTCGTTATGCACACTATTTGTCTTAAAATTTGGTGCTTTGCATGTTTCTCCTTTGTAGTTCCATGATAATTTTCCTGCAAAAATTGGTTCTTCCCTATCAATTGTACAAAACAACAGAAGACTTTTTGTGATCCGAAACGCCCGTGTCTAGAATATTCGTCTTTAAATTCTATTGTGAAACCTGATAAGTTTCCTTTCTCCTTAGAGGGCAAGTGGTCTTAAATAACCAAATTCTGTCTTTTATTTTTGGGAGTAATTTTTTTTGTTTATTCTTTTTTTTTGTATATTTATTTGGATCAAGCCGGCAAAGTTGTTTATTTTAAAGGGCCTTTTTAAATAAATAATATAGAAGAGCTATAATAAACGTCTAGATAAAAAAAATTAATTGTTTTCGTAATTTAATTAAATTTTTTTCTCATTATATGAAAAGTCCTAGACATCGCATTATTTTATTGAACGAAATCTGCTGTCATTCATTGAATCAATAAATTCGATTGCATGAATAATTTACAAAACTTGACGATTTTATGGTTAACGGAACAAACGTCAGCCCTTGCACGTGGTAAACTTGTTGAAATTAGATAAGATGAGGAAAGTTCATGTTTGAAAAATTATCACTTCTTCTGTGCCACCTCCCCACCTATTTTTTTTTATAAATGTTAATGTCATGTTGACGTCATGTATTTATTTTATAAATGACTAATTATATTCATACTCTCAGTTGCTAACTAAATCAGTGAAATCTAGTTAATATTTTGAAATGAAATTTGGCTTTTTCACGATGCAATAAATTCTAAGAAACTGCACAATATTATTTGACTATAAAAATAACCGTTCGAATCGAATAGAAATTCAGCTTAGCCTCGGCGAGTTATTATTGGTCGTTCAGCAGATAAAGTATGTCTGAATGCAATATCCCTCTCCGGCAGGATATTACTTTTCCTATGGAACGATAAGCGACTAAAAAAAACACTTCGGAAAAATGAAATTTCAATTCAACCCTCAATCATGAAATTTTTCTTAAAATCCATCGTAAATGCAAATATTTCACCGTTATTCTGTACCTCGAAATAATTTTAAAAATTTGTTTCAATTTTAGGTCCTCAGCCTGGTTTCTTTCCCGGCCAGAGCTATCCATCTCAGGGCGGAGGTTACCCACCACAGGGAGGCTACCCACCACCAGGAGGCTACGTACCGCAAGGGGGTTATCCACCTCAAGCGGGAGGATATCCAGGAGGGTTCCCTCCTCAACCAGGATTTCCAGGAGCACCAGGAGTAAGGTTTAAAGATGATTTAAAATTCAAATAATTTCGTGTTTCTTATTAGGGCGCCCCCTTTGCTCAACGCCCCGAGATGTACGGAGGAATGCATAACGATGCCGAAGACCCGCTTTCTGGGGGTGGTGGATTTGAGTTCACCGACAAATCCATCCGGCGAGGCTTCATTCGAAAGGTGTACAGCATCTTGATGCTTCAATTGCTGGTCACCTTTGCTTTCATCTCCGTCTTTGTGTTCCACACTGGCACAAAGCAATTTGCCCAACAAAACAGATGGGTCGCCTACGTTGCCATGGGTGTGACCTTCGTCACCATGCTTGCTATCGCCTGCTGTGGAGAGGTATTTTCTTCTAATTTTAAAAGCAATTTAAAAAAAAAATGCACATTTCAGTAATTATTATTGTAAAATTCTAAAATAAATTTGATTTTAATTGTTCCAATTTACTTTCAGGTGCGCCGCAAGGCTCCCATGAACTTCATCCTGCTTGGCATCTTCACCCTAGCCGAGTCCTTCCTTCTGGGAGTGATCACCTCCTTCCATCAGGGAGAAGCTGTCTTCATGGCTGTTGGAATCACTGCTGTCGTCTGCTTGGCTCTCACTCTTTTCGCTTTCCAAACCAAGGTGGACTTCACCATGATGGGTGGTGTCCTCCTCGTAGCCGCCGTCATCCTCCTGGTGTTTGGCATCGTTGCCATGTTCTTCCCAGGGAAGACCATCACCCTGGTGTACGCGTCGCTCGGAGCCCTCCTCTTCTCCATCTACCTGATCTACGACACTCAGATGATGATGGGAGGAAACCACAAGTACTCCATCTCCCCTGAGGAGTACATCTTTGCTGCTCTCAACCTGTACATGGATATTGTCAACATCTTCATCTATATCCTGACCATTATCGGCGCTTCGTCCAAGGATTAGTTAGCACCATGTCATGGAGATTTGCGTTTTTATCACTTGCTTTGGCCCTTACAATTAGAGCTAGAATCCAAACAAGCTGATGCTCCGATCTTCACAAGTACCAAAGCTTGCTTTAAAAATTCATGGTTTTCTTGTGGATTATATAATTTGACTGAACTGTTAATTTTACAATCATTGAAAACTGAGTGTGCCACCAACACTTTGAGTGCTCATTAATTTAAAAGTGGCAAAGCCTACAATTCAACGTTCATTTTTTGTTAGTACGAGTGAATTAATTTGATTTTAGGTTGCCTTAGTGATTTAAAAATTTCTTGACAATGCTATGCTATTTGTCGTTAATTGTTGTGAAAGAAATAATATGAACACTTTTAAATCCTCTCATGTTAACTAAAATATTCTGACATCTACTATACCTACTCTAATATGAATACGCTGGGATCGAGTCCCATTGCAATAAGGCTGACATGCTTCTCTAACCTTTGTTGCACTTTGTTTTAGTTAATAGTGTTCATGTGCAAGCTTGTGTGCATTATTCAATATTACTGAATAATTCCACATTGTGAAGTATTAAACACGTATGCAGAAATGGAACTGGCTTAAAGTTTGCAAGCCTTTCACTGTGCATAATGAGCACTTAGCATACTTAAATGCAATCATATAATCTAAAAAAATATTGTATTTAATGATCTGTACCCTATTACAAAGGAATCTGGGAAATTTGGACCAAAATGGCAATATACGATTTACCTTACGGTGGTGACATTGTCTCAGCTAATACTACAATAGTGTCTAGATTACGTGGAGTCTGATAAAGGCATACTTGTTAATCCTATCATTTTACATTACATATTTGCTACTTGATTGTAAATTGGTCCAGATGTCCTTGATCCAATATTTCATCGAAAGGTAAAACAATGGCTTTTTTAATTTAAGATTATTATGTCATGTGGGCTTATTCCTCCTTGGACTCTCTAAATTTTCACTGTTTAATTAGAAGAATGAAATGTATTTTCCTCTTATTAGTGTTGCCAAATAAAGTGGACAAACACAAACTTATGAATTTCAATACTTGAAAATTTTTAGCCTATATATTGGTTTAATGATAATTGAAAATTTCCAGTAGAAATACATTGACTCTTTTTATTTGATATTCAAGACAAATGCAACTGAGAATGTGCGTAAAAGTAAATTCAATCAAATTTAAATAATTAAATCGAGTACCCATTTTTGTACTATGGTATTAAATGATTCATAACATTGAAACGGTGTTCCTGTAGAACTTGCTATTAATATTGCAGCTCATGATTTACTTGTTCAGTCAGATCCTTTCCGTTAACACATTTTTTTACTATTTAAAAAAGTACAAAGCTTTACCCAAAACTTGACAAATAAGAGAGCATCATGTTACACATTCACAACATAATCTATATAATTGTAAGGGGAAAAAAGCAAATCTGTTTCTCCTTCGACGCATATGTGGTGGTATCACACAAAAAATATTTGTTCACAGAGGAATATAATTTTAAATCTCTCTTGGCAAATGATAATTGTAAGGATTTCAAGAAGCTTAAATACTAAATAAACTGACGAAAGGCTAACCAATGATCGATGGTCTATCAAAGGACATCTCTATGTCTATGAATGATGAGTAGAACACACAGATACAGTTATACAGCTTAACATTATATAGCGTTTAAAATCTTTGGTTATACAATAACATTATGTGGTCAAAATTTCATAATCAAGCAATCACTCTTTTTAAATCGACCAGGGCTTTTCCTGTTTTAAACTTTTCAGCCACCAACTCTCTTTTAATGTATGGATTTAAAAATGCTGCAGTTTTAAATTCAAGCGATAAATCAAAGCTAAAACTGCCTTCAACTGGTTATCAACATTCAAGCAACTCTCAGTCCTTTTATGGTGGTTGAACAAGTTGCAGGGCATGCTTATTCAGCTGCCTAGCACTTTCAGACCCTTGAGCAGGGAGGTTAAGGCGTTCACCAAGTCTTCGGCGCATTTTTGCACGTTGCTCGTAGACTTGGGGTTGTCGATAGAGTTGATGGTCGCTACCAGGCACTCGCACACCTCACGGCTTCGTAAAATTAGACTCATAGTGTGTGACGGCGCATCTGTGTTTAAGCAGAGCTCCTCCGACAGACTGAAGATATTATTTAGGGAATTGAGGCAATTGGCCAAAGTGCCCTCCAGATTGTCTCGAAGGCCCTGAATTTAAAATAGTAAAATAATTTATAATCCAATAAGTTCTTTTTTGCACATACCTCTGCTGCTGCTTGGACTAGAAGTTTGCTACTGGCAACAAGAGCTCGTACTTCATTGCAGAGTTTTGTCTGTGTGGCTCTGTACAAGTTGACGTCTTCGTTCTCGCCACCTCCGGCAGCAACGTAGCCTCGACACTGATCTGCTAAATTCAGAAGGTGCTCAGACAGCTGGTTGATTTTGTCCTTGGCTTGAGCTGTTGATATTTTCTCCAGTTTCACCATATTATTCTGAAATTCAAATGATTAACTATAGTTTGGCACAAAGAAAGGATTTGAATACAATGGTGCAACACAGAATTTAAAATATTGTGAGAAGATGGTTTAAAATAGCAGGCAAACATCAACGTAGGCAAGCGACGGACAACAGGTAACTCTTCACATCAATCACTCTCAATTTGGTGGGATTTTTAAAGACAAAAACATGGTGAAAATTCCCCGTGCAATGTTTAAAATTTGATTTCAGTTTGAAAAATATCTTGGATTTAAAAATAAGGTTTCCAAAAATTTTGAATACAGAAATAGAAAATCATGCCAAAATTATTATATTATTATTCAAAACATAAGGTAGAAATTTCCACCTTGCAATAATTATTATTAGAACTTTGAGAAAACATCGACTGACAATGAGATATCCTGCTATCTCTAGATCCTCTTACTCTGTTTCTGAAAATGAGACTGCTTCTAGCTGAATTGTTGACATTGTGATTTCTTGGCCCAAAAAGACTGAGGTTTGCCTAAAATGGTGGTTAAAACCCCATAAGCCGTGGAATAAATCAAATTACCAGAATGTTGCTGTGTGTTGGCGGCGGCGGAGGTGGAATGATGAACGCCGATACCTCTTCAGGGGTCAGTTCCATGATACCAGACTGGTTCGGCGCAGGAACCACCACAGTTGCTAAAAATTCGTCCAAGTCGAGGTTGCTGTCCAGCAGCTCGTCCAACATGTCTTGGTCCCATTCATTGTGGAGTGGACTGGGAAGAAAGTTTCTATCCAACATTGGAATTTGATCAGCAAAAGGGGTTGGCGGGCTGCTGGGAGAATCCAAAAACGACAAAGCCAGCTGAAATCGAATGCAATTAATGAGACAATTAAATAGCCGATAATGATATTTAAAAGGTAGAGGAACTTCTATAATAATCGAATGCTCACATTATCTGGAGTTATTGGTGGAGGTATCATGGTAAGATCTATAATATCTGGATCTAAATATAAAGTGCCTTCGGCAAAGTGATATGGTAGGCTGGTATCTTGTTGAAGACGAAGAAGAATTTCCTAAAAGATGTAAATGCAAAATAATTAAAATAAATGAAACTATAAAATAATGAATCATATGAAATCTCTAATTTTCGTAACGATCGTCTTTTTTGCGTTGAAAAATTAAAAATTTAACTGACCTTCATATCTGCGTTGTTGGACCTGCAGTTTGCAGGAAGTACATTATCTGGACTGTGCAGTCCGAAGCTCGAGTCACTTGGTTTGAGCAGCGAGTTAGGCCTGATGCCCCCCTTGTTGTGCGAAGGGCTGCTTGTCGGAGTGGAGAGGGAGTCTGTGTCCGAGCTCTCAGTAGTATCTCCATTAATCTCAAGACTGCGCACAACGGCGCTCATTTCCTCTTCGAAGTTTGGCTTGTGTCCTCCATGGGCAAGAAGCAGCAGTGAATCACTGTGTTTGAGTTCTGACTGCTCAGTTTCCAGCAGAGAACTCATTTGAGAAGAACCCTCCGAATCACTCTCTTTTTCGTCGTGTTCTGTGAGGTATTGCTCAGAGGCCATAACCAGGCGGTGCATCTCAGAGAGGCGCTGCCGCGCTTCATCGTTTGTCTCTGGAGAGGTTGAGTCCTCGCTGCTGGATTGACGATTTTCCTTATTTGCATTCCTCAACCTGGAAATTAAAATTTGTAATCGACCTTGCAAAAAATTTTCAAATTCACATTCAAATAATTTTAATATCAAATCAAATTAATATTGTAACATTTTAAATAATTATCAATTTATTTCATAATTTTCTTTACTTAATTTTCTATTTTGAACTAATCGATTAGGTTTTAATTTATAAATTTTGTTTATTTTCTACAACTTACATGCTATTCATGTTGCTATCCACCGTTTTTCCATCCTAAAACGCAAATTTAATTTAAAGCAAATGAGATTACTTGTAAAAGCAGAAGCTTCCTGTGTACTTACAGCTGCGTGATAAGGAGGCGGTACAGCCAAATTGACTAGTTGGCACTTGTTGTTAGCGGCAATGTAACTCCACCAGTCAGGCACCACCAAGTGGAAGCCCTGATAAGGCGGCACTGAAAAAAATTCAACCAGCATATTAGGGGAGCCCCTCTGGTGAATGCGATTATTCAATTACCTGCATCATAAGCGGGAGTGGGGTCCTCGAGTGGGCAGTCTATTGACAAATGCATGCCTGTCAGCAGGTGGTAGTAGCCTTTCAGCACCAGGACCATTTCTTCTGCGTCCTTTTCCTCCATGGTGAGACAAATTTGATCTGCACCTAAGAGGTGCAGAGTCACTTGGGTCGACAGTTCGTCTTGCTTTGACACCATCACATGCCGCACACTTTGAATATCAGCAATTGGCATGGGCTACAATTAAAATAAATAAATCTAGAATAGTGTGTTTGATAATAAAAAAATAAAAACACTCACAGTGTTGCTCCTCATGCCAGATATTTGGCTAATTCCAAATTTGGGGCTGATTAAGATCAATGTTTCCATGTTGGTTTCCTAAAGAGGACACAATATGAAGATCAAGTCTTTACATTTTAAAAATTGGTGTACTTTGATGTTGGTCGAAAAGCACTTGGCTCCGTAACTGGGCAAGTCGCTAATGATATGCAAATAATAGAGCTTGGCCTGCATGTCAGACATTGGCTGGGTGGTGCACAGCTTCAGAAAGTGGCCGATGAGTTTGCGGAGCTCTTTCCTTTTCATAGACTCCATCAGCGAAATTGGAACAAACTTCTCGAGACCGAACTCTTTCCTAAGTTGGGAAAAAACAATTAGCTTGAATTTAATTTTGCAAGGAATAAATATTTTACTCTATATTTTTAGCGCCCAATTTTCCCTGCAAGTTGTTAGCCATTGCATGCTGCTGAATGTGCAGCGCAGCCAATCGAAGTGCTGCTTCGTACTTGAGCTCTGGAGCAAACCTCTCTTGCACAACGTCATTGCAGCACTGCAAGTACAGGTACTCCAGAGCAACAGGATCTCGGTGTAGAAGGGATTCAGGTTCAACAGGGACAAAGACTATGCGGAATAAGCACCTCAGGTTGTGCGAGCCCGGCCGAGAAGCAATCTGATTAAAATTTTTATATAAAAATATATTTATTTTTTGTTTTGAATATACTTTTGCCAGATGTTGGTGAGGTTGAAGCAGAGTGAGTTTGTTCCTCCTGCCTGTTACATGCTCCAGAACTAGACAAAAATGCTCTCCAGCAAGAATTCCCAGCTTCTGCAGGAGCGAGTCTGTGACGTCTTGTACTGTCGTGTTTCCGTCGTATTTAAACGATTTTGTTTGACCATTTTCAAGGAAAACTTTTAACACATTTGGCATCAGTGCCAATCCCTTTTCAGCAATCTGCATAAAAAAATACGTTGAATTAAATTATTGACGAGGTGAACAGATCTTTACTGCTGAGGTTCCATTGACTACGACGCCTTCGGCAAATCTAACTCTTGAAGGATGACTTCGTAGTTTAGCCTTTTTGGCCACACTCAACAAAGCGGATTTTCTGGCAGACTGTTTTAGTGGAAATTTAGTTTTTAATTGATTTGAGGATAGTAAAATTAATTACATTGTCCAAAGGAGGTTGACAAACGAGCAGTTCGACTTTGTCGGGGCAAGACCTGATTAAATGAATGGCATGTTCCCTGGCTACCTTCCGAACGTCCTCTTTGTTGATTTCCAGAATTTGATCGCCAGGTAGCAACTTGCCATCACTGGGTCCAGTATCAGTTACAAATCTTAAAAGAAATAATTTCATCAGTGAAAGGTGTGGGCAAAGTGAAAGTCATTAAAAAAGCTAGCGTGAGAAGAGATCACAGCATCTTCATACCTCACAATGACTGGTTTCTCACTTCCAGCAACAAAACCAAATCCTTGCTTAGCGTCCCTATTTAAAGATACACGTCGCGGTTTGGGCGGAGCTTCCTCAGGGGCCCAATCCTTCGGAGGTGGCTCTTTCGTTGTCGTCTGGTTTACATGACTGCGGATATTAATAATTTTTAAATAATAATAATAAAGGCAAATAAATCTCTTGGAAAAAATACTTGATAAAGTAGGAATGTCCATTGCTATCCACGGCCTCCTCCCAGCCAAAGGGCAGCACCGAAGTCACATCGTAAGTGTCAGCGGGCGGCAACCAGGAGGCAGACTTCGTTAGTTGACTGAAAAATTTCCAAGAATTAAATAAAATCCCGACGGGAAATAAGATCAGCGGTGACCTACTTGCAATAGTAGAGGCGACCATCGCGGTTCACGTGCGCCGTCCAGCCAGGCTTGACCTGTCTGGGGTATGCCAGGGGCCCGCCGTCCTCCATAGATGAGCACCAACTGAGCACCAGTCGCCTTTTCTACAGATTCACGCAGCCCGCATCGCTCCGATTGGCGCCTCAACTCGCAGCGGCGCCTGGAAATCGACGAGTGCTGCACACGCGATTCGGCCGCGGCCGCCGAAACGGCAGAAAATTGTGCGGTTCAAGATTTTTTCTAAAAAATTAATAAGGGTTTGTCTGATGGCTGGCCAAACGTCACCGAACACGACCGATCCGCAGCCTCAGAGCACCCTGGCGGATGATGGCCGAGATCTGTGCAGAGATTTGCTCGCTCTGCCATCTGTCAGGAGTTATCTTATTGATTGCTGTAGAATGAGCTGACCAATCAAAATCATCAATTTAATCACGTGATCAAAACTGGCCAATGAAAATTCCAACTCGTTCGAGTCTTCATTTATCACTGCCAGATGGCAGTGCGCTGCTAATTTTGTGATTTTAGAAGTCTGAGAATCACAAACATCGCAGTAGAAAGAGGAAGAAATTGATCACGGGACTTGATTGTTTGTGAGGCTTCGTTTTGATCCAATTATACGTCAATTCAAAGTCAGCAGGCGACTGACCGGGTCACTTTGTTGACCATGAACACTTGGGCGTGTTTGTTACTGGCCGTCTGCTTCGCAGGTGAGATTCTGGACTTTGCAAAGTTCTGTCAAAGTTTGACAACCCTTTCGCCTCTTTTAGTCCAATTATGGCCATTTAAATTCCGAACCATTTTCACTTTCTAACAAAAGTGCCGGCCCCAAAATGTCATAATTTGCACATGCAAACATATTTTATATATTTAGTCAAAAATTAAGTTAAAGAATTGGAAATTTCACGGCGTCAATAACTTCTTCGATGAGTCGTAAAACGTCAAGGTTTATGTTACGTCTGGAGGTGGCCTGTTTTTGAGGTGTTACAAGGGCGGCCACTTGCCGGCCCTGGCGGCCTCTGGCCGCTCGTAGAGTGCGGAGAACGGAATAACACGTCCGGTCGGTTCGGGTTCCAAGATAATTCTGACCTTTATTACAGTGTTACCAACAGTACAATATATACAGTAGTCACCAACATAACATCTCCCGCCTAAGATAAAAACTCAATTATTTTATTTTAAGACAATTAAGAAGATGTCATACCATCAATCCATCAATCAATAATTCCAATTTGTGAGAATTAATGCACAAGAATTTGGTTTCAAAAATGCAATTTGAGAACTACTTTAAATTCACTCTTGAATTGGAACTACAAATTTTGCACTTTTGAAATTTACTAGAAATTTTGAATTTACTTTCAACTTTTGAATTTTCAAATTTGCTCTAAACTTTCTCAACTCAGAACTCTTAAAAATCCTTCTCAATCTCAAATATTCACTGAACTTATTTTCACCGAAAAATGTTCACGCAATCTGGATACGGCCTGAAATTCCAGTTGCTGCTTTTCTTCTTTTTCTCTCCTCCTCGTCTCAGGAATTTTCACCTCAGGCTCTTGTTCGCCTGGCACTTCTTAAACGACCCCTGAGGAGATCCCCTCAACTCAGGTCGAAGGCTCGAGGATGCGGTTGCACCCTCCGAGTCACTCACACGTTGGCCAGAGAAGGCGGCTGCCTCCTCCTGGCGTCTCTCTCGTACGAACGACAGCGCCACACGTCCTCTGTCTGGTGGCCGCTGGTTTTCCCTGGACTCAACTTGCCCTTCACTTTCCTCTTTCTTGCGCTCAGCAGACTCTGCACTTGAAGACAAGACTTGGCTCGTGGTCTCTCTCCACTCGAACTCACGATGACGAGCCCAAGTCCTCCTCCTTCCTCCTTTCCCTTCTGGCCCTTTTTCTTGAAGGTGACGAACACGGTGAGCTTCCCACCCTGGGAGAGCTCTTCACTGGGTCGCACTCTGACCCTTTTCGGCGACGCCCTTCTCTGACGCCCCGACACACACCGTCCTCTTCCCTTGTCCGAGGAACGGCTGTCACGCTTCGTACTTTGCGGCAGGTGACTCTGCTCACCCTTCTCTTGCCGCTGCGACTTTGCTCGCAAAAACACTCTGGGCCGCGGGTCTCTTGATCTCTGGCCAAACCGACTTTCACACTTGGCCGGCTGGCCGCCTCGACTTGAAAATGTCTGCTGACTCTCACCTCGTTTTTGGCTGATGTAACGCCCGGCTTTTCGCAGCCTCACGCGGAGAATTTCTTCTTGCCCGACTTTCCTCCCGCCGGAAACTCTTCGTTGGCTCCTTCGAGGTCTCTTTTGGTGCCGGACAGGTCCGCCTCCGGACACCAACCCAAGCCAATTTTGGGGAATCACCACACGCTGCACGTGGTCGCCGTTCTCGCACTTTTCTCGCTCCGCTCACCTCTTCCTCCTTCACCGAAATTAGTTTTTCCTCGTCGCCATTTGTTACGTCTGGAGGTGGCCTGTTTTTGAGGTGTTACAAGGGCGGCCACTTGCCGGCCCTGGCGGCCTCTGGCCGCTCGTAGAGTGCGGAGAACGGAATAACACGTCCGGTCGGTTCGGGTTCCAAGATAATTCTGACCTTTATTACAGTGTTACCAACAGTACAATATATACAGTAGTCACCAACATAACAGTTTACAGACGAGTCATGATATTCGCTGTTTTGGTTGCGCAACTGCCAGGCTGCGTCAAAATAATATGCTTGTAGTGACAAGTTTGTTCTGTAGCAACATTTGTTTCAGATCAATAACCCGTCCCGATATTATTCGCAATCTTTTTTGATGCATTTTTTTTAGGGGATCACGTTCTGAGCTATAAAAGAAAAGTTGCGTAATTAAGAAGATCTCACATTTCAAATAATTTTTTTTTAATAGTTTTTAAATTAATTAAAAATCAAAATTAGATTCGTTTGGTTTCATTTCATATGAGGGAAGTGAATTTACATACATAAAAGCACGTAAAAGTGTTTGAAAATGAATTTAATGTCATACCAGGAAGTTACAATCATAAAGACTCTCATTATATTCCAGAAACTAATTCAAATGCGGGCTTAAATTGGACACGACATGGGCATTACTCATGCGTTGTCACATGATTCTTGTTTTCTTTCATTGAAATGTAACACCCGTCGCAGCTATCAAAGGTCGTCTACGTTTGATAACCTCCGACCCCATTGGTGCAGTTTTGCGTTTTGAGTGAGCAAACACTGAGGCTTAACTGGGTTGACTTAGTTCACGTTTTTGTTTTTATAAATAAATTTGCGTCAAATTTTTAAATTGAGTTGATAAAATTCTAGGGGCATTGGCCAATCCTATCAGCAAAGATGAGAGCAAAGGACAAAAATTCCCCAAAGAATGCGGCATTGGGCCAACCTACTGGTGTCATAACATCACGTGAGCTTATAATTGTAGAAAATTTTGGATTTGTTTTTACGAGAGAATTATAATTTTATTAGGACTGCTCATAATTGCCGGGCTGTGAAGCACTGCATTCAGACTGTTTGGGAGCACCAGAAGTTGGAGGCTGACAATGATGACATTTGCACCATTTGTAAAGACATGGTCACTCAGGCCAGAGATCAACTCGAGAGCAACGAAACTCAGGTGAACATAATTTAAATTTCCCTTAAATCTATGTCTTAAATGAATCAATTTTAAAATTCAGGAGGAGCTCAAAGAGGTTTTCGAAGGCTCTTGCAAGTTGATCCCCATCAAGATCATCAACCAAGAATGCATGAAGGTGTTTGATGACTTCATTCCTGACCTGGTCGACGCTCTGGCCTCGCAGATGAACCCCCAGATGGTTTGCACCACTGCTGGCCTCTGCAACAACGCCCGCATCGACCGCCTCCTGGCTGAAAATTCCCTCAACCAGGTGTACACCAAGTACGGACAGCAGTGTGGCGATTGCCATGCTTTCGTTGATGACGTTCAGCCCAAACTCGAGTCTGTCACGGACAAGGACATTGTGGAAAGACTGATGCAGCTGTGTGGAAAGATGGGCAGTTTGTCTCTTGGATGCAGGGAGATTGTGCTGAGCCACGCTGATGATATCACTGGACACATTAGGAAGCACTTCAACGCCAGGGAGGTCTGCGACCTTTCTGGCTCCTGCAAGGTTGGTGATTTTGCTTATTTATAGATTGAATGAATTTAAAAAAAATCCTTCTAGGCTAAGCACCATGAACACGCCCAGCCTCTTCTTGCAACCGCCCACAGGAACGAAAAAGACGAAACTTGCGACCTCTGCGAGCACCTTGTGCAGCACCTTCGTGATGTCCTTGTGTCTAACACCACCGAGGAGGAGTTCAAGGACGTTCTTGTTGGAATCTGCAAGCAGACCAAGACCTCTTTCAAGCAGCAGTGCCTCAGCCTGGTCAGCGAGTACTACCCCATGATTTACCACTTCCTCAGTGCCGAACTTCAGCCTCGCATGGTCTGCGACCTTGCTGGAATTTGCCACGAAGATGTCAAGAGGAGGCCTCTGCTGGGAATGCATGAGGGTGACCTCTACAGGCAGAGACACAAGTAAGTTAAGATTAATGAAATTATTTGCTATTTATAATCGGGTGATTCTCAGGATGCACTTGATTGGTGGAGACGAAACCAAGGTTCCCGAACTGGCCAGAGTGCCCTTGACCAAGAAGGAGTCCAATGTCCAGGTCATAAACTCCGACATCCTCGTACCGCTTCCTCCTGCCCTACCCATTGAACTGATGATGCCCCAGAGCGTGATTGGTGGAAACAAAGTCGAGTGTGAGACTTGTCAGTACTTCCTGCACTACGTCCAGCAGGAATTGACCCTTCCATCAACCGAGGCTGAGATCAAGGAGTTTGTTGATGAGGCTTGCGATCACTTGCCCAAGTCAATTGGCCCTCAGTGCAGAAGCTTTGTCTCCACCTACGCCGATGCCCTGATTGCTCTTCTTGCTCAGGAGGTCGATCCTTCCCAGGTATATAAAAAAATCGTCATTATTTTGGTCATATACAAGAAATGTTTCAATTTTTAGGTTTGCCCCAGTCTTGGATTGTGCCCTACTTTCAAAATCCCTGAGGTTTTGCCCAGTACTGACAACAAGAAAGACAACCCGACCTGTCCTCTCTGTCTGTACGCCATGCAGCAGCTGGACAAAATGCTCAAGGACAATCGCACCGAGGACAGTGTGAAAGAGGCGTTGGAATCGGTCTGTGCCATTTTGCCAAAGAAAATGGTTGCCGAGTGCGATACATTTGTCGACAAGTACTCCGAGGAGCTGATCGATATGGTGATTGCCGAGTACACACCTGAGGAGGTCTGCACAAATTTGAAGATGTGCGGCCCTAAGGAGTTTGAGAGTGAAATGATGACGGGCAATGACGAAAAGCAGGCTCACATTGAAACCAATGAGATTGTCTTGCCGAAAGATGATGAACTTGTCAAGGCTGTGTCCAATGCTAAAGATGACAACAGGTGCGTCATCTGCGAGTTCGTCATGACCCAGCTGGATGATATGCTCAAGAACAATGCCACTGAGGTAAATTGATTTATAATTAAATTCCATTATGATTAATCTAAATATAAACAAAACGATTTTGATTTGAAAAGATCAAGTATTCTATAATTTTAATTTAATTTTTGTATCTTTATTCAACAGGATGACATCAAAAATGCAGTGCACACTGTCTGCAACTACCTGCCAAAGTCCGTTTCTACAAAGTGCAATGAATTTGTCAACGAATACGCTGATCTCGTAATCCAACTGCTGGTGCAGAGTTTGGATCCAAAGCAAGTCTGCCAGGAGCTTGGCCTCTGCAACCAGGCTGTTAAAACCGCCGAAGAAAAGTGCACTTTGTGCCTTGTTGTGGTCGAGGCCATGGACAAGTTGCTGGAGGATGGAAGCGTCGAGAAGGACGTCGCCACCATTCTGGATAAGGTCTGCAGTGTTGTGCCCAAGTCGAAGAAGCAGCAGGTAAATTATTTTGCTTGTTTATAAATTTAATGGTATAGATTTTGAAAGACATTTTTGTTTCAGTGCCGTAATGTGATCGACGAGTACGGCCCAAGCATCATGCTTTTGGTTGCCCAGTTGGCCGACAAGAATGATGTGTGCGCTCAGGTGAAGATATGCCCTGTTCCTTCCGGAAACAGGAGCCACCTGCTTGGCGCTAAGAAGTGCACTTTCGGGCCTTCCTACTGGTGCCAGTCGGAATTCCACGCCATGGCTTGCAAGGCCACCAAGCACTGCCAGGAAAAGGTCTGGAAGGCAGCCAAGCCTTGAAAGCTCACTTGGAGCTATTATAAAGAAAGGAGAATACGAATAAAAGAAAATATTATAAGACGAGTTAATTTTAAACAGCATGAGTGATAATAATTATCGAGACATGGAAATTGCTACTTTGATTTTTATGTAAATGATAAATATCTCGGTTAAAAATAAAGCTAGATCAATGTATTTTTAAAACTTGTGTCTTATTATCATTAATCCATAAATTAAATACATTTTTTTGTAAGAATAAAATGTTTTGTGAGTTAACAATAATGCTTTAGATTGCCCATTTAATTAATTTGATTTATTAAAATTACGAATATATTATACTAAGTAATAATTAATTGTATTTTAAATCATTGTATATTGCTTTTTTTGTATGATCTACTGAAAAAATTGACAGAACGGCTGCCAGGTGTCGCTGCAGTTCAAACGGCACCTGCCGTCCTGCCGCTCACCTGTCGCGGACCGGCACGAACACGAAAAGTGGCGGCAAACGACGGATTGGAAAGTGCCAGTAGTCAGTAGTTGTTGCACCGCAAGCGGCGAAGCATCCTGCCTGCAGTAGTGCCAGTTACCTCTTTTCGCGGACCGGTTTGTTTTGATCATTCCTCAGTCAGTCAGTCAGTCGGCTGATAAACATTCGGTCGAAGGAGTGCGCAATCGGAACAGAGTGCCGGAATTCGAGACCAGTTTGCGGACGTGCGTTTTTTTGACAGTTGTCAACGGAGGGAAGGACGAAGATCAAACTCACTCAGCGCAGGGAGAGGACGACCCATTGCGCGAGTCAGTGTCTGTGTGACATGCTTGATTGGGGTGTCCAGTGCCGGGTCAACGGAAGAGCGACCGCAGTCAACGCAAATGGTTTCTCCACCCTTAGCAAATGAAAGGTACAGCGATTAAAACTTACTTTGAGACCGTTGAAGATTTTTGAATTATTTAAACGACCAAAATGTATAATGATTAAAATTTTTATTATTCGATCCAGCCAATCCTTATAATGATAATTTTGAATAAAAAAAAAAAAAAATAAAAATGGTAGCTTACGTACATTGAAATATTGTAATGAAAACAAACAATGAGAGGATAATTTTTATTTCCCTTTTTATATCCAAATCGTGACAACTTTAAAAATAAAATGAGAAAAACGAAAATAATTTCAATGAACGCAGCTCAAATTAAAATAATAAACAAATTTAAAAAATACAACAGCCAATCATGTAATAATTTAAATCTAAATTTTAAACCTTTATAAACATTTTGATGCGCCAATTGTTGAGATGGTGTGGAATATTTTATTCTTATTTGTAAGCTTTATAAAGAAGGGTGTGTCGACTTCATAAAATTTTGAATATATCTTATTCAAACAATTATTAAATTTATTTTTGTCTGAATTTTTAAAACACTAATGCCAAGAAGAAAATGATTTTTAAATAATATTTAAAACAAATTTATATAAAACTTTAAAAAAAAATAAATATAGTATTTTAAATATGTATTTAAAATAAAAATTAATATTTTAAATAGATACTAATAATTAGCAATAAATTAAATTACTAAATTCATTCCTTATTTTAAAATCATATAAAGAGTTCTTAATTTGTATTTTTTTATTCTTCAAATTTTAGGCTGTAATTGATCAATAAATTTATGCTTTTTTTTATTTTTAAAAATCCATTATAATATAAACGAACATGGAGTTTTGGCATTTTGCTTTTCTTTACACAATAGAAAAACGCATTCCACGCTCTTCTCTTTTGAGATGCATAATTACATAGTGTTCATGGGACGTTTTCAAGGCGTTTCCTCTTCTCAGTCATGAAGTTAAAAAGGCAGCTTCCCATCTTGATAAAAATAATGCACGTCGCCAACAGCAGCTCTTTTCTTCCTCCTTGGCCAAGCCTAATTAAAAAGCCATCGCACGTCTCTCTTTCACTAAAAGCCAGTCGCTGTCAAAATTCCATTAACACGCTTTCTAGGAGGGCTACTGCACTGTAGACAAAAATTTCAATCCGGTAAAGGAGATGCATTCGAACGGTGCCGAGGGGCGAATTTGTTGCCATTAGTAGAAAGAATAGTCGCTTTCGGACGCTGGACCATAAACTTGCACTTTCTCTGTCTGAAAAAATCAAACTTCCTGAAGAGAAGTTGATTAAGAGGCTATTTATTTGTTTGGAGTCGTCTGCGGCGGCCGGTTCCGCTCAATTGGGCCGATTTTCTTGAAAGTGAATTAATATGCCAAATTACGACGCGACCGAAATTTCGCTGATCGGTGCTCGTATTCGAGAAAGTGCTCAATTTGCACAGCGGCGCAGTTCGGCTCTGACGGAAACCGCAATTTTAGCAAATCGGTCATATTTTAAACTTTGCAGGAAGGCTGAATATACAAAATTAAATACACGTGAATGAAAAATGTTCAATAATTAGAAATTAAAATCTTATTTGAAGCTAATTTCAGATTTAAGAATGACGATCAAATTGGAATATTTTCATGGTAAAATGTGCCAAATTAATACAAATGTGTTTAAATTTACTGAAAATTGTTGAGAATTTCTTGATCAAATATTGATGTTTAAATTTGAAATCTTTTGTAACTTTTTTATGCGAATTATGAAGAAGGGAATTTATTTTTATTTTAATTTGATTATAATTTGTGATAAAAGTTTTTGTTTTCTTCTTAATATAAAAGAAAAATTCTATATAGATGAGCCGAATTAAAATAAAATGAAAATAAAACACAATTTCTCCAAATCGGTTCAAAATTAAATTAATCTTAACAAGCTTATTTTGTTAGGCAAGTTTCCAAACATTATAATATTTAATTTAATTATCACTCGGGCAGCTTTTCGTCGCGACCTTTTACAACTTCAGCCATAAATAAACGCCTCTCTCAAATTAGCCGCAAGCTTCTTTCACGTTCCAATACTTTTCCCAATCAGTACACACAAGTGAAGTAAGAATCGCCTCTGGGGTCAAACTCCGCCATTCATTAATTAGGAGCGGACAAATTCGGAACACAATGAATTCACTTTCCCAATCGATAGAGTTAGAAAGAGCCAGTGCGTGCTAAAACACAATCACAACAAACATAATTATAATTTGCACCGATTAATGATTATTATTTCGAAAATGAAGAGAGACTCATCAATTTTATTGCGCCATTTCCAACAAAGTCGTAAATCGTAATTAGCCTTGCTCGCATTCAGAATCATTACATAATGGAAATCTGGTGTCAAAAGAAATAGACACGCGGTTTGTAAAAGAGATGCGATTTGAAGCCTTGCGTGAAATATCACATTATCTTTCCGAACGCGATCCCGAGCGATTTTCTTGGACGACTGGCCCAGATCGGATGCGTTTAATAAAACACGCGCTCGGGCTGCGGGCGACAATTTTAATTTGAAGCGGCGACTCGTGTCAAAAACTCGTTTTTCAAAGTGAGCTATGCAAGATCGGTTTATTTTCGGTTCTTGCGGTCAGCTGAGAGTGAAACAAGAAATGAAAATTGACGGGCGTGTCCTCGTTTCGGCATAAAATTTAACGCGGCGTGCCTTGACTCTCGCCAATTTTAATTTAAATTGCTGCAAGGGCGGATTTTAGCGATTATCGAACTGAAGATATGAATCGCTCGTGAGACCATATGGCACAAAAGGATTTTTTTAAATCATGGCCAGATATTTTTACAGGGCATATTGATTAATTTTATGAAAGTACAAAATTCTACAAAATTCAAATTAAATTTTGATTTAATTTCATCCATTGTAATTTGGAAATAAATTAATGATTTGTGCATTTTTTAGATAATTGAATTCATCCAAGATTTTGAAAGAAATCTTACCTTTGCTCCTATTTTTTTTTATAATTATAAAAAACTCCGGAAATTTTAGTCAAAAAGAATCAAATTTGGTTTAGCTAATGTTTATTTAAAATTTTATAGTAAAATTAAATTAAGGAATTGATTTTATTTTGAATTCTGTTCTAAAACAGCTGATTTTGAAAATAATCTTCTTGAATAGTCGATTATTTTTCTCGGAAAAAATAATTTGCGAAGAAGTTTGTAACTAATTTTGTAGTAATCTTTCTCTAGTGGCAAAAATTTTACATTTATTATGTACAAGACAATTTCTGCAAAATGATAACAAGAAAAAGTATTCAGAAATAAAAAAAGTAGTTCAATTAGAATAAGGGAAATTTTAAACAATATATATACTCAATTTTGAACTTTCTTGATAATTTCTTCTTCAAATTTTTAAACTGGCATAAAAGTAAAAAATTTTTATAATCTATACATATTTCCAAGGATTCAATATTGCCTGACCATCACAGATTTGGCTCGAGGATAATTTTGCCCTGCAATTTGCAATCAAATTTGGCAGACCTCCAAGCACACTGAGATCCATCGAGATTTCCTAAGAACTCGACCATACAATGTGTCCAACGATCCTTATATGCGGAGCCGAAATTCCACTCGCCGGTTGCAACTGGACAAAAACGCACGCCTTATCCAGAGCACCAAATGTTTGCTATTTTTTCTCGGCAAATAACCAGTCGAGAAAGGAACCTTACTCGCCACAGCACAATAAAAGAAAGACAAACCATTAATTACTCTCTTAAAAACCGAATGCTGGAAAAAAATTAGGACCAATGAAGCCGGCAGCGGAATATTAATTTTCGGCGCCTTGTCCTTGGCTCGAATGAAAACAACAAACCGTATTTTTTTTTAACATTGTTTTATTCTCGGGGCGGTTTTGCGTGTCCCGATTGTGAAATGGATTTATTGGCTATTGTTTTGATATTCACGAATTATAATCATCTCTCGGGATACATCATCATCTCTTGGCAGCATCTCCGCGTGGCCGATATAATTACACGTTATAAAGTTGTTGTCGACCTCTCGGCCGACCTTTTTATTTAGTAATCATTTTTCTTTCGCGCGCATTCATGGAAACCCGAGTTGAAATTTAATTAATCTCAAGAACGGCGCAGAGGTCGAAAAATGAAAAACGCCGTTTTCAGCTTTAATTAAGCATACAGGACGTGCTGCCTGAAAAAAGAAGTAACTCATCCATCATCTGCTCGTTAATTAGCAACAAAATTTCATCCTTCCTCGTAAAATAACATTTTATTAATTGCCAGTGATACTCTTTTGGCATGAACGACGGGCACGTGCTCGTTCTGGAATTTCATAA